ACTATGCATACATTTTGTAGCTGCCCATCCTGATGTGGCATGTAATTTGATTATATGCAGGCCTCTGTTCCGTCCGGGACCACAATGTTTGTCTAATTGACAGTAATTAAACGAAAACGAATAGCTATGAGGCAGTGTGAGCCAGAGTGGCGGCAAATTTGCCACATCAGCCTGAATGTCAAAGGCAAATTGATGGATGATGACTGGGGTTAAACTATCCTAGCAAACTCGGCATCTAGCCCAGTCATGCGTGGCTTTGGCGCAGATTGTTGGGGCTGGTCATGCCACGAACCTGCCCAGTCACTCGCATATTAAATAAAAATCAACGGAACAAAGTGTTGCACTCTGACAGAGCAAACACAGTTCCTGCAGCTACAGTCGTTCTTCTCTAAGTCAAACTTTCCTCTAAGTACTAATAAATTGCATGCCAATTTAACGGCAAAACTTTGTCAAATGCCAACAGCTCTGAACTCTCATAACTCAAATATGTATCTCAATTGCACAAATGAAGTTTTTAGCACAAAGTTACTTAGTCAAGGGATGTTAGGAAAAGTCAAGGGAAAACTGGTTTTATAGCAGGTAGTAAGGGTTTGTTACTTGAAATATGTTTTTGCGATGCTCATTTCATGGAATCTTTTTTAACACAATGGTAAGGCAGTTATTTAAAGCTAAAAGCATACAAAAATTGAGTTCTTTTCAATGTAATCAAACAATATTTATAAAATTTTTAAAATAACCTGACGAAAAACTGGCATGAACAAGCAGAAACAGCCTTTCAATAAGCCCATTACAAAACCTGGAAATAATCCTGGAAAAAAGCTTACAGAAAAATCTGTTGAAAGACCAGACAATACGTTGATCAAAAAGCTTAAATTTAAACTGCCAAACGATGAAATATAAAACAAAATGAAACAATAAAACCAGCTTTCGTCGAAATATACAAAATGTTTTTGAAGGCAGTAAAAATCTTCTCTACTGTCGAAATATTTTTGAACGTTTACCAATATATTTTATAGAAATTTCTAACTGACATATTACGACACACTTGTATTTTATTTATAACAATTTCACCAGTGAGTTCTGACAAACAACTATTCAGAATTGGTAAAAGTCAGCCGTTATGATAGTTTGATAGCCAATAAAGATTTTGATGGACGAGAAACAGCACATGTCCCACATCCACTACGACCTACTGCAGAAGAACATTGTAATAGTTTGGATAAGGGAAGACCGACTGTATAATAATGCCGGTGGGGATCAATAGGGCAGGAGGATGGGGGCCATGTCAGGGCTAGGATTTTCAAATGCCAATGTCAGTGGCACCGTCAACGGCCACGTCAAAGCCACTGCCACTGCCATTGCCAAGGGGCCCTGACGCGTATTGCCAAAAACTGGATTTTCGATTGGTTTTCGGTAGCTTTTATGCTCCCTGGTTGGTGACCTCGTCGTCCTCAGAAGGCCTCAATTGCAGTAGCAGCAGCAGCAGCAGCAGCAGCAGCAGCAGGAGCATTGTGTTTGAATGGCAGCTCTGTATGTGTCTGTGTGGTAATGTGGCTGCTGCATTTGCAATTTCTAAATTCCCGATGCCATGCAAGGGCAGCAAAAATTGCAGTGGCAACAAGAACCAGTCCATGGAAATGGCCCAAAAAAGAAACCAAAAAATAAAAGTTGCAGCTTTACTTTTCTGCAAAACTGGCGGAGGCGTCGCCCACCTGTCCGTCACCGGATTTATAGCCAAGAGCATTTCGTCCTTTCCACTCTGGCGTGACTGCATTTTGGCAGGAGAGGATTTCCCCTCCAATCCATTCCAAAACTTTTGGTATTTGTCCACGGGGCCAGAGTTTCTAGAGGACTATGTGTGTACTTTAGAAGTACAGAAATAGCAAAAGCCGTATGAAAAGTTTATCAGCCCGAAACGAAAATAGTTGGCCGAAAGTCTTCGGAAATCCCATAAATTTTGGCCAAATATTTTTTTTAAATTTCTAAGCATGAAAAGAACTTAAACAGGGAAAATTGTTGGGACTTCAATGCTAAACAAAGATTATAAGAAAACTTTTTATAATTATTTTTTGGCTGCATAGATACTTCAGAATACTGACGATGGTTTACTTTCTTAACTTGTTACTTAAATAGAACCCTTAAGTAATCATTAGATTGACTTGCAATAGAGTGTTCTTAGCAGCCAACAACCAATTGCCTGTCAATTTGCTTGACCAACTAAAAGGCAATGTAAGTAAGTTCCTGCCATATCATAGCTCACTCAAGGAAGCCGATAATCTCGAATTATCAATCACTTCGACAGGTCGGCAGCCCCTACTAATTAATATTTGATGCCAGTGTATCGATAAAGTCATTGCCATTATGCAGGTGTGCTGAAAACATCAAAGTGCCCGCAAATACAATACAGGCCACATAAATAATCTTGGCCACTTTTGTGGTCGAAACGAACACAACTTACACACAAAGCCAATTTGAAGCCTTTTTCGGCTTGGCTGAAATTTGATTAAGTGAGTGCCACACCCGCTGAAGGGGGCCAGAATGGGGCCATCAATTTAAATCAGTCGGCTGGGGCTCCATAAATAAGGTTTGCAGTTGAAGCTGAGAGCTGCCCCGGCATATTAGCAGACATTTTTAACAATTCACCTTAATGGCGGAGATCGCTTTTTGGCCAAGGTGAGTGTGCCGGACAGAGACAGGCAGACCCCTACACATAACCAGACATCCCGCTGGCTTGGCAGGAAAAAAAAAATAAATGTTTGAATCGGAATGGCGTCGTTTAATCAGGCAAAGTGATTTCTCCTTACACGCACACGCGCGTACTTAGACACAATCAACTTATCATTTCGCACATATGCATATATTTGTTGGCCAAGATAGGGCCAGAAACTTGGCTGAAGAAGAGGAGAGAGCAGAACCAAAGGGATATCCACGCCCACTGCCACGTAGACAGGAAGCCCAGCTGATGTTAATGTTAAGGTAGTTTAACCTTACGCAACGAACCGACTGTAAATCTACGCCAGCTATCATGCAAAGTTCCTGCCGATTCCCGGTCTCACTTACACTTTAAAAAATTTGAAGAAGTCTAAAGGTTCCTTTTTACACTCTTATTATAATGATAAAGCTTTCTGATGTTCATTTATGTTTTTCCTATTTGCCTTTTCAATTTTGTAATCCGCTTTTGCTTTGCTCTTGATTTGAAATTCATTTTCACTAATAACTTTTAGTTATTAAATTCATTGATATAAATTTTACAATCAACGTCAATTTTATTTGCTGATTTCATCCTGATTATGCTTTGGTTTCCATTGTTTTTAATTACAAATTTATTTGCAATACCAGGTTATTGAAAGTTGGTCAAAACTCGAAAACAAAGGAAATTGAAACCGTTGAAGTATATTAAGTCAGTTTATAGGTTCACGTATGACTAACCATGTTGAATAATAATAACAATATGGTTTACCATTTGGCTTGTACGTGACCGCGAATAAGCGGATGCCTGAATGATGAATGAACATGCTTAATAAATTTACTGAATCGGGAATGGCCTGAATGAGAAGTAATATCTATATGGTATACAATTCGATTAAAGTTTTTCTTTAATAAGTGTTAAACTACAAATTTTCTTACCTTTTTTAAAAGATATATGGATTTTTTCAGAGTGGTTTTCTGTTTTCACCGAGCCTTCATGTGCGTGTCTGGCCTGCGACTCTTCTTCCTCGCTTGCTCTTTTTTTGGTTTATTCTTCCCCAGAGGTGGAGATAAATTTATTACCATTTTGCAGTTATAATGTTTCAATATCTTCTTCGGGGCGGGGCAATCCGGAGGCCTGGCCTGTGTGCCCATTATCGCAATTTAAGCACGATTCAGACGGATATATGTATCCGCTGCTTAGAGGAGCTGTTCCTTCGATTGCCTTCGGTTACGTGATGTACGATCCATCCCAGGATGCATGAGGGCCTTAATCCTTCGACTGGGGCCTGCCAATACCAAATGGTTAATTTCCAGCGTTTCCTCAACCACCTGGGGTCAATAATTGGAGTTGGCATAAACTAGGATTGTGGATCATGGCTACTGAAGCGGATGGGAGCATGCCTGGTTAGGCCAACTAATTGGCATGTGGCACGTTCCTAATGAGTTGCGAAAACTTCCAGCTGCCGAGGCTGCTGCGAAAAACAGCTGCGTCAGCGTCAGAGTTAGAGCAATGCGAATGGAATTAAATGACTTTTCGTTTTAATTTATTATAAGATTTGAGCATTAAGCGGAGTGTTAGATGCAAAATAATATAATTAAAAGGAAAGTGCTGTTTTCAGAATAATAACTTTTGTTGTTTCTGATTTTTAATGATCATTTATGCTGATTTATTTCTATTCTTCAGAAGAAGTTTTTGCAATAAGCCCGAGACTTATAACGACCACAAACAAGTTTCATTTTATTTAAAGCAAATAACTTCTTTCTTCTCAATAAAAGCCTTTCATTGAAAATTTAAGTCCTTGGTAAACGAGTATAAATTGAAATTAAAGTTTTCAACTGAGGAAATATTCATAAAATGGTTACCGTATCGGTTTTCATTGCCAACGCCGCACAATATTTTCATGCTTCATCAGGCCGAATAAAGCCAGCAGCCAGCTTTTGGGTGGCCCAAAATTGTGGCCGAGGATTTTTTTAGTGTGGCAATGTTGCTACCGAGATATTTTATCAGCCAACACGCATAGCGAAATGCGAACAACGAACTGCAGTTGCCATGGCCAGCATTCGGATGCGAATTTGTGGCAACTGTGTGCAGTTGTTGGCCGCATTTTTCCAATTTACGCGCCCTATCAGTGACTATGAAATTTTCATTAATTTCACTAGGAAATAACATATTTTATATTGCCAAAATGAAACCTTAGCAAAGCCAAGAGATCAACGGCGATGGTCGACGTAAATGAAATTGCCATGTTTATTTAATTCCCAGCTCATTTGGGATGCAAATTCGTCGCATCGTCGCGAGTAAACAAAACTTTTTGGGGGCTGCAATTTATTCAAATAAATAATAAATATATGTACTATATATACACATCATTAGTTCCTCTCAAAAACAGGGTTATAGCGCTGGTAACTAGTAGTCATTCACTATGCATATGTGGATTATTTTTGCGTCGCGTCGAATTCAGCTGGCCATTAATGTTCTGGGGGGTTGGGGGTTTTTAAGTTAGCTCGAGGGCCAGTCGCCTGGCCTCAACCTTGTCCTGGGTTCGTCCTCCGTCCGGTTCGGTGGCATGTCCTTGCGTCCTTGTCGTGACTCAATCGCCGCCGCACACTTGAGCACGTTTGCCCAGGCGTGGCTTGAACGGCACCGATTTCTTAACCATGCGCTGCCTGAACTGGCCACCAATGGCCTCCTCTCCACCCGCCATTTCCGACGCTCCCTCGCTGTCCAGGAGTCGCCAGGAGTCAATGCTGCGGCCAAGGCGTGGCGTTCGCACGCGATATGCGGGTTCGCCATTGCTCTGCACTGTCCACATAGATGGGTGGGTAAGAGTAGAAAATTTGAACAAATTGGTAGTATAAGTTTATAGATGAATTTACAACATTAAAGATGATTTTTAGAAGATTTTTTATGTAAGAGCAAGAAAATATTCAGGAAAAATAAGATTCAAGCTCAAATTGCACTAGTTTAAAATATAACGACAATTATTTCTAAATAATCCTCAAGTAATTAGCAATCATTAACACAACAAAAGCATAAAGTGTGAATTATAATAGTAAACCTGATACTCCAATAAGTATGCAACGAAATATTTTATACGTTTGCCTAAGATTATTTGTAGGAACATCAACAGCCTTAAAAGCTTTCTGCAAAAGCAAATTCCATAATTTTAATAATATCTGGACTTTACGTAAAATGAATACTAATAATAAAACATACCACAATGTAAATAAATATGGCAAATGACATGAATATTATATGCTTGCCATGCAAGATTTTCGCATTATGTTTTTCTCTCTGCAGAAATGGGGAAAAGCTTATGTATAAAGTATGCCAAAGTAATCGAGATGGTGGCGTGAAATGTGAACGTGATTCGGAATCCAATTAGAAGGCTTCCACCGGATATTTCTTTCACATTGCAGCACGCGTCCATCTCTCTATACTCAATGTTGCGTATACGCAGTGTGATCCCCGTAGGCGAACTTACGCTGTCGCAGCTTCTGCAGAATCAGGTAATAGGCCAGTGGTGGCATGCTATCCAAATCAAATTCTTGGCCCTGTTGCGGTACGGCGGCCAACGGCACCGTGGCACTCGCCTTCTGGGCCAGGCTATTCTCCTCCAGCTCGTCAATGATGTCAGTCAGCTCTTTGTAGTCGCCCATGGCGCGTTTTTGGCGCGCTTCAAGGGAAGTTGATGATGATGTTGATCCTCTGGCAGAGCCTGCGTTGATGTGATTTCCCAAATCCAGTTTGCTCGTGCCCTGCACAAATAAAGTGCCACAAAAGCAAAGCACAAAAAACCAGAACACGAGAGGTATGAAAAAAGGAGCTAAATATTTGAGATATTTCCTTGGAGGATGTTTTTTTATATTTTTTCTCCTCTTTTTTTTTTTTTTTTTTGAGGGTTCCCAGGCTGCCAAACTGTCGACACGTGTTAAGTTATTTTTATGCCGCCTATTTATGCTCATACTCGTACGTGAGCTGCACACTCACAACCCGTCTGATGATTGTATGTGTGCCTGTGGGTGTTAGTATGTGTGGGTGTCTGTGAATGTGCGAGTCAAGCACTTTATTGTTTCAATTTACAGCCTGGAAGAGCAGCGTGTGCCGCTTGATTAGACAACTCAATGTAGATTGAAATGCCAACACCTGAAATCGGCTTGTAAATCGCACTTCGCCCATAAACGCTCACACTAAGCGGGTATCTGTCTGCATGGGCGTATACTTGATATTAAACCTTCATTTGGCACAGCACTCAAGATTACACACAACAGAAATACCAAAAAAATTCTTTAACATATCTTTTTGAAGTTAAAGGACTGAAGTCTATTAGGAAATTTAATTTATTATATTAATTTATATTCATAATTTTGTTTGAGATGTTTTTTACGTTTCAAATATCGATATTTTTTAGTACAAAAGTTAGTCAAATCAATCTTAATATTAACCATTGTTCTCACTGCAGAATTTAATTCAACAAATTTGACCTTTAGCATAGATATTTAACCCAAATTGGGCAAAAGCAATATTAGCAAAAAGCAAACACAGCACCACAAATACCAAATGCTATGAACTGTGATGAGCTTGATACAATTTTAATCTATTGATTAATTAAGGCCTATTCGATTGCATTAAATTTTCACCACGAAATACTACAAAACACTAAGATCAAGCTATTTTAATTAGTGGTAAGAATTAGTTACGCAACACGTATACGCACTGTGGCTGCCCATGTATCCCGAATTTTAATTGGATGCGAATCGATTGCCTGCTGGCAACCAAAAAAAAACAAGAGAAAATTCCAGCATCTGCAACCTAATTGGTAGCATTTCAAATGCCGTTGACAGGGGGAAATGAGTATGCCAGAAAATGCAGCAGAAAAAACTTTTTGCACCGAATTTCCGCTTATAAAATTCAAGAGCGCTGGCAGTCGTTGGAAATTATCACGCTAAGTTGGCGAACTTGTGCCTGGGCAAATAACACTAATTAAGTGGCGCTTGTTTGGCCAACACTGCCACCCCAAAACACAGCACCTTTTCAGGACACCAGAGACTCACCTGCAAGGACTTTGCCTGACTGCAAACGAGGACGTAACAGGAAGCCGCGATTAGCAGCAGTGTGCAATAACTGGGACCACACATAACTGGCTATTTGGACTGTGTTCTGTGTGTACGGTCTTTTCTGGCTTTTACGAGTGGCGAGTGGCGAGTGGCCTCCTAGGACAGGACACTCCGGAAGCGCTGGACCTATTACTACTCTACTATAACTGGCGTATGGGACCACGTTGCGCTTTGGGACCGCTTTAGGGGACAACTGATGCCGAAAGCCTGGCAATCCGCAAGTTTTATAGCCAAATGCAAACGGCCCCATGTGAGCTTGATTAGGTCCCTGATGGACAGGCGCTAAGTGATTTGTTATGCACTCTAATGCCGCCTAAAGACAGCCCGCTGGTCAGTGTAAACAAGCGAATCAAACGGCAAATCCCAAACGGAAGTGCCAATTTGTCGCACACAGAGCGAGTGTTAAGCGGGACACACTGACTGGCATTCAAATTGGAAAGCTAATTGTAAAGCTTCCAGTCAGAGAAAAAATGTTCAGAAAATATTTTAAAAATTATTTTATAATCACATTACTTTTACACTTGGAATATGTTAAGCTTATGGACCAGCTTTCTCAGCAATATCCTGCATGTCAAATGAATGAAAGGATACTTAAATGACTGGAGTGGGCATTCATCGATAAGCCTTGAAATGTTTTATTATAGCGGCTTAATGAAAATATTTAACGCTTGCTTTCTGATAAGTGACATATCGTTTCACAGCCAGAAGGTAGACAATATTTTATAGTGGTTACAAGTTGTATGACATGAATCAAAATGAAATCTTCTTTAATTTTGCACAAATGAGGCATCAATTACCTTTATTATTCATTTATTATTGTTTTCAGGAGGCATTCATTTATGCCACCTTCTTATCAAATTTATTATTAACAAAAAATACGGCGCAGGAAAGGTGTCAATGAAAAGTAGAGTTGTTTTGGTAATGCGACTGCGTTTTTAAAGCGATAACGAACGAATGTTGAGATGAGCCGAGAGATCAGCGACTCGCCTTCACTTATCTCAGCTTATCTGCATCCAAACAGATAATTCTGCACTTACATTGTTGTTGTCAGTGATGCTGTCCAAGCAGCAAAAAGTGATTTTAATTTTAACTAAGTGAATGCTCCCGACAAATACAAAGATCTAAGGGTCAGAGACAGCAGTTAAGCAACAGCTATAAGCTGAGAATTATAATTACTAATATTGTCTGTTCTCTTTTTGAAACTAAAATCTCATTCAAGTGAGGACTTAAAGTAAAGTAAAAGATTATTCCTGCAAGCCATTTCTATAAACACTTTTAGCTGAAAGAAATCTTATAATATTTTTCGCTGTGCACCCAAGCGGAACCTGGGGCCATCCTGTTTAATGGAAATCAAAGCGCGTGTAAAGTCCGTCACGCCCCAGAAGGCGAGAGCATTTGGGCCAACGCCCACGGAGGATGCCAATGCCAATGCCGTTGACGCTGCCAATCGATCAATCTTATTTAAATGTTGACAGTTGTCTTCTCAATATTCCCAATATATTCCGACTTGGGGCCTGTTTTGCGCATGGGGAAAGGCTTGGTGTTCCCATAGCTTCACTGCTGGCTTATTTAAATGCCATTCGTGAGCCGCATTAGGTTCAATTTGTTGGCCAAACAGCTTGCACACCTGGGCTGACAAGAAGCTCCGGTCTTACTCCCTCCCTGACTGCCTTCCTGACGACTGCCTGTCAGCAGGCATTTAAAATCAGTTTCAGCGGACTCCGAATCCGACTCCGATTGTCGACTGTCAACTGAGAATGGGTCAGCAAGGCAGTATAATCAAATTCCTTATACGGCCAGAATGATATAAGCTACATTCACTTGGCCGAGTTTCGATAACAGCAGGCTGCAAATCACCAGGATTTTCAATTAACTAAACTTTGGCCCCTGTTCGGACATCAACAATCCATCAATCGAGTGTTTTTTTCTAGATGCTGCATCTGTTGCAGCTACTGGTCGAGTGTTTATTTGTGCCACTAATTTACACAAACATGACCCGGACACGACCCACAGACGAACTCGACCTGACGACCCCCAGCTGGCATTTATTTATTTAGTAACTCTATGTACGTGGTGCGACCTCTTTTTCCTAGCAAGAGCCAGCTCTGAAGGATTTATCTATTTGCCAACTGCTGAAAATGTATCCTTGAAAAATAAAAATAAACAACCATAAAGTTGCAAGAAAAAAAAAAAGTAATTTGACAAAACCGAAAGTGAGGGATTACCTAACACAGCAGTTTCCCCAGCAATCTATCAACAGATTTGGCAAAGTAACTAATTGGAGAGAAAAACTGCAAGAAAGTAACCTTACCTATCCATTATTGTATATATTAAAGAGTTTATTTTGCATTAAAAGTATACAAATTACAGCACACGAGCTAGAAGTTTTCGCAATAGCTAATTGCTGTTGGGCTTATCCCCAGTACAGAATGTGCTACAATGTGCTATTTAATTAATTGTACACATAGTAAAAACATAAAATGAGAGTACAATTTATTTCCGTAAATAGAAAATGTTTTGCAATCCCTGTGCTGAAATTCTCGTCCGTCAAGCTAAGCCCTATGGCATCCTGCCCCATATAGCTCACACTGACTGAAGGATTTAAACTGAATTAAATAGGATTAAATGTAGCCACAAAGAAAAACAAAATAGTTACTAATTGAGTCAATGCCATTGGAAAACTGAGTTATATTTTGAATACTTATTTTCATCTGTCAACTTCAGCTGAAAACAGATGGTTGTTCAGTTATCAGTTAGCCAGGTCCAGGAGGAAGCTGAAGCCAGAGGACATTCAATAAGTTACTGGCTTTCCGAGTGTTTGCCTTTCGAATTTGCCACTGGATCAATTATTTGCTCTTGCTCGCTTTATCAGTTTGCTAATGCTCCGGCGGAGGAGTTAAGTCCTCAAATGGCGCGGCAGCTAATGCCCCCCAACGTCCTTCGGCCGGGCTCAGGATGGCTAAGGGATTTAATTGAATTAGTCGTGTCCTGTGCGCGCGGCGCTTTGAAGTTTGCACTTTGCACCCCGCCTACTCGACCTGAGGGCAACGAGGATACACAGGACTCCAGTCCTGTGGGCAGGACCCGGCGCATTTTCCATTGACCCAGGATCCACGGAACGGGCCATGTTGACGTTTGCGCTTAGGCGGAACCCGAGTGCCGGAAGGGCAGAGGCTTTGTAAACTTTCCGCGATGGCAATAATTAAGCCAAATAGAGTGGGAGGGAGTGGGTGAGTGGGCCAGAAGGACTTTAGCAGTCAAGCGACCAATAAATAATGGCTTGTGAAATTTATAAGCCAAAGAAGATAGAGCGCACTGATGTGGTCTAAATCCGAGCATTAAAACATTTAGTTGCCAATCGAGAAAGAGAAGATGACCCCGGTGGATTGGTTGAACAAGTGGAAGTCGACAGCTCAAGGACAGACCAAGGAGCTGCAATGCAATCAATTTGCCAAGGCTATCCGTAGATAAAGAAGTAAAAAAAACCTTAAAAATATTAAAATCAAAACTCTGAAGGATATGGGATAGACAGACAAACTACTACTAGTATATCTGCACAAGTGGAACGAAAAACGTATAGCTAGCGATTTATGTGAGAGTGCCAAGGCCAGAGATTCAGCTTCAATTCAATGTAGAGACTTTAGTCTAAGCTTGTTTTTAGCTTCACCCTGATGATGTGCTAGCTTTTAAACGGCCAAATTGAGTCGCAAAAAGCTTGAAATAATATAAACTTAAAGATTAGTCGAGATTATGACGAGTCTTTTGTTTTACTTTTAGCCAGTGCAAAAGGATTTACAGTGTTCCATTGTGCAGAGGCGTGAGCCACCATGGAAACTTTACCCACTAGCTGCGAAGATAATCTCGCTTTAATCTCGCTTTTAAACGCAACAACTTGTCTATATAGCATTCTCCACAAGTGTCAGCACTTGACAGTACTGCTGTCGCTGGGGATATATAGAAATGCAGATGCATGCCAAGCGCTCACACTGCGTATACGCAATATATATTTCTGTTACGTTTAATGTAGGGAAGAGAAAAGAGAAAGTTGAAGTGGTTGAAATCCAACGACGGACAACTGACAGTCCTCTATGGGGAGAGCAAATATAGGATATAGGTTTTTCGTATGTTGCCCGGGCAAATCGATAGGCAATGGAGGTTTATAGCCCCTGAATTTTGTATATGCACATAAGAACTCCCCATCGCATTCTCATTTTAGCAATTTCATGCAGTTTCACAGCCTCACACTTTCCGATTATTTCATAAATTATTTATTTATTCATTTGCAGTTCCCGTGACGCCGACTGTTGCGCGCTTGAGTGCCGAAACGAATCGAATCCGAAGCTCGAGTTTCGACTTTTTGCCATTGCCAACCAGCTCCAATACGGCGATCCGAATGGAAAAAACGACCTGTAGAGGATTGGGAAATGGAGTGGAGGAGAAAGGTCGTAGCTTTAAGCAAATACTCGAAACACAGTGGAGCAAGATTGGCAACCAGGATGATGACGACGAACTTCGTCAGCCTTGTTTGCATTGCAGATTGCAATTACTCGCGTTTTAAGTTACGCACAGCAACCGAGGCAAAGATAAACCACAAGAACAGTGAAAAAGCATTAAAGAAAGAACTTGAATGAGCTGCGTTTCAATCACGGTGCGAAATTGAAGAGATGTCAGGGGTTAACGTCGCTGACCTTTTGGCCACGACAATGACATTGCCCATAACAGCCACATCAGCGACATCAACAACAGCAGCAGCAGCAGCAGCAGCAACATTCGTTGCAGTTAGTGCCACAACAGTGAAATCAGCCACCAACAGCAACAGCAGCGGCAGTCAGCTGCAATCTGCAACATTAACAAGCCACATTTCCACAGCAGCAACAGCTGCAACGACGACGACCAGTTTGCCTATAACATCACAATTTGTGGATGCCTCGTTGACTTCGCTATCATTAACAGCCACATCGTCAGCCTCCTATTCGTCCTTTTCCCCATCCTCAGAGTCCCCATTCGAATTTCTAGCGACAGTTGGGCCAAACATAACAGGCAATGCCAGCGAGATTGTCGTGGAGAATCAGGAAGAGTTGGAGGAGAGCTGGCTGGATCTATCACTGCTGCTGTTCAAAGGATTCATCTTCTCGTCAATTATCCTGGCCGCTGTCCTGGGAAATGCGTTGGTCATCATTTCAGTGCAGCGCAATCGAAAACTGAGGTAAGTTTATATCCCTCACCTGGATCACCCAGTTTTAATTGACGGTCATTGCCGCAAGGGGCAGGATAACAATGCAAACGGCAAACACAGTGCGGGTCAGAGGTAAAGGATAAATGCGAATGCGAATCCTTTTTGTGTCAGCGTAATAAATGTAATTTAAATGAGCGACAAGTGGAATAATAAAGCACGAAACGAAGTTAAATGCGACACACAAGCCCATCGCTGCCATGACAGCGCCACGATGACAGGACGCCCTAGAGTGCAGTGCAAATAAGTGTAGCATACAATTGAGCGCAGGGCTCGAAAAACCGCCCACCTCCTCCCTTGACTACCACGCCCCCTCGAGCACCGCCCCCACGGCAGCCGTTTAATGTTGCGCAACGTTTATGCCATCTGCAACGTGGGTAGATGTTGATTAAAGACTTTATTATCCTGCAAAAGCAGCTGAAAGTGCTCAGATTATCCTTAACTACCTTATTATAGAACGTAACCGGTTGCAATATAGGATCGCGTTAAGATATTACAATATAGAGAAGTACATAAATGTTATAAAAGCAACACATATAAGAAGCGTAAAGAGTTATTACTTGAAAGTATCATTTTTATATGCCGAGCTTAAGTGCAGCATTTAGATTATCTTGTTTAATATTGAGCAACAGGAGAAATAAAAATATGTAGGTTTTCTACAAAATAATATGAACTAAACATTGCTTAAATAACTCTTCTCCTTTTAATACCTATTCCAAGTTTCATAATAATTCTCTAAAATTAATTAATGTTTAAGAGAGCAAAAGTGCTTTTCTCTTCTCATAAAACTCCCTTTAATGCAACATTTACCCTGAAGAAAAGATAATAACTTCACATGACAGTGGCTTCCAGCTGAAGGTGGCAGCTGCCTAGTCAGTCGAATGACTTATGACAGCCAAGGAAATTGCTGCATACCAGGTGGTGACCTGGTGGCTCAAAGAGCGGAAATGGAAATGGAAAGCAGTGCAATGTTTAGCCAACAGAATAGAACAGAGCGGAAGGGAAGTCAAAGCCATAGCCAAACAGCTAAATCCACCGGACTCAGCACGTATGATGAATGCCATATGCCATTTCGTTTGTCGTGGTCTCTCTGTGAGGAGTGGTTAGAAGTCCGAAAGCCGGATCCAAATCCCACCCAGAATTCAACACTCACAAATTCCTTGGGTTTTGTTTCGTTCGCAGGGTGATAACCAATTACTTTGTTGTGTCGCTGGCTATGGCCGACATGTTGGTGGCCCTCTGTGCGATGACATTCAACGCCTCCGTGGAACTGTCCGGCGGAAAGTGGATGTTCGGACCGTTCATGTGCAACGTGTACAACAGCCTGGATGTTTACTTTTCCACAGCGAGCATACTGCATCTGTGTTGCATATCGGTGGACAGGTGAGTGCCCATTTATGTCACCATCTATATTAAACGGTTTAAAGTCTATTATGGCTGGGTGCGGCAGGAAGCCACATTTAAATCGACCATAAAACCATTAATCTTGACCAGATGCTGGCGCCCTCAAAATCACTTTCAATACCATTGCCCGGCGCATTGCCAAGAAGAAACAATTAATTACTGTGAAAGGCGCGCACATCAAAAGCAAACATTAGGGGCCTCCGCCCGTATGATGAATGCGGCCCAAATGATTTGCAGCTGGTCGAAACTTGGCCGTTCTCTCTATATATCCCCACCCATTCATATCCTTACCCATCCTCAACTCCACCAAGCTGTTAATTGGGCGCCATTCCTACTCAGAAAGCTCCGACAGCTGCGATTTTCGGGCTGACCAACAACAATGGCGAAGAGAATGGCGGATGGTCAATGGACATTGGCATGGGCCCTTTGTCTGTTTTAATTAATTTGTGTTTCGCTCACCTTTCGATGGTCCGAAAAAGATACCGAAAACAAAGGAAAATACAACCAGACCAATCGAAATTAGAAAATTAATGATGACCCTCAAGGGGAATGCTGCTAAACTAATAAATCTATCATTTATACAACACAAATTCTAGTCTCTGGAATATGTAATATTAATCAAAAATATATACTCTTTTGTGCCAAAAAGTATTATTAAATATTAATAAAAAGAAGGCATTCTTAGTTATTATTAAATAACAATTCAGTTTGTAAAAATTCATTCAGAGAAAAGTTAAAGCACAGAATGGAAACTTTATTTCTTTCACACTTTCAATGTTAACTGTTTTAAATTGAGAACAGAAGGCATTAATTTAGTCTGTCAATAATTATTGTTAATAACTAAAAGTAATTCTCTTAAATAGCACTTATCCAAAGATTAAATGCAATAGCTTTTTGATAGTTTAATAAATCGATTCCTTGGCATGGCAACCTGAGTACCGAAACACAATTATCCAGCCAGCCAAAGAGCGGCTGAAAGCCACCTGGTGCTTTTGTGGGTAGTGGCCCTGTCCGCAATTCATTTCCATTAATAAAGATGTCCCTCCTCCTCATGCTCCTCTCTTTTTCACCGCCTGTTTAACAGATACTACGCCATTGTGCGTCCGCTGGAGTATCCATTGAATATGACACACAAAACGGTTTGCTTCATGCTCGCCAATGTATGGATCCTGCCCGCCCTCATATCCTTCACGCCCATCTTCCTGGGCTGGTACACCACTGAAGAGCATCTGCGGGAGGTGTCGCTGCATCCGGACCAGTGCTCGTTTGTGGTCAACAAGGCCTACGCCCTCATCTCCAGCTCGGTGAGCTTCTGGATACCGGGCATCGTCATGCTGGTGATGTACTGGCGCATCTTTAAGTGAGTTGGGCCCCGGTCGAAGTTGATGGCTTGCTAAATTGCTCTGGTCTGTTCTCTGTGGTTTTTCCAGGGAGGCGATACGTCAGCGCAAGGCCCTCAGTCGCACCAGCTCCAACATCCTGCTGAACAGCGTCCACATGGGCCACACCCAGCAGCCCACCAACCTGAGCTATCTGCATCCCAGCGACTGTGATCTGAACGTGGCCTCTGCTCGCGAGGAGACACACAGTGCTCTTAGCAACTTGGAGGTGAGTTTGCAAAGTGGGAGGAAGCCTAGTTTGCTAATGAAAATCAGTGTTGCTAGTTTGATGGAGCAATAAAATTATATTGCATATAAATTGTTGGATATTAGTAGCTTAAATCTACTTAACTAAGATTGGATAATATAATTTGGTAAACTTATTTAATATTTGAATGCGCTTTTTGTGCATTTCCTTGATTTGCATATAAAAGGAAATATTTTCTTTCTAATTCACAAACGTTTTGTAAGAAAATCTTAAAAAGAAAAAGAGGAAGATAAACCCCCGAGGCCAACACTGACATCCAGACTCAAAGACCTTTTTCATCTTTAATAAAAGGATGCAGAGCGATTAGATTAGATGCTAGAGGGGCAGTACTCTATTCTAGAGTTTTTTCTTTGTGGTCCTGCGTAATTGATGCGCTGTCAGGACTCCCTATTGTATGCATGTGTGTGATTGCCTTTTACCCACAGGACATGCTGCAACCGGCCACCGACGAGGACGACGACAGGGACGAGTGCGATGAACTGCGTGTCCCGTCACCACCACCAAGACGTCTCAGCCGCAGCAGCATCGATCTGCGGGACTTGGAGCAAGAGCGGTACGAGAAGGTCACGCATACGGACAGCGCCCCCTCGATGATGGCCCTGCAGCAGCAGCAGCCGTCCCACAACCAGCTGCAGCCACCGGCGCCAGTGTTCAATCCACAGATATGGACGGAAGGCAAGATGATCCCGTCCAAGGAGATAGATAAGGACCAGAGCCATCCCTCTGCTCCGCAACAACAACTCAGCCTAACCAGCGGCAGTGGGAACAGTGAACCGGAACCGGAGTCCACAGCCTATCGGGTCTTCGGTCTCAACAGCGATGAGAGCGAGGGTAACGACCTGTACGACACCCATCTGCCGCTGGCCGAGGACAACAAGGAGCTGAAGCGCCTGATCGAAGATAACTATCTGTACTTCAAGCGGCAAACGGGTGGCACCATCATCAGTGGGCCAGGGGGTGGAAAGTATGCCGCACTCAGCGAAACGGATTTTATCCGCCTAAAAGCAGGTGCAGCAGCCTGCGGGAGGAAGGCATTCGCCTCCAGCGACTCGGAGTTCCTGCGCACCATCAGCGAATCCCGGGCAACGCCGGAACAACCACTGCCTGGTAAGGAGAAGGGCTTCAACATTCTCTCCCTGTTGGCCAAGACGAAGCGTTCGAGCACCGAGTGCTTTGCCTTGGAAAAGAAACGTCATCAGGCCAACTCTGAGGGATCCAGCTTCTTCCGACGTTCCCGGAACCGGAAATTGTCGCACAGCTACAACGGATGCGGCGGTGGCAAGGAACGCAAACTTGAGCGACGCCAGCGGCAGCACAGCGATACGGATTCCACGCCCAACAAGCCGGACATCCTGCTGGACATTAATGTGCTTAGCGAGCAGACCGGTGCCAGTGTGATCCAGCAGTTCAGTGATGGAGTTCAGCTGATTGACTTTAGCGAGGTGAAGACTCCGCCGGAGAGGATTCGCAGCGACGACGAGCTGGCCCAGCTGGCTGATTGTTTCGGGGAATCCCCCCAGCAGCCAGCTACGCCACCGCCATCGTTGTCGCCGCCAGAATTGCCGGAACCGAGTGGCTTGCTCATCACCAGCAGCTCGGAGCTGGCCGAGATTTTTCGATCGCTAAGCTTTCCACTGGGCCGACCAGCCGGCGCTCCACAGCGCCTAAGCACGCTGAGTGACCAGGTGTGCGCCAACTATTTGATGTCCCCACCGAACACACCGGCTCCACCGGCCATTTCCGTGGCCAATGGAGCTGCCATGGAATCTTCCTCCTCGAACGCGCAATCGGCGTCCATCAATGTGTACTTCCTGTCGCCGCCGCCGCATGCCGCCGGACCTGGGTATACGCCCAGTGACGCCTCCACCGTGTCCCTAGATGTGGTGACCACTTTGCCAATGCCCGTCCCTGTACCGCAGCCAAATCCCCAAATGCCCTCGCAGCCGAACATATCACCCAAGCCGGAGATCATACTCGATTCCACGCTGTCGCCAGTTGAAGGATGTGGCGATGAGCACCGGGATGTCACGTCGCCACTGTTCAAGCGCAAAGATAGCGCCGGCGATGCGGACGTGAGCGTTTCCGGCGGACTGGGTGGGGGAGGCGCTGGCCGCCAAGGACGTTGCAGCATCCTGGCTGGCTACGATGGCATCCAGACTGTTCGCAAGCGACAGGCGTCCGTGGTGACCTACGACGTGAATGTCATCAACTTCTCGCAGGAGAACAGTGACAGTCGCAGCTACATCCCCATGGGCCGCGTCTCCACCAGTTCAGCAAGTGAGTAGTCCGGTTATTGTGTAGACTGTTAAATTCGTGCCTGGATTAAGTAGCTCTTTTAGGACAATTTATTTCTGCCTTTTCGAAATTCGCTCTCTTTTTGTCAATTTCCCACTGGAAGTTCAAGAGATTCAAATGTTTTCTAAAATTATTACAAAATTCTTTTTTTTAATTTACTTATGAGCTAAAGAAGAATTGTTTAATATCTTTTTGATTTATGTCTTTGGTTTTTATGTACTCGTGTAGCCAAGCTAAATGTTAAAATATCCAAAAAAAAAAACAATAAAACTAAAATAAAATACATATAATGACAATATAGACATAGATGGAAAAATTGTTACTGATAGAAAGCATAATGTTGTGGAAAACCCATCAACATATGTTCATCAAAGTTGAATCTTACAAAAAGAAGCGCGAATTTCTTAAATACAGAGAGTACTTTACTATAGAGCCTATAAACTTGCATTGAAAAAGTTAAACAAAATACTTCAAAAAGTATCTTTAGCTAATTCCTAATGGAATCTTAGTTGATTAGCTTAACATAGAATAGTGCCAGCTTATAGTTAGTTGCACCTGCAAACGAAGACAGAAAGGGACGACCTACTTGAAGAGATAGGAACCCGATGATAGAGTCCTGAAACCCCTCCTATTCGATCCCGATCCTTTGCGTTTGCCGGTGCATGGCAAGCACGTCTGCATGTGATCTTGAAGAGCATCTGAAGAGTGTGCCCAAAACTAAATACGTATATACATATAGAGTGTCCTGTTCTGTCCTGTGAAATACCTATTGTACATTGTCTACTACTCGTCTCTATCTGTCTCTCTTTATCTCTCTATCTATATCTCTTCCACGCCATTTCGTTGTGTGTTGTATGTGTATATATGTAAAATCAAATCACCAAATTATGTCCAACCAAAAAACAAACTTCTACTCCAAAAAACCAACTCCAACCAAAACAAACAAAAATCCTGAAAATGCGGTGGCCAAATTAAAAATCGAAAAACGAAACCAATCAACAAGCAGAGCACGAATTTTCCAATAAATCCTCGCTGATCCGACGCGGCGGCATCTGCATCTTTGTGGATGAGGAGGAGGCGGAGATCATTGAGCAGCGGCCACGTGGTATCACCTTTGCCGCGGTGCCCAGTCCGCTGCCCAAGTGTCCGCTCTGCGGCGCCGACATCAGCAGCACCACAACCACCACCGCAAACGCCGGCACCACAATCGACAACACTGAAACCACCAATGCAAGTGCAAGTGCTAGTAGTAAACGTAGTATTCACGAGCCAACTCCAGATCTTGGCCAGGGGTCCAGGTCGAGGTCAAGTTCCACTCGCTTCTGGCACAAACGAACGGCGGCGGTCACAGCATGTTGGCAGCAGAGCAAGAACCGGAAGCGCCTCCACAAAACCGGATGCAGTCACTGTGGTGCAACCGGTGAGTCTTGTCGTATCCCCTCCTCTCCTCCCCAATGCCTTTCTCTCTCTTTTTCCTGCTATCTCTGTGTCTCTGACTCTGTCTTTTTGCTTGTCTCAGCTTCAGCACCTGCCTCATTCACTCACTCTTCTCTCCCACTATCAAAGTCAATCATTCGACTTTCCATAATCCAGAATTTATATAGCTTCATTGGCATTTCATACTTTAATCCATTTCATTTCAACCTCAGCCGTTATTTTTTGTTTTGGCATCGAAACGTAATACATCATCTTATTATCACAGCTTAACCATGTCCTGCACATATCAAATCAAAATCAAAAATATTTGTTTTCCATATATTAATCTGAGGTTTTCTTTTTCAAAATCAAGGATTAATAATATAAAGTTAAAACATGGGCTTGCCTTTAAATTATCTTAATTAAAAAAGCACTTTAAACTATATAGTCATATATAATGACTCAAATCTTCATGAATTCAAAACCTAATCGCCACTCAGGTGATAACCAAACTCGACTTAAATATATATCAGAAATAAATGCTAAGTGATACCCAAGAGCTTCCCCAGTTTTCAAAGCCCTCAGTAAATGATATCCAACTTGAGTGGCAAATCCCCACAAAAATGCCAGTTTTAGGCACCTTCTTATCTGGATACCCAGCTAACCAGCTTTGGCAACTAAATCCGGAGGGTCATACCAACAGCCCAACAGCCCAACCAACCATCCAGTCAAACCTCATGTTTCCTCCAGCTCCTCCACTCGCTGCCCTCATGCTGTACATAATTGCTTCCGTTTGCACGTGCGTTTGCTTTGCTTTATTGCGCCTCCTCACTGCCTTTCGTTTTGCATTATGATTTCACCTGGTTCTGGCCACCTCCGAGTGGCATTCATCAGGGGATCCAGGTAGCCTAACCGGCTGGATGGGCGAACTTCGATGGGGGTTTGTCCGCTGCTTCCTGTTGCTCACTGTCTGTCTGATTTGTGTTTCTTCCTGCACTCCAGTGATGTTTATGTTTATGTTTGGGCGGGTGGATTGGCTGGATACGGAGGGACGGGGAGATGTATGTCTTTGTGATAACAAGTGTCCTGTGTAAATATTTTCAATTGTTTGCCTCGTTTTTATTACTTTTCCCGCACACGCACATGCCACCACAGAGCACCAAGATACAACACATGTTGGCCTTTCCAGCCAGTTTAATGACAGTTGCTGCAAGGTGGGCGAAGGGGGCGGGGCCGGACAGGGTGAAATGCCATCGATACTCAACAACATGCAACAACTAAAGTATTTCTAATGTCAAAGCTAAACATACCAGGATACAACCCGTCTCACACACGGCGTATACGCAACATGCCGACATCCTTTCTCTCTTACAATAAAACGTACATAAACACAAGTTTTTTTTCATTATTACACTCAGAAAATAAAAATAGGTATAGGGAATTAGAAGATATAGACAATTATATATTATTTAAAAAAGTTTGATAAGTTTAAATCGTCAAAGACGTATATTGTTTAGCCATATATTTATTGAGCTTCTTGTCAGAACCAGATACGCGTTACTTGTTATCTAAACTTAAAAGTTGTGAAATTTTAAAAATTGTTAATTTCAAAAGAAAGTTAATAATACTCTTTAAAATCGGTCCTTATCTACTCTTTTACTGTTTAGAAATAAGATACAATTTCTATCTTAAACGGGCACATCTTACATTTACATAAAACTTTCAAGAGGTAGACCTAAAATTTCAAAAAATTAAGCTCAACAATTTTTTAAATTTCTTAATAATAAGTCAATTTTTTATATAAGTGTACCCACACACACACACACATACATAAAACTGAACCAGAAAACTGTCAATTGCAATGGCTTAACAAGAACTTGACTCTGGCCAAAGTCCCAAAGACTGGGTCGCAACCGAGACGAATCGAGTCGATTCGAAGCGAATAGAATCGAATCGAATTGAACTTAATCAGCCAATTGCCTTCTTTCATTTCGGTCCTAAACTCTTTATCTGCCCCCACAGGCGGTTCCGTGCGTCCGGCCAAAGGATGGAAGGCCGAACACAAGGCCGCCCGCACTCTTGGCATCATCATGGGCGTATTTCTGCTCTGCTGGCTGCCCTTCTTTCTGTGGTAAGTGGTAGGCCGTAAACGGTAATCCGTAATCCGTAATCCGGTGGGCCGACGTTTTCTGGTGGCTCATCCTCATATGATTCTCACTCAACGTTTTCTTCTTCTTCACCCCATCCAGGTATGTCATCACATCGCTATGCGGACCAGCATGTCCCTGCCCCGATGTGCTGGTGGTGGTTTTATTCTGGATCGGTTACTTCAACTCCACACTAAATCCGCTTATATACGCCTACTTTAATCGCGATTTCCGCGAGGCATTCCGCAATACTCTGGAGTGTGTGCTACCATGTCTGGAGAAACGAAATCCATACAACGCCTACTACGTCTAGACCGGATAGCGACTGCATCCCGTCAGCCCAACACATCCCAACCCTTCGATACGGAACAATGCCCCTATAAGTGATATTTAATACTTGAGTGAATCGTTATATACCAAGAGAAGAAAAAACAAAAACAAAGCAAAGAAAAACAAGAGCTACGGCGAAGAACCAGGAGCATTCGTGCAAGGATCTAGAGCTGGAGAAAATCCTTGGAGCTAAGCAATACTCAATGTGTGTTTATGTATACGTGTACATTTTCATTTAAGCAACGATAGGGAATTTAAATTAAAGTTGTGTTCTGAGCCCGCCAAGCAGCGGTTGCAGGGACAATGCTGCCCCCCAGGAACTATACTATCCATATATAAGTGTTGTTCTGTCCAACTAAACAGGAGATATACGTAAAAACTATACATATGGACGAGGAAAAAAAAAACAAAATTAGAAATCGCGCGACTCTATGCATATAGAAAAATCTAAATTATAAAAGAAATGTTGTCAAATGAAACATAAGGTATCTTCGGCTAGTCGAAGATGAAACACTTTTTCCATAGATTATAAAGTCACAAAATTGTTAAAACATTTGTCTGAGAAAGTTAATTACTTTGTATTAGTTTTGAAAACTAACTGAATATATTTCAGAATATGAGTTAAGAAAACAATAGTTGTGGAAAATCTCTTCTTTTCATAAATAATAGGGCAAAGTATTATTATGTTTAAAATCATTTTTAAGATCTTGAAGATTAAAACTCAGAGGGCTTTTTCAAGAACACAAAATCATGGAGAAAGTGCAGTGCCATAATCTTACCTATAGTTTTAAGTATCATATTTAACCTAGAAAACTAGAAAACCAAATCTACATAATCGAGTTAAATGAAATTGAAAATTATAAATTACGCAATCGAAATTATGTGAAGAAAAGAAAACAGTAGAAAGTGAAAGAGAATTGTGTAGGTGGACGTTATGAATTTTCAAGCAGAAAGACAATCTACCAATGAGTAAACAAGAATGAACTATGAACAACCAAAATTGGCAAGGTGTAGGTAAAATCCGCTATTCGCTGCAAAATCGATTCACTTATTTCAATTTAGTTAGTTGGATTCCCCCCTCTCTCCTGAGTTGCGACGACTTTTGTGATAGTAAAGGAAATTGATTGTATTTCTAGTTGAATTGGTTTGCGTTGAGTAAATGTAATGCATCCCGTCTAAGAATCTGTAGGATGCACAATGTATGTATATGCGTGTGTCTAAGTATGTAAGGCCATGTATCGCTATGTATTTCAATGTACTTGCTGAACTAAACTATTGCAAATTAAAGTGTGAAACTAATGTGTTTTAAATGCAGAAATGAATGTACTTACCTGTAATGGTTATGTATATGTGATGAACAAGGACTAATGACGGGGCTCAGATTCAATTCATTATAGCGCATTTTCGCCCATCATTCCTGAAATGAATTTCTAACTTTTTCTGAAATACAGAAAAAAAATCAGAAAGCATTTAATTTAATTGGCTCATTAATACAGAAATTTCGATTATAAAATATCTTCCTTTCTTCTGATAATTATCATTGACTACATTTGTTTTTTTACGCTTTCATTTGACTTATAATTATTTTCAAAATGGAAACAATCTTGATTGTAAGATTTGAACAGACCAGTTTCGACCTGACCTCACGTAATTTGATTTGTGATGAGATTTCATTCCTAATCCTTCTAAGGAATGCCATTATCAACGTTATATCAATAAATTTAAAAAGATATTGTTCACCGATTATAACGTTAATTCCTTGCATTTGGAATCAAAAAAAAAAAACGGAACTGCAGTAGCTCCATTAAAACGCTTGGAATCTCTTTAACACATCAAATATGATTTTTATTTTTTTGATTTTTAAATAAATATAAATTTTATATAAACCTAAATAAGCGTATACGAATTTGTAGCTAACTTAATACTATAATTCTACAGTTAAAACTATTTACATTTTCCTTGAGAATGGCAATCAAATAATTTGTATCACGTTTTAAAACTTATGCTGGGAATGCATCCTTTTGTAAGTCTCTTTGGCTTTAGTCGACCTCCTCGACAGTCGGTCCCTGAGTAGCCGCCGAAACCTCCAGCCTGCTGGCCGCAGTTAGCTCCAGGACCACCAGTGGCTCCCGCTCCCTGCTGGTGCATCTTTGTCATGATGGGAGAGCAGTGGCGGGTGAGCTCCTCCAGCTTGTGGTCGAACTCCTCCTTCTCGGCGGTTGTATTGCTGTCCAGCCACCGAATAGTGTCGTTGCACTTATCCAAGATAGAGTTCTTGTCGGCATCTTCCAGTTTGCCAGCGGGGGCCTGCTCCACAGCCTGCTTTACATTGAAAACGTAGCTCTCCAGAGCATTTCTAGAAGTGATGCGCTGGCGCTGCTTCTCGTCCTCGTCAGCGTATTTCTCAGCTTCGTTCACCATGCGATCAATTTCGGCCTGTGAGAGTCGTCCCTTGTCGTTCTTGATCGTAATGTTCTTGGCTTTTCCAGTGCTCATCTCCTTAGCGGCAACGTTCAAGATTCCATTTGCGTCCATGTCGAAGGTAACCTCTATTTGGGGCACACCCCTTGGAGCTGGTGGAATGCCAGACAGATCAAAAGTTCCCAGTGCGTTGTTATCCTTGGTCAACGCACGTTCGCCTTCATATACTTGAATGGAGACTCCGGGCTGGTTATCCGAGTACGTTGAGAACGTCTTGGTCTGCTTGCAAGGTATCCGGCAGTTGCGCTCGATCAGCTTGGTCATGACCCCGCCAGCGGTCTCAATTCCCAGTGAGAGTGGAGCCACGTCCACCAGCAGCACATCTTGAATTTTGCCACTTTGGTCTCCAGTAAGGATAGCGGCCTGGACTGCGGCTCCGTAGGCCACTGCCTCGTCAGGATTGATGGAAAGGTTCAGGCTCTTTCCGTTGAAGTACTGTTGCAACAGGCTCTGCACCTTGGGGATGCGCGTCGACCCGCCGACTAGCACGATGTCATGGATCTGTCCCTTATCCATCCTGGCGTCAGTAAGGGCCTTCTCCACGGGCTGCAGGGTGTTGCGGAAGAGGTCCGCGCACAGCTCCTCGAATCTGGCACGGCTCACCTTAGTGTAGAAATCGTGACCTTCAAACAATGCGTCGATCTCGATGGTGGCCTCTGTGCTGGACGAAAGTGTGCGCTTGGCCCGCTCGGCAGCCGTCCTTAGGCGTCGCAGGGCACGAGGGTTGGAGCGCAGATCCTTCTTGTACTTGCGCTTGAACTCATCCGCCAGGTGGGTCACCAGTCGGTTGTCAAAGTCCTCGCCACCAAGATGAGTGTCTCCAGCGGTGGAACGCACCTCAAAAAGCGATCCCTCGTCGATGGTCAGGATGGAGACGTCGAAAGTGCCGCCTCCCAGATCGAAAATTAGCACATTGCGCTCTCCCTTGAGATTCTTGTCCAGCCCGTAGGCTAGTGCCGCCGCTGTGGGCTCGTTGATGATGCGGAGCACATTTAGGCCGGCGATGTGACCAGCGTCCTTGGTGGCCTGGCGCTGGGAATCGTTGAAGTAGGCAGGCACCGTGATGACAGCGTCCGTGATACTCTCGCCCAAATAAGCCTCTGCCGTCTCCTTCATCTTGGCCAGCACCATCGAGCTGATTTCCTCAGGGGCAAATCTCTTGGCCTCGCCCTTAAACTCCACTCCGATCTTGGGCTTTCCGCCGTCACTTACTACTTTGAAGGGCCAGTGTTTCATGTCCTCCGCGATTTTGGGATCATCATACTTGCGACCGATGAGGCGCTTGGCGTCGAACACGGTGTTCCTGGGATTCATGGCCACCTGATTCTTGGCGGGGTCGCCGATAAGGCGTTCCGAGTCTGTGAAGGCTACGTAAGACGGAGTGGTGCGGTTGCCCTGATCGTTGGCGATGATCTCCACCTTTCCGTGTTGGTAGACACCCACGCAGGAGAACGTGGTGCCCAGATCGATTCCAATAGCTGGCATTTTGTGTGTTTCTTCTTACTTGGCAATTAATAGTTTGATGTTTCTAACTTGTTCCTCTTTACTTCAGTAATAACTTCTTGATAAATAGCAGTTATTTTACTTAATTCACTTTAACTTATTACTCTGTTGCAGAATATTTAGCTTTCCAGCTGCGCTTGGTTTGCTTAGCTTATGCTTAGCGATGTGTTCAGTTTGCTTGTTTGATTTCAATTGACGCTAAGAGAACCGAGCGGCTGTATTTATACCCAGCCGCTCTCTTCGCGAACATTCGAGACTTGCTCTCTGGAAGCATCGAGAACTGTATACGGCGACGTAGCGGGCAATAGCGCAGAGAGAGAACCGGTCATTTAAGAGAGGGTAAATAACAATTGGTGTTGCACTGGCAAATTCTCGACTTTTCCCTGGGTCAAAAAACAGACCTACCCCAACAAATGCTATTTGTTTGGGTTTCTGGAAAATTCGGCATATTTTGTTTACTTTGTATAAAAAGACTTCGAGAAAAAATATATTTATTTAATTTGGGGGCCATGCAAAAAACAAGAATATATTCAATGTAAACTAAAAAAATTTAGGCATTATAAAGAATGTCCAAGTACAAACATGCAGTACATACCAAATTTTGGGTTGTTTCTGCCACTCTTCTATTAGAGCCACCTTTAGCCTTTGTTTTTATTGCGCGTTTTTTAACGCGCCTATCCAGCTCTTCCCACAAATTCTCAATGGGATTGAGGTCTGGTGATTGAGGAGGATGCGGCAGAGTATGTTGGACGTTATGTGCGATCCACATACGCACATCATAAGCCGTATGCTTTGGGTCATTATCATGCTGAAATGAGAGTGATGGTGGCAATTTCAACTTTTCGGCACTTTGTTCTAAATTTCTTTTTAAAATATCTAAATAATATTTTTTGTCCATGATGCCTTCTATAAACTCCAGTTCGCCGACCCCTGAAGCGGACATACAGCCTCACACAACAATAATTACTAATAATTTTAGGTCATAAAAAATTACTTTTTTGTTTTATTAAGGAAATTATCTAGTATTTAAGTTTAAACTTGTTATTTTTATTTTTCAAATATATGTTCGAAATGTATATCTTTCATTTGATATATTACATTTCAATTTCCGTTACGTATTTCTCGATATATTAAGGAATAAACTTGCAACTAATGGGTGTACGAATAAATGTATGTATGTATGTATGTAGCTTCATTTGAACATACATATGTACATATGTATGTATGATAAGATTCGTATGGGGTATCTTTAGTACAATTTTTTCTTTGAGAGGCAGTACGTTTGTTCGCCAACCTTCAGCTTACAATCACCTCCATTGATCCCTAATTTTCAGCGCGATATAAAACGTAACCGACTTTACTGGAAACGGAAAACCTTTTTAAAATTAAAATGCGGTGAAGTACATAGATAAGCTAAGTGACCTCACAAATTAATTAGATTTTCATTACCAATAAAAATAAGGAAATATTAAGGAATAACAAAAACAATTTCTTGGCAGTGTCAAACAAGATTTAAGTTAAGTTAAGTAAGTTTTAGTTTTCGTTTTTTATTCGCTCCCATTGCAATATTTTGTGCCCTCCAAATTAAATAAATATATTTTTCCTAGAAGTCTTTTATATAAAGTAAACAAAATATGTCGAATTTTCCAGAAACCCAAACAAATAGCATTTGTTGCGGTAGGTCTGTTTTTTGACCCAGGGAAAAGTCGAGAATTTGCCAGTGCAACACCAATTGTTATTTACCCTCTCTTAAATGACCGGTTCTCTCTCTCTCTTGTCCGCTACCTCGCCGTATACAGTTCTCGATGCTTCCAGAGAGAGTGTCTCGAATGTTCGCGAAGAGAGCGGCTGGGTATAAATACAGCCGCTCGGTTCTCTTAGCGTCAATTGAAATCAAACAAGCAAACTGAACACATCGCTAAGCATTAGCTAAGCAAAACAAGCGCAGCTGGAAAGCTAAATATTCTGCAACAGAGTAATAAATTAAAGTGAATTAAGTAAAATAACTGCTATTTATCAAGAAGTTATTACTGAAGTAAAGAGGAACAAGTTAGAAACATCAAACTATTAATTGCCAAGTAAGAAGAAAGACACAAAATGCCAGCTATTGGAATCGATCTGGGCACCACGTTCTCCTGCGTGGGTGTCTACCAACACGGAAAGGTGGAGATAATCGCCAACGATCAGGGCAACCGCACCACCCCGTCCTATGTGGCCTTCACAGACTCGGAACGTCTCATCGGCGATCCCGCCAAGAACCAGGTGGCCATGAATCCCAGGAACACGGTGTTCGACGCCAAGCGCCTCATCGGGCGCAAGTATGATGACCCCAAAATCGCGGAGGACATGAAACACTGGCCCTTCAAAGTAGTAAGTGACGGCGGAAAGCCCAAGATCGGAGTGGAGTTTAAGGGAGAGGCCAAGAGATTTGCTCCTGAGGAAATCAGCTCGATGGTGCTGGCCAAGATGAAGGAGACGGCAGAGGCTTATTTGGGCGAGAGTATCACGGACGCTGTCATCACGGTGCCTGCCTACTTCAACGATTCCCAGCGCCAGGCCACCAAGGACGCTGGTCACATCGCCGGCCTAAATGTGCTCCGCATCATCAACGAGCCCACAGCGGCGGCACTGGCCTACGGGCTGGACAAGAATCTCAAGGGAGAGCGCAATGTGCTAATTTTCGATCTGGGAGGCGGCACTTTCGACGTCTCCATCCTGACCATCGACGAGGGATCGCTTTTTGAGGTGCGTTCCACCGCTGGAGACACTCATCTTGGTGGCGAGGACTTTGACAACCGACTGGTGACCCACCTGGCGGATGAGTTCAAGCGCAAGTACAAGAAGGATCTGCGCTCCAACCCTCGTGCCCTGCGACGCCTAAGGACGGCTGCCGAGCGGGCCAAGCGCACACTTTCGTCCAGCACAGAGGCCACCATCGAGATTGACGCATTGTTTGAAGGTCACGATTTCTACACTAAGGTGAGCCGTGCCAGATTCGAGGAGCTGTGCGCGGACCTCTTCCGCAACACCCTGCAGCCCGTGGAGAAGGCCCTTACTGACGCCAGGATGGATAAGGGACAGATCCATGACATCGTGCTCGTCGGCGGGTCGACGCGCATCCCCAAGGTGCAGAGCCTGTTGCAACAGTACTTCAACGGAAAGAGCCTGAACCTTTCCATCAATCCTGACGAGGCAGTGGCCTACGGAGCCGCAGTCCAGGCCGCTATCCTTACTGGAGACCAAAGTGGCAAAATTCAAGATGTGCTGCTGGTGGACGTGGCTCCACTCTCACTGGGAATTGAGACCGCTGGCGGGGTCATGACCAAGCTGATCGAGCGCAACTGCCGGATACCTTGCAAGCAGACCAAGACGTTCTCAACGTACTCTGATAATCAGCCCGGAGTCTCCATTCAAGTATATGAAGGCGAACGTGCATTGACCAAGGATAACAACGCACTGGGAACTTTTGATCTGTCTGGCATTCCACCAGCTCCAAGGGGTGTGCCCCAAATAGAGGTTACCTTCGACATGGACGCTAATGGAATCTTGAACGTTGCCGCTAAGGAGATGAGCACTGGAAAAGCCAAGAACATTACGATCAAGAACGACAAGGGACGACTCTCACAGGCTGAAATTGATCGCATGGTGAACGAGGCTGAGAAGTACGCTGACGAAGACGAGAAGCAGCGCCAGCGCATCACTTCTAGAAATGCTCTGGAGAGCTACGTTTTCAATGTAAAGCAGGCTGTGGAGCAGGCCCCCGCTGGCAAACTGGAAGATGCCGACAAGAACTCTGTCTTGGATAAGTGCAACGACACTATTCGGTGGCTGGACAGCAATACAACCGCCGAGAAGGAGGAGTTCGACCACAAGCTGGAGGAGCTCACCCGCCACTGCTCTCCCATCATGACAAAGATGCACCAGCAGGGAGCGGGAGCCACTGGTGGTCCTGGAGCTAACTGCGGCCAGCAGGCTGGAGGTTTCGGCGGCTACTCAGGACCGACTGTCGAGGAGGTCGACTAAAGCCAAAGAGACTTACAAAAGGATACATTCCTAGCTTAAGTTATAAAATGTGATAAGAATCAATTGATTGCCATTCTCAAGGAAAATGTATATTGTTCTAATTACAGTATTGCAATCCTAAGTTAGAAACAAATTGTTATAAGCTTAATTAGCATTATGAAAATAAATACATTATTTATTTTACTTTTTAAACATCTATTTCTTGCGTTATATATTTCTAAATCGAAAGGGCGGTTTTTATATTCGGGGCTTATAAAAGGCAAATTCTAAGCATATAATCTGTCTAAAATATAAGAGGATTGTTAAACAGGCAAGTGTCCCGATTTTTTTTAGACAAATTTTATTGAATTTTGGTGGAAAACTTTCTTTTTGAATTTAATGAAAGCTTTGCGCACAACGTTTTGTAAACTTTTAGAGACCGAGTTGGCAGCCCCATCAATCAGCTGTGGCTAGAAGATGCAGAGCAACCCAAAAACCCGCCTACAAATATTGTTATTTTGATTAGATTACAGATTACAGAATGGAGCCGCCGTACGCCCCGCTAAGTGAATCCTGCGCCAAGGCGCTGGGTGACAAGGTGTATGAGAAACGAAAATTGGCTTCGCAGGAAATCGAGAAGTAAGTATTCAGTGAAGTAGCCCTCAAGATTCGTCATCCTAATTGGAAAGTACTATCTCCGCTAGAATGGTCACGGAATTTAACAATAAGAACAATTCGGCACAGATCCGTAAGCTGATTGAGGTGCTATCCACGGATTATGCCACATCCCGAGATGCAAACCGAAGAAAAGGGGCGCTCATCGGTCTCGCAGCCATGGGATTAGGGCTGGGCAAGGTATACCCATTAGTCATCGAAGTGTCGTAGTCTGATAACTAAATATGTACGGGGTTTTCAGGACTCGGGAAAATATGTCCAAGGTCTGGTGCCGCCCATCATGACCTGCCTATCAGATCCAGATCTGCGTGTACGCTACTTTGCCTGCGAGTCACTGTACAACGTGGTTAAGGTGGCCAGATCTGCCATCATTCCTTTCTTTCCAGAGCTTTTCGCAGCATTATCCCGACTCGTCACCGATTCAGATCAGATGGTTAAAGATGGCAGTGAATTGCTGGATCGCTTGCTGAAGGTATATTTTTATTTATCCGTATATATATATTATAATACCCTTATCTTGTGTAGGACATTGTCACAGAATCATCGCAGACCTTCAATCTGGAGGCATTCATTCCTTTGCTGCGTGAGCACATCTATGTGAAGGATGCATTTGCCCGTCAATACGTGATCTCATGGATATCGATCCTGAACGCTGTGCCAGACATTAACATGGTTAACTACTTAACCGAGATTCTGGACGGACTCTTCGTTATGCTTGAGGACAACACGCCCGAGATCCAGCGCATGTGTGAGACAACAATCAGTCAGTTTCTAAAGTCCATAAGGAATGACTCGTCATCCGTTCGAATGGAAGACACCATCAATACGCTAATAACCCATGCACAATCGCCCAATGAGCTAATCAAATCCATTGCAATCACCTGGATCCGGGAGTTTGTCCAGATATTTGGCCCTAACGTATTACCTTATGCTAGCGGAATATTTACAGCGATATTGCCGTGTCTGGAGTACAATGTGGAGTCCAAGAGGAGTAGGATAAAAGCACACTATATAGACCAGAAAACTTAAGTGTTTAAATTTCAGGTATTAAAGAGTGCGCAGTATCTGTTAACAACTCGATGATGTTGCTGGTGTCGAATAAAGAGCTGAAGACGAAGACAGTAGCGAAGATTGATTTACGTTCAATTATGGATGTACTCTCTCAGTATCTCACGCACAATTCCATGCACACAAAGATCGCTGTATTGAAGTGGATCCACCATCTTTTCACCAATTTTCCAAATGAAATGTCCGAGCACGCTAGTAACTTAAATAATAATCTTTTGTTAACGTTGGCCGACAACTCGGACGAGGTAGTTCTCCAAAGTTTGTCCGTTTTAGCAGAAATAGTTAATTCTCAGGATAGTAGAGGTAAGGTGTATTTATTACAAAACCGTATTCCTAAGCTAATGTGCTGATTTTTCACAGAATTGAATGACTTCGACAAATCGCACTATCGCAAGTTTTTACTTAGCTTATTGAATCTCTTCAATGAGGAGAAACTCATATTGGAGAACAGAGCCAGCCTTATTATAAGGTAATTCAACCAAAACCTTATTTGACAAATATTTCAATCTATAATATGATGTGTGACCTACTATTTTTTTAGAAAACTCTGTGTGTTGCTGAATGCCGAATATATTTACCGGACCTTTGCAGAAATAATAGCTGAGGAGCCAAACTTAAAGTTTGCATCAACGGTTGTGCGACTGCTAAACATTATTTTGCTCACCTCAACTGAGCTCTTCGAGTTGCGTACCAGTCTGAGAAATATTTCCAACGAAAAGTCAGCAGATCTCTTTCAATGCCTTTATAAAAGTTGGGCCCACTGCCCGGTATCAACACTGTCCCTCTGCTTGTTGGCCCAGAGCTACCAGCATGTATCTCATTTGGTTACATTGTTGTATGTTTTGAAAAAGCTTATGGATTCTTTAGCTATTAAAGTATAAATCTTTCAGTGCTGATGTTGAAATCACCTTGGAGCTGCTTACCGAACTAGATAAATTAGTTCAGTTGATAGAGTCTCCCATATTTGCTCCATTACGTCTCACGCTCGTTTCCAAAGCGAATAACTGCGCGGATGCCCAGTACTTGGCTCATGCCTTGTTTGGCATCCTGATGTTGCTACCACAGACAGAAGCTTTTGATACTCTTCGGAATCGTCTGCAATGTGTACCAAACTACTGGGGTCACGAACCTATGTAAGATATTGACTTGCTAAATGCTTTTAAAATACAATTTTACACTTTATAGAGATGAGCGAAACTCACTGGAGTACAAAAGTCGCATAGACTTCAATGCTTTGGAACAGCACTTCATTAAATTGCAAAAAGCACACCGGGAGCAGCGTATTGTACACCGGAAACGGAGTGTAATTACTCCTGAAAGTAACTAGACTTCTTAAGCATACCCTTTTTATGTAGCCTGTGATTCAGTGTGCAGTTATTTAATTCACATATTTTATTTAAATAAATTTGAATCTAATATACCCTAACATAGCAACACAAGCTTTAAAGTTGGAACCCCATAAACAAACACAAAAAGACCAACAGTTTGTAACAAAAAAGATAACAACGATGTGTTTACCATTTCCACAATCCAAATTTTCCAAATCTTATTTATATTTTTTACCAACTATCAATAAATAAAAAAATCCGTTTCCCTAACTGTTCCATTTATTTAAATTTTCGAATACCAGTAGGCAGTGAAGTGCAATGATGCTGATACATTTGCAAAAGGAATATTGTATCGTCAAGGGTCAGTTCGGCTTTCAACAAGGTTTTTATTCGATTTTTTACCTTATTCAAAATCTCGCACTCCGGTGGAGTAATAGTTTCCCCAATCTGAAAAGCAATAATGCGAGTTTAAATTAATTTACAATTGAAAAATTTAAAAATACCTCAGCGATATATTCGTCAGTCTCTCCGCGCTCCTTCATTGTCTCTACTATGCTGTCTAGTCTTTGTGATTTCTCAATGAGACCCTTATGCTCATTTTTTTCAAAGTTCGATCGTTCTATTGTGTTATAAAGGGACTTGTAGCTGGCATCCAGTAACATTCTCACGGTCTGAAATTCGTAACCAAAAATTTAAAAAGCATTTATTTTTAACCAGTGTTACTTACATCTTTCTCTTTGACTTGAAAGAGGTAGAAGGCTTTGGCAGGGCCATTACTACCTCCTCCCGGCTTCTTAATTATCTTAACGTGTATAAACTGTTCTTGGAATAGATTATATGCCAGCGACTTGGCTTCTTTAGAAGGTATCATCGCTTCCTTTTGCAGATCTTCCTGTTCTATGTATCTCTTGCATCGAATTACTCGAAATATTCGTGCTGCCTTCGAGCCAAAACGTTCCGTTATGACTGACTCTACGCAAGCAAAGGCAAGGGACTCGAAGGCATGTTCCATATCCACAACATACACTCCACCACCCATGTCTCCCACTCTTCGGAAAAATCCCAGGGAGTCCTCAGCTTAAAAATTAAGCCAATTTATTATTGAAGTACGTATGTATATGTACTTTTTTGCGAACTATACTTACTCAACAAACTTATGTACTGGTCCATGTACTTCATAAGATCGAGGTTATTTGATTTCCTTTCGATGGCCTGTTTAATTTCCACAAAAGTTATCTGATTTGAGACTTTCTGTTAAAAATAATATGACATTACTATCTAAGGGTTATTCAAATAAATCAGGTAACATACTCTCTGCCACGGATCAGTGGTGTTGTACATAATCTTAAGTATGTATCGAAAGCACTCCGCAGCATTTTCGCCCAGTTTTCGCTCAATTGCCTCTACCATGATGGTGTCCCTGAAATCCTGATGGAAACGATCGTAGTTCAGGTTCCATAACATTGAGTTGTCCCTTGCCTCCGCCACATCGGCATCTCCGTTTCGTATCTTGGCAAGCAATTGAAGATCAATGTTCGGATGTCTGAAGAAATCGCACTCGTTCGTTTCGAATTTAGGCACATTGTCATCATGTTCATCACCCACTAAGAGTTCTGGTCTTTTTATGATATAGTGATCGGTAACCATTTGAAGAAAAGTGGTGCGATAGGATTCCGGGCTTTCTGCTTTATTCTCTCCATTGTTGAGGCACTTGATCAGGATTCCACTAGCCGAATCCGATCCTGAATTAATCAGCTCCTCGGCAATGGAGGCGCCCACATTTCCGTATTTTGCTTGCACCAGATGAACGTAACTGAAAGAGGTTAATTATTAGTTTAAAGGCTCTCTAGGCTTGGATGAGAATCATATACAACTAACCGCGGATATCGCAGGAGACAGAGCACATCCTCGCGCCGTAGGGCGTACTCCGCCAAGAAGGAATTCTGCTTGGATGCAGCGAAGTCCACCAATCTGTATTTGACCAGCACCGCCAGTGCGAGTGCTACCTCCTTACGCGAGAACTTGGTTGCACTGATGATCTGGCCAAGGGTCCTCGTGGTGGCCGAAAAGAGGCAATCGGCCACAGCCTGCACCACCTTCCCGAAGCATTGCTCCAGGATGGCGGAGCTCAGATGCGAGTAGTCCGCGGACATTGTTCCTTTCCTGTCTTTATTTTTAATATATATTAAAATTCCTTTTTAATTAACAATAAAAATGTTTACCTGCTGATAATGTCAACCAAGGGACTGGAAAACCAAAACAAAACAATGCCGCGTTGAAATCAGCTGTTCATCAAACATTATCGATAACCTATCGAATTTTAAATTTTCTAATGATTTTATTAATGAGATGAGATGATTCAAGAAAATCTTGAAAAATATTTCATTTGAAAAAATAGCTTTAAATTTATATGCAAAAATAACATTTATTTAATATTTGCTTTGAATGAGAAAATAATGTGACCAAAAGTATTCTTGAGAATCCCTTGTAAACCCACTTTGTTCACACTGTAGATTATAAACTTTACACAGGTAGAAGTGTTCCCGTTTGCGTATCTGAATAAACTTAATCTTTGGGGTCTTACCAATGGCCACATGTTGCTCCCAGTTGCATACGACTTCAAAATTCTGGGGTGAAGCCCGCGGCCAAAATCAGCAGTACGCGCGGCCCTTTATTATAAGTTTTATTCCGATCCGAATTTCCCCGTCTTCAAACGTTGAATACTAACACCTTTCAGGTTAGAAATTGCGTCAGATAAATGCGCATGAATCTATTTTTACGATCTGTTTGACATTTGCAGACTAGTTTTACGTTAAGCATGTCAGAATTGGACTCGGATAGCGAAGCGCCTGGCGGGGAAACGGCCACCAATGCACTGGATGAGTTCCGGGAGAACTGGCAGCGGGAACTTCAAGGTCACGTAAACAGTGAATACAGGAAGCCAAATGATGTTGGAGATTCCCTTAGCGCTGCTAATTCGAATCTTAGTCAAGCCGATCTCCTGCAGGCTAAGGCAGAGAGTCTTTATCGGACCGCTGTGCATTTGGAGCAGCGTGGCAAGGTCTACGACGCAATACCCTTCTATCGAAAGGCTACGCAGATCGTTCCAGACATTGAGTTCAAGTTCTACGAGCAGCAGAAGCTAAATGGCGATTTCAGCAAAAAGTATCATAATCTGGCCAGCGATCTGGCTAAGCAACTTGATCTAGGCCAGGCAGATGTCACGGAGGGCGGTGAAGATGTCGTGGACAACTTGTACGAAAAGTTCCAACAGGACCTGCGGCAGGATAGTTTCTACAACGGCAAGATGATCGCGTCAAGCCGCGATGCCAGTGTTCTCGCCACTGGTTTACACTTTTCTGACTTGCCACCCGAGATTGTAATGCGCATCCTGCGATGGGTAGTGTCCGCACAACTTGACATGCGATCGCTGGAACAGTGTGCCGCCGTTTCCAAGGGTTTCTATGTATATGCAAGGGATGAAGAGCTTTGGCGGCTAGCCTGCGTCAAGTAAGTGCCACTTTCTTTTTAAACGTGTTCCTAAATAATATTAATAATTAACCTTATAGAGTATGGGGTCACAACGTCGGAACCTTGGAGGCTCAGGATTCAGACATCAGTAACGTCTATTACTCCTGGCGTGACATGTTTATTCGTCGGGAGCGAGTGCTCTTCAACGGATGCTACATCAGCAAGACCACATACCTGCGTATGGGTGAGAACAGCTTTCAGGATCAGTTTTACCGCCCCGTGCAGCTTGTGGAGTACTATCGTTATATTCGATTCTTGCCCGATGGCAAGGTTCTGATGATGACCAGTGCTGATGAGCCGGCGCAAGGTGTATCCAAGCTAAAGAATCTACACAACCTACGGCCAGAAATGTTACGGGGTCGCTATCGACTCTTCGGAAACACAGTCACTTTGGTGCTGCAGAAGTCACAGGCTCGAGTAGCTGGTCATATGCGTCAGAGACGAGGCAGTATTATGCCTGTGGAGGAGGACTCATCGCAGTTCCTGATAGAGCTGCGCATCACAAGCGTTAAGAGGCGTTGTGCACAACTAGTGTGGTCACATTACACGCTCGTGCAGAAACGCAACAAGGTTGACACAAGCTCAGAGTTTGATTTGACCGAGGCTAAGTATCCGCCGCTAAGGTTCTCAACTGTAAAGAGCTATCACCTAGACGCCGATGCACCATTAGCTTAAGTCAAATAAGATTCCTGCAATGGGGAAATAAAACACTTAATTTGAAACCCTTTTAGAGGGGGGAGTGGAAATAACGAGATATTATTAGCAACTATCCTTATCGGAGTGTCTAAAAGCTTACAACGTTCTTAACAACTAGAGCATAAAATCTTCCTAGGACAATCGAGAAGCTTAGCTTTTCCTCTGCAGTTTGCGTTAAAAATTCGTTGCACCAGTCTGCAACAGCAGCAGCTACAGCGAATGGGTCTAATGGCTTTGGGAAATGGCCGGACGCCGGTCTAAGATTCAGATTGCACCACAATATGTTCGTAGCGCATGAGGTCGGGTGTGTCCCAGCAGCTTTTGAGGCAGGTAAAAACCAGCACGTTACCATATTCGATTGGTGCATTGCAGCCATTCAACTGGAACCGCAACTTGGGAATGAGTGTAGGCAGCAGTTGTACTTCGCATATGGTCTCCCCCTTGCAATTCTGACACTTGGGTAGGGGTTCCTTAAGTGGGGCTACCAGCAGCGGCAGCGCATCCCGGGAATACCTAAGGTAGAGCATAGTAAGTAAAAGGCATTTGGTTGGTTAAAAAGATAAATTTACCTTAACAATTGGCCCGGGTTCTGCTGTATGGTAGTGATAAAGTTATGAAACACTATGTCGCCATGGGCTGGCAATGCTTTCTCGTAGGACTCGTGTTCGTCGCTCGGTTCTACAGAGCCAGATGCACCGCCCGTGGGTGAATGAACCGTATCCTCATCCCTCAGCTTGTACTCCTGGTATAGATCACGTATGTGGTCCATGGACAGAGCTCCTCCATAGTTTTCGTACTCCTCCACCTGAGCCTTGCTCTCTACATCTACGGCAATATAGTAGGATTTTAGTGTAAGATCCTTAATTTGCGACAACGAGCTAGAAGTGTGCTTTAGCAAGGCAATAAGGTCGCGTTCCGGCTTCTTGGGTGTGTCGACAAGCACCAGATCTGTTTCTGGGCCTTCGATCTCGGCACAAATGGCTGCTGAAGCTGCATTAGCTCCGGCTCCATCCAAACTCGGGGCAGCGGCTGCTGCACAGTTGGCATTTGGATCTTCTTCGGCGTTCTGGGGCGAAATCATATCTATTTGATGGAAGCCCGAGATTAGGTCATTCTCCAGTGAAGTGCTCTCGTCCTCGTCATCGTCTTCATCGGCGCCAATCTTCACCTGCTCTAGCTGGACTGGTTCATCCAATTCGACATCAGCCTTAGCGTACTGCAGGGCATTTGGTCGCACATTGCCATTTCTCTCATTTTGCTCCTCATCGGCAGTTATGTCCATGGCCTCGTCCAACACCACCGAGTTAGTCTTGGCCAGCTCGGTTGCTCCACAGCCACTGTCGCCCCAGTCGTCCGCTCCGCTGCACCAGTTGACCGCCTGCAATCCACTGGACTTGCCCTTTTTCTTTGAGTGCTGCTTCCCAGTGGCCTTGGGCGACTGTTCGCTGATGACCTCGAACTGATGATCCAGGTGCTGAGTTCGTACACATGCCCAGCTCTTGGAATTCTGCGAGCAAGCGGGGCTAACGCATCCGAAAACGTAAAGACTTCGATGAAACTGAGAGCGATCCAGCGGAGCGTACATCTGCACGATCAGAGGACGTACAGCTCCGCAAAGCGGGCAAGACGGAATGGTCACCTCATGTCTGGGCCAATCCTGTGGGTAAAAATCAATTTCAATTATCAGCTGTCTCTAAAAGGTCCATATAATCAGCTTTCTTACGGGTGCTCCACCGATTTTATTGGTGCAGCTATTCAGGAACTGCTCCTGCTTGGCCGTAACCTCCTCATCCTCGTATCCCAGGTACACCGTCGACTTATTCTTGGCCATTTTTCATGGTTCATCCGAATTTTCTAAAATTCCAATTGGTTGGTTTTAGAGATGGGCGAAATGAGTGGCCTATCGATATTTACACATAGAAATATCGATTTTCACAAGTATCGAGTATCTTATAATCGAGTAAACATTTAACGGTCGGGAAAAAATTTTACAAATTTAAAATGAAAATATATTTATTAAAAAATGGCTAAATAATTATTAAAGTTAAGGTGATCTAAAAATGTTATTATTATCTATATCAATATGCGGTATTCTTTATAAAAATTAAATTTTTTTCCCTTTTACTACCAAAAGTTCTCCCGGTTTTTATTTGCAAATAAAAATCAACATTTGCACATTGAAAACCTATCGAGTTTTCTTAAAATTCGTTATATATTTCTTATAATACTCCAAATCTGTGGTTTACTAATTTACAATTGCACATTTTTTGCTGCTTAAAATAAATAAACGCACATATACAATACACACGTATAAAAACATAGACAACTAGTTTACAATTACGTTTTGGAATGCCAACATTAAAATACGTATATTTAGCAACAATAGCGCGCAACAACACTTATCAGTTATTGTCTAGGAAGACGACGCAGTCGCACGGATTTAAAGCATTCCGAGGAATTCAACAAATACGGACAAATGGCTATAGCTCTAGCGCCCTAACGATAACCTGCATCTAATACTCTAGATTATATGAGTCCAGGTAGGCCTACTTCTCCATGGCCTCCTGTTCGCGGTGCTGCCTCTTGAAGCCCCACTCTACGAAGACGAAGGCGATGGTGCCAATAGTTCCCATCACCACCAGAATGCCTAACTGGACGTAGAGTCCGAAATGCGAGGAGTAGAAGAAGCTAATAGCCGCCGCCACCGACTGGGTGAACTTAAACAGAGCAAAGGCTCCCACGGCATTGTTCACATACTCCCCGCCTAGCATCGAGTAGATCTGTGTGTTGAAACATGCATCGCCTAAACCCAAAAGAAAGGCACACACCAGGGCAATGCTGGCTCTGGGCGGATCCAGGTAGGATATATCGGTGGTATCTTTAAATGGTGCGCTATTCGGCAGGTTGATGAACGTCATAAAATACGCCGCCATGTGCATCACATAGCCGGCAATCACGATGGGATCGCGTCCATATCGCGTCGTCTTGTTGCCCAGTATGCCAAAGAGTCCTCCTCCGAAGACCTCGCCGGCTCCAATGCAAATTCCCACCAGTCCAACAATCTCCTTAGGAGTTTCAGCAATTTTTGTAGTAAATCCAATCGCTGAGCCGAAAACACCACTGAAGAAAGATAGCTCAAGTCCTGGAAAAGTAAAATGTATGTAAAAAATTTTCTGCTTTGTAAATTTATTGATTAAATAGAATTAAAATCCTAATTATAGGAGTTATAAGAATATTCTATTTTTAGTGATATTCGTTTGTTTTCTTTTTACTTTCAACTCACCTGTATAAAAGAAAGCCAAACTAAGCAGAAGCATCTTCTTAGTTAGGAACAATTGTCCTGCGGATTTCAAGGCGTAAATGGCATGTCCGCAGCCCGTGTGCTTCTGCTCCAGTTCATTGTCGTGCTCGGCATTGTCGGCCATGAATCGAAGTGCGGCCAAGAATACGATGCCCAGAATAGCAATCACCGTAAGAACACCGATAACCAGATTTCTTGTCTCTTTGTCGATGACGGTTTTGTCCTGGAACTGATAGTACACGAACAGATTGCCGATGAACATGCTGCACTGTAGTAGGGCCCAAAAGACGCCCGAGTTGCGGGAGATGGTTGAAGATTCGCTGCAACGTGCCAGGTAAGTTCCCTGACCCGTCCATGTGATCGAAGCACCCAATCCTAACACTGCACTACCCACGTACAGCAGCACGGTGGATGGGAACATGAACGTGATCATGAAAGCCCTACAAATGGAGATATATGTATATCAGTTACCTAACTTTATTGACCGACAAGAAAAGGTGATCAACTCACGTATAGGTCAGTGCTCCCACGACCATGGCCACTCGGGGTCCAGTGAACGAAATAAACGAGGGTGCCAGCCAATTGGAGAGTGAAAAGAACAGGTAGATAATCGCCAGACTGGTGTAACCCTCGCCCTTGAAGCTCTCATCTTCCTGGGAAATGCTATCCAGTATGGTTTTCTAAAAAAAGAATAAATTGAATTGAAACAATTAGCATTTTTGAAACGTGCCAGACATATTTTGACGTTGAATGCCAATGAACCGGCAGCAACGCATTTGTTTATTGTTTTCTTTAAATGTTATACGGTAAACGTGTTCTCGATTCAAGTACATATCATACAGGTATTTCCTGTCCGGATACGTATTAGGAGGTAAAATATACCTTCCTAAAAAATCTCCACCATAGCTGGCGCAGTACATATTAAACCAAGTTGGTTTTTCATTTAGAAAGTATTTAATAGAAGTCTAACAGTTTGAAACATATTTTTATTATCCTATATTAGTTTAGGGCGACTTTTAATATTTGCAGTAAATGAAAATTGTAATACATTTTCCTGGACTTTCGAGGTCAAATTATATGTCTATTTAATGTTAAGCACAAACATTTATTAAAGTAACCTTGGTAAACTTTTCTTAAGGTATTTTTAATGCGTAAAAATAACCACAGCTGTCAATAAAAATAAAAATACAAAATAAATTCGATTCTGATGCTGGGGGCGACTTGGTTCAGAACCACTTCTGCAACCAGATTCAAGTGCAATTCTACAATTCTTGTGAATGTCAATGGAAAATTACAGGCTGCACAGGCGAAACATGTTTTGTGGTTGAGTTTAAAAAATTTTCCATTCCAAAGAACGCATCGGTAAACGACCGATTGATATTATTATCTCAGTGAAAAATTCTGACTGTGGCATGATTTCGATTTCTATTTGCATCTATTAAGTTGCGCTGCAAATCTGATCCGGTCCTCGTGCCCATTTTGAAGTCCAACTTGAGAGGTTTCACTAGCTGATAATACATTAAATATATTATATACATTTAAATGACTAGGAAACCAAGTGAAAGTCGAGAACTTAATTGTCTGCACTCGAGAAGCGGAACTGATTTGTCAGAAAACGGTAATTGTACACATTTAGTACCCTTGAGAATTCAGGAACTATTTTTAAATCTATCTTTGGAAAGTTGGTAAGGCAACGTTGGGGATTTCACATATTTACGTTATAACTGGCTATAATATTTCTTACGTACATCCCGTAAAAATAAGGCTATACAATGATTATGGCTCTGCCACATAAAAAGCAGAGTATTATAGACGACTGTAAGACGTTGGTGATAAGAAATCTCGAACTTCAAGTGCAAGTATTTCTTATCGGCACTATTCGAGCTCAATGAAATTTTGTTACTGATCTCTTTATTATTATTGAATCGGAGGGCATAAACACACTTCAACCAAAGAATTGGGTCAAGTTTTGTACAAACAAAAGTCGAAAGAAAACCGAAATGCAATGAAGAAAGTAACATGCGTACGCGGAATTGCAGGAGAATGTAATGAGCAACTTTTTAACTGATCGTCACTTTGGTTTTGTTTATTTATTACGCAAAAAAAAAACTGGAACAACGACTCACGAAAAACCCAAAAATGTGAAACGAGTTTCGTTCGTTTTTCCTCCCAGAAGGTATAATGACTTTTACTTGGAGTTTGTATGCAGTTTGCTGCTGCATTACTGGTCAATCTTTTTTTTATTTATAGCTTTGTTATATATACAAAGTAGGAAATATAATCATTTAGTAAGTAATGTTTATCTGGCTACAATATTCCTTAATATCATAAATAGACTTCTTTGATGTTTCATTAAAGGTAAATTGTAAACTCGATTGATCCGAATGAATTTGATCACTTAGTTTCTGGCTTCGTGTTATGGTAAATTTGGCTCTATCAAAAAGTTTCCGTTTCATCTCAAATGTCAATAAAATTGATTCTTTGGCCATTGATGACGTTAATGCCATTGATGTGGCTATTGATATGGATCCTAAATCTCTTCCAAAGTTTCTTTTATACGAATCCTGCAGACGGCTTTAACTTTTTAACAAAGCTGCGGATGTTTTTGTACTGATCTTTTTGAATTACTATGATTTTCGGGCTAACTCATCATGATCATGTTTTAAAAGAATTCAAAAATTGTAAAAAATATATAGAACATAAATATGAAATCATTTGTCAAGGTATATTTGCATCTTCTTGCAGTATGCCTCTAGATCTTCAAGATTTTCTATATCATTTAGGGGACAGATATCAGCGACTGATTGCTCAGGATGAGGTAGGTCACTTAGTTTTTGACCGCGTGTTATAGTGAACTCAGCTTCATCAAAAAATTTCCTTTTTAGCTCAAAGTCGGTCATTGTACTATATCTATTTGAGGCTGTTGAGGCTATTGAAATCATAGACGTAGTTGGGCTAATTATTGATTCAAATTTTGTTGATCTATTCGACGTCGCCCTTTCACGCAATTGCTCAAATCTTTCCCTCAAATCTCTTGAACTTAATCTTTTCTGGAGTTTTGGGACTGGACTATCCGCTCGCAATGTCTTCATAAATCCATATGTACGATGACCACACATCTGTTCTTCGCGTTCAACATCGAAACCAATGGACTTAAAGTTTGGGTTAAGCATTTTGTTGCAGCGAAAATATAGATTGGATTCCTAATATTACTTGAGATTATTGCTGTTTGATGTTTTTTTCTAAGTGACTGTAGTTTTGCTTTCTTTATTTTGTGAAACAGAAAACTACGTGTTGCTACAAAACTAAGTTAATCAAATAAATAATTTAAATTAAATTTATTATTATTATTTACAAGAATATGTTTTAAAAACAATAAAGTTTTATTGGATAAAACAAAGATTTGGGTAACTTTACAGGGTGCTAAATACACTCGGTTTTAACCAATATAGACTTGATTTTCCGCTCATTTTGCCAGATATTGCTGCACTCAACTGCTGGAGGAGAATGCTGCTTCGTCGGGAGGGGGGTTAGGTGGCTCGGATTCGAATTCGGATTCGGTCAGTGAGTGGTGGGCTCGTCGGCGCACACCCACTTTTCGGTTTTGTTGTTGTGCAACCGGCTGTTGTTGGCTATGCTCTTTGGCTGGGCGCAGGCGCTCCGCCCGTCGCCACCCCCCTCAACCATCTGACCACCGTCTTGGCCAAATTGATGTGTGTGCATATGTACATATGTTGGTCAACCTGGCTTACTTTATTGCTGACGTGGCCTTGAGCCTGACGTCTAACACATAGATAGTATTTGTGTGGGTTTTGTGCGGCGGCAGCGAACTTGCAATTGCAATGACATTGAAAGAGTTTTGCCGTTTGACGCGTTTTGCATTGGACATTTGATTTCGATTGCGCAATCAGGTGGAAAGCGGTCTCTGAAAGTGTTCTGTGTGCCACTCTAACGATTGCACCATATGAGCCAAGGCCTCGCTTCAAAAATTACTCTCTAATAGCTACGGAATACGGGCCAAACACTGGCCGATCGATCGATCGATTGTTGGTCTTTAAGTTTGGCCAGCTACACTGAGGAAAATTTCGGATTTAAACCATCATTGTAAAAATTAGAATATTCGTTTTATCCAAAAAATTTACAATCGGTAAATTTAGAATACTTGAATTTTTTGATAATCAAAAATTCTACTAAAAGTCTCTTAGCCTCAACATAATGATTAAAATGATTTTTAAATCCATAAAGAACGAACTACATTTACCGTAAATTAAATGATCTGACAATATGATTAATAACCTCTTATTGTTTTTTAGTGTGTAGTTTAGCTAACTACGCCAAAGCACGCCCTGCTTGGATTCCAAGTCACTTTTGTTTTTTTTTCTGCTGCTGGCGTAGTAAATTGTTTATAAAGAGAAACACTAACTGGAGGGCAGGCACAAAGCCAGAAAAAATATATTGCGCATGCGCCGCGTTGAAAGGCCAAAATAAAAACACACAAACGGACAGCAGCAAAAAATAAAAATAAAACCAAAGGGACAAATTACAACGCTTTACTTTTATTTTGTGGTATTTATCAGAAGGCATTCATAAAGTCCATTGAACCATAACAAAATGCTTCAAAATATGAGCTGTTTGCAAAACAATGACAAAGACCGAATTGCTGGTCAGTCAGTTTGTGATTCGAGTTTTGGCAACAAAAATATGGTTTCGCATACGTAATAAGACGAGAAAAACGTGAAAAAGAACTCAACTTTTTTATTCCACATACTCGATAATCCAGTTGGTTAATGAATCCCCTCACGAATCGATACGGTTCGTATATACTATATGATATAAAAATAGGTAGGTCTGTTTTCTGGTTTTGTTTTTATTTTACCTGCCTTTGGCCTTGATCTTACGGCTTTTATTACTGACAATAAATAATCAACCGTTATAATGCAACCAGTCAATGAACGCGTCCATGGAGTTATCTGTACCTATCGTTACTAATAAGTGTAATCCATTGTGTTTATTTGATAATATTAATTAAATAATCGTTGTCATTTGATTACGACGATAGATTGCAGTGTGCCCCCAAATCTCCGTATATAATCATAATCAGCTGGTTCTTGGAATATAATATTAACTATAATAGGAGAGAACTTGTATGACTCGATAGTATATCCTTTAAATAATACTGCGTAGAAATATTTGATAAGTATTAATGAAATTAAGCAAAACCTATGGTCGATTTTATGACTTTTTAAAGCTGCGTAAGTGCTAATTCTACTGCCTATATTGCATATATGATATTTAAATGTATTTCCCAAATCAAAATTTGGCTTGGAAATATATTAGTAAAATTATTATTCTCTCAGTACATCAAAATAATTTTGTATATATTAGTAAAATATTTCATTAAATTGTCTTCGATAAGGAAAATAATTTAAAAAATATTAACAAAGTTAAAAGAATTTTAGCTTTTACTATTAATTAAAAATGTTTTCTTTTCCTTACAACTATAAACATGAGTTACACAACATTTTCACTAGCCGAAAGTGAGTTCCAGGAAAGTAAAGACAGTCTAATTCCCTTATTGGGGTCAAAATTTCTTTCTCTATTTGTATTACGAACGATAGCTTTATGGTGGATGATGTGTTCACAAGCGGTCTTCTTATCAATTGAATTTTGCCCTCCGAGATGTGTTCTACACAGAGCGAACAATGGCCGTCGAATGACTGGTGACCTTTGGAGCGTGCAGTACATTAAATTGTAATAATAAGTAACTCCTTGCCACTTTACACCGCCACAAATCAGAGGGTAATTTACGAGCGAACAATTGAGCACTCTCGTTGAATGGCGGCAATGCTGTAACATCCTGTGACGCGGAATGAAGTGGGCTGGCTTGTGCTAGTGTGTGTGGCAAGGGCACTGCGTTGTCTATTGGCAAGGACAAGGACGAAGGTCCAATGGCAAGGATGTGAACAACAACGCCCACGCATACATACAAACGGATAGAGATAGATAAGAGAGCGGAAAAAGAGCGGGAAGAGAGAGTGAAGAATTGACTTACCTCAATGTTACACATGGTCTGGAATGCCGTAAAGACGAACATAAAGCCGAAGCCCAGGATAAGAATCATCAGGAATTTAAAATCCATACTGACTCCTTAGAATTTATCTTTTTCCGCAGCAAGTGCAATCACACAAACACAATAAAAATCAAATCAAATTCAATTAACTTGCCGCGCACTGCATTTGCATTTGCATTTGACGACGTCACAAGAGACGGGGGCGTGAACTGCCGCTCTTCTTAATCTCAATTAGAAAAATCTCTTAAAATCCCACGCAAAGCAGAATCAACTGGACTCATCTATTTAGCACTTATCAAAAGCAATAATAAAATCAATGCAAATGTTTAAAATACAACACACAAATAAAATTACGCACAAACTCAAAGCAAAATACTGAGCACGAATGGTAAATGCAATGTTTACGCGTCGAGGACTGAGAGTTGAATGGAAAAGGCTTCGAGAGACACCGCTCTAATAACAGAATAAAGATATCTCCCTCAATGCGACCTTTGTATGCTTTTCTATCCTCTTGAACTTATTAAAATTAACTCTTTTCTAAGAAATATAAAATATATTTTCTGAAAATCAAATGATTTCGGAAAGTTTTTTTCAGCTCACGAATATAATTTGGTTTATTAAATGTATAATGTATAATTAAAATAAAAACAGTACGAAGACCACATATAATCCATGGACAGTTACTTCAGAAGAGTAATGAAAGAGCACCAACACAAGCGAATTCGTGAGCCATTTCCGACAGTAATCACGCAAGCAAACTATCGATATGTCGGTGCTGGCGCGCTCACTCGATTGGTCATATTCGTTTATAAATCATTTATAAAAGTCCAAATCAGATGAGCTTCTCAGCTTTGGAAAGTCGTTTTCGTTTTGGGATTCTTGGACATTACTAGATTTTGAATTGACTTCTGCAATTTCTTGGGTATCAGAAAAAATATCCTTTTTCGATAAAGATCCTTGCACCTTTAAGTGTTCTAAAGCAAATTCACGTTGAGAAGATCCGTGACCTTCCAAAGGTGCAGAAGATAAAGCTTCTTGACCATTATCTTCTGAACATAACACATCTTGATATTCGATGGTGTTTGTCACTCCGAGCTTTTGAAGTGCATTAATTTCCAGGGCTATATCAGGCTTTAAGTAATTAGATTTTTGAGATATAGAAATGTGCGCATCCTTGGAATCTTCGCTAATGCCATCAATATTTAGTTCGCCTTGTAGGTCGCCAAAAGATGACACTAAACCTTCTCTTAAGTTGTCACTGCTCAAAGCTGAATTTATCGGTATATGCAAAGAAAGAAAACTACCACACAGTCCAATTACGGAGGCATTCGCCACATCGGGTTTTCTTTCAGAGGTGTCACCGAGACATTCAACAGGACTGGCGCATAAATTTGCAGGAATCATTAATTCTTCGAGTCCTTTAATCCCATCCAAGCCAACAGGGCTTTCGCACTGATGGTATCCTTCAGAAACCTCAATCTTAAAAAGACGATCTTGGTTATCTATCGCCGACGAGCTGGAAATGCAGCAGACGATCGGAGGAAATGGAATCTCAGGAAGAATAGGATTCGGACTGATCCATCCTAAAGAGCCTAAAAGTGGATTAAAATCTAAATGAGTCTTTGAGCAAAATATTATAGTGAATTCAGACCGCATTACCTCTCCCAGTCGAAACGACCAGTTCTTCATTTCTAATATTAGCCGACTGTTTAGGTTCCTGTTGCGGATAAGGAACTTCTCGCTTCGTCTTTAAAACGCGCTTGGTGTTGCTGCGAAGCCTTTTACGTGTCTTGTCTATCTCATTTCCGGATACAGAGTCCTCACTTAAGATCTTTGTGGCCGGCTTCCATGGATTTAAATTTCCAATACTCCGCTTTTTTTGCTAAAAATAGATTTTAGTTTCGATTTTGATTTTGAAGCTATAGAGATGAAAAAAATATAAACTCCAGCTAACGTACTTGGTGTTGCACATCAAATTCTGGCCATACTTACCGCATTCTGAATAGCCCGTCTTAACGGTGTACCAGGATTACCCGGAACATTTACATTTGGACAGGGCAAGGCCCTTCCCATACGGCCAAAAGCAATAATTCTATACTTGGAAGTTCCGATCCTCGACGTTAAGCCAAGGCTGGTCAAGTTCTGCAGAGATTCTTTTATGACATTGTCTACATTGGCCACCGGTACACCGTTGCGCATTAGCCACTTTGCCAGACTTTTTATTTCATTAACGTGAGCATAATCGGTGGAAGACTTTTGGAGGAAGCGTATGGCCTTTAAAACACAGCGATTTACTTTTTTGGGTACATTAAAAGAGTCCATTTTTTAATAATTTTGGTTTGTGTGTCTATACTTCTACTACGTTAGAAGCGAGTGATTCAACTGAAATAAAACAAGGTGTTATAAACATTTGGACATTTTCAGGTTATGGAAAAGCCTACTGGGTTGTTTTTTCCCATAGGCGTTTACCCATTTTATTTAATAACATTTAAAGAAATATCATATGTATAGGTGAAGGTGCCTTTTAGTATTCTAACATCGATCGTTTATTATATATTTTATATATTAGCTCCTTGATAATTCTTTTTGTGTTTTTGGCTTACGCTAAATACTAAAATCTTTCATTTGCAGGTATTTCATTTTCTTTGAAACGGAAAGTTTTCCTTCATTTTTTGTATATTATTTTAGATTTAGATTTATGTTTAACTGAAAAGTTCTCTCAAATTACAAAGTGACCTCGAGATAACAGCGAATGAAAAGCTCCAATTGTCGTCTATTGTACATCAATATCCAGGTTTTAAGCAATTATATGCATGTATAAATACAACATTAGTTTGCTTCTCTCTTAAAAAGCAATTCCAGAGCGAAATAAAAACATTTCCAGAGCTGGTTTAACACAGACGGTATAAAGTTTTCGAGATACAACAAACAGTTATCATCAACGTTTTATCTTAGAATTAATTAAATGGGCTTCTTCTGCTCTGTTAGGAAATTTTTTCCACGGACATGTGCAAAATGGAAAATTTTGTTTCTTTGTATTACTTGAATTTGATTGATTTTCTGCTAAACCCTCCCATGATTAGCCCTAAGCTCAGCATGTCTATTCGCTCTTTTTGTGTGTAATGACAGCATCCTCAATCTCCTCCTTGGGCTGGTCGACGTCACCCCATCCCCACGTGGCGTGGGTGCCGTCACCAGTACGCTTCACACGCTTCTTAATGATTTCCGAGGATACGGTCTTCAGGTCGTAGGCCCAGCCGATCTTAGCGAAGAAGTCGATGAAAGCGGTGGTGAAGTTTAGCGAGTATTTGCCGAATTCGGCCGTCTTGTAGTCCCATGGGAAGACGTGATGGTAGTTATGCCATCCCTCGCCGAAGGCCAGGATAGCCACCGAGATGTTCTCAGATGGGTTGATGAATCTAAAATAAGTTTAACTTGGTAAGTAACCACTAAAAATGATGTCTAGATTTTTAGCACTCACTTGTCGTAGGGGCGACCACCAAACTTGTGGGCAGCACTGTTTACCAACCAAGTCACGTTCAGGATAAAACACCAGCGGAACATGGTGGCCACAAACCAGGCGTTCACAAACAATTCACCCCAGTAGTACATGGGCACGGCGGTTGGAATGATGAAACAGGCGATGGGCATCAACAGCATGTAGTACCTGTGCAACAAATTATCTTTCATTAAAATTTCCTACAATTTATTTGGTTCTCAGTAAAACGTACTTCTTTTGGAACATAAGGATTGGATCGGCGCGTAAATCGGATAGATCGACCCCCTTTCCTTTGGCCTTTACCTCCGGGTGCTTCTTGCACAGCAGCCAACCGACATGCGAGAAGAAGAAACCACGGGTGGCGTTATGTGGATCCGCATCAGTCTCCGAGTATTTGTGGTGCACACGATGATCACGGGCCCAGTGGTAGGCCGCATCCTGGAAGGCAATGGTGTTGAAGATAACCAGAATCAAGCGCAGGGGCCACTTGGCCTTGTAGGAGCGATGCGCCCAGAGACGATGGGCACCGGCAGTAATACCCAGTCCGGAAACGACATACAGAAAATAAGCTGTAAGTACCAAAAAGGTTGAATAAATTAGTTAGTTAAATATAAACTGTAAGATTACATATTTATCAATACTGTATTATTTTTTATTTCATTTAATTGAAATATAATTATTGTTTTAAAGTAAATACACAATAACTTATACCTTGTTATGCATTTTATCTATTGATATTGATTTGATGTCAAATGACTACAACGAAAACAAACTTGAGTACGTAATGGTAATCGCTTTTAAGGAAAGCCCGATCAGCAGTCTATGACATGTTTTGTCTGGACTTCCATAATAACGACTTTGTGAAGGTTATCAGGGCCCAAGCCGTAGATAACCCCCATATTTTCGAGCTTTAGGCACGCGACAGGAAGATGACAATGGATGCCAAGTCTTAATAGTTACTTATAAAATGACAAAATTTTCCATTAGTAAACAATATTTTACATAAAAAATTTATATTCTAAAAATCCGTTCCTAATTTTTTTGTATTTGATAAGGTCAAAGCAGTTTATTCTAAAAAGTATGCTTCTATGTTTTAATAATTGCGCAATTAGTTTATTTTTTGGCAAGTTTGTGTCGTCTAACGAATACGTTATTATTTTCATTAAGTAAAAAAGTTACTTGAGGATAAATAATTATTTAGGATGATATTATCTTGGACAGTTCTTTTTGAGTTCGCAGTCCATTCTGGCATGCTTTTAATATTTAGTTTTACTTAAAACTTAGTTTTGTAATACAAATTTGAGCTCACCGAAGACGACTGTTTGCCACTTGGCCGAGGTAAACATTAGGTAGGCACCATAGAGGGCCGCTAGATGGAGGTAACCGAAGGCGATGATGTTGCGCCAGACGAGCTTCAAGCGCCGCTTCTCAGCCTTCTTCATAACGGTGATGTCCTTGACGAGACCGCCATCGGTGGTCTCCACATCGCACTCGAATAGGACTCCAGTAGAGTCCTCTTGCAGCTTGGTGGGACTCTGTGCCGAATCGGCGGCGGCACTAGCCGCGGCGATCAACGAGTCCGTGATGGACTGGGCACCGGCTTGGGCGTTGGGCGGCATCTTGCATCAACTGTTGAAAAAAAACAAGACAATAAGTTAGTAACATAATAAACAAAATAAGCAATTAGTGTGTGTGCCAACTTGGTGGCTTCGGCAATTAGACATCTGAACTTGACACGCTTTTGGGGAGGTGATTCCGAGAAGCTCTTTATGACCAGACCCCGAGGTGTTGCGTTGAGTTCCCTTTGATATTAAATTCTTGCTTAATGCGGAATTTTTTATTTTAAGAGCCTAATGGGTAAAGTCAAATGGTTGAAAAAAATCAATAAATTCGCGCCGTGCGTCCTTGGGTCAGGATTCCCAGCACAGCATGAATAATGAAAAAGCCGGTGTGGGAGAAAGCACCAGGTGGATGCGGATGTGGAACATGTGTTGTTTTGTGGGTCACTGGGAAACAAAACAGAAGGAAACCTTGGCTCAAGGTTAAAAACCATGCCAAATGCTCTGACACGTATCGTGGAAAATTCCTTGTTGAATCGACATTACCATGCTTTGTTATACATAGACACATATACATACATACACGCACACCCACAAACACACCATTAAATATGCCGAATTAATAAGAATTGCAAACTATTCAGCAATAAATGAACAACCGCAAACACTTGTCCCCTCATTCGACGAATTTTACTTGAGACACCTATATGTTGTTGTACCTGGTTTACACCCAAAAAAATATGTTTTCCTTTTTGCGTCAGATATAAATTAACGACAAGCCGTTTCGGTTAAGTTGGGTTTTAAAACTGCTGTGCAAAAGTTTAGCACGATGAAGAATCGCAAATGCTGGCAAAAAGCTCTCTCGCAAGCTCTAGATTAGTTGAAGCTTTTGCAGCTGTATGTGAGTATGTATGTATGTATGTGAGTGCTTCTTATTAGCAGATTAGATGTTGGCCGGTTGAGCCATTTTTTTACCTATTGCTAAGGTCAGGGTTAGATTTGATATGTCTAGACACGGGGACTTTGGCCAAATCTAATCGGAACGGTCAGCCCTTAACAACCTGTCGTGTGATGGCGGCGTGGCTATATCTTTATCTATCCAATCACATGTGAATCACTTGCTAATTGCGGTTTCATCAGAAAAATGGCTATTACAAAACTGGGTAGTCGAGTACTTCGAACCCTGGATGGGAACATTAAAACACGTGAACCTGTGGTCTGACAAAAGCTTTAAAATCATGCGATGCTTATGAGAATAGAAAGAAAAGAAGGTGATTAGAAGAGTGAGCGTCATACAGTGGCGTTACCAAGAGGGGTTAGATAAGTTATTGAAGTTATTTCAAATTAGAAGAACAAATTTATATTTATTTTAGTTATGTATGTACATACATATGTAAGTACATATATAGTAGTGATCAAAAAATGTATTTGTAGTATACATTTCCTATCCTTCTTCATCCCCCTTCTGTTCAGTAGGTTGAAAAGAACAAGACAACCTCATTCGCACACATAAACATTCACCTGTAATGCAAGAACAACCGATCACAACCAAAAGCTTCTAACATGGCAAAAGAAAGGGCCAGATATAGTGAGCAAAGAAGAGCGAAAAAGCTTATACCGCCAACATGTCAACAAAGCAGCCGGACGGTTTTTAGAGTCAAGGGACCAGCAATATAAATATGTATACTTTGTATTTATAAATATATGTACATATAATCAAATGTTGCCGAAAACCGGTAAAAGCATCCACCAATAAGGCACTAAACAGATAAAAAGTGGACAAACATTGCTCATTTATCAAAGACACGCATTGAACTTGAAAATTGCCGCTTGCCAATTTTTTTCTTTTTTCGTGAAAGCATAAGCTTGGAAGCTTAAATGAGAGTGAGAGAAAAACAGAGGAAAGAAAGCAGAGTGCTCTCTGATTTATGGAGCAGGGGAGTGGGGTAGTAGTAGTTTTCCTTTTGTTATTCTTGCGGCCTGTTATCACGTTGCAAGAGCGTGACGCTTCACTGCTTTGCTATTACACGCAAACAAAAGTACAGTCCATTATACAGTACATTATAAAAATTTTAAATATCGAAGTAAACTAAAATTAAAATTATTAAATAATTAATTGATATAATTTAATAAATATATTTAAAAATACTAAATATAATTTGAGTATGTATCTATACCTTGAAAGCAATCTAGCAACTTCCAATTGAACAGTTTACGAAAGTTCAAATATAAATAATAATATATTCATTTCGTTTTCGAATATAATTAAATTTTAAATATATTTTATATCTTTGCTGCTAATAAATTGATTAAATCTATAGATTACTTATTCTGAATAAATTAGTAAGCTAATAAGTTTGTCATACGAATGTTTATATGTATATTATTGCACTAAACAATTCTGAAACCGTTCCATATCTCTTTAATTTATCCGTTTAGATTTTTGAAATGGTCGAACTATTATTCTATTTAAAACGAAATAAAAGTATTATTTGGAATACAGTTTTTCCTGTATTGACGGTCGTTTTGTTTAGATTTAATACACTTTATCTAATTTGACAAATAGACTTTAACTGTAAAACTAGCTTGCCGGTCATGCGAACTGTAGCGCAAAAAGAGTGACAAATGATTTATCGCGAATTCGAAGCACTTAATTTGCAATTTAAGCGTATCCATGTATAATTGCAGTCAAAGTTCGTTCACCGTAAAAAAAGAGAAATTGGTCAGCTTAGTTGAAATGCAAAAAAGGAAGAAATTAATTCATATGAAAAATCAAATAGAGCACGGAAGCAGTGAATGCGTCGGGTACAGAACTTTCGATTGCCCTTTGTAAATTGATTGGATGTTAATTTGGCATTAAAGTACAAAACTTGACCAGCCTATATATATGTATATATATATAGATATCAACATTCGTACAATGCCCTATATTTTATACATATATTTCTCCCAAAAAAGTTCTCGAAAAGTTCGTAGTTTTTATGTTTAATTTGAACAAGTGTATTTCCTTCTGCGCTGCTAATCCAATAGAATATATTAAAACAAGTGTATTAAAAAAACAAAAATCTAACCTTCCAACAGACACAGTGACCGTTCAACTAAAACCTTGACAAACGAAGAGTGAACGCTAAATAAACTTAAGCCAAGATCGTACAGCCAGAGGGCCCCAAAATGAAACTCACAATGGGTAAAATTGGTAGGCAAAATAAAAAGCTTTGAAAAACTCTTGGGCAGAGTGCCTTTTCTCGATTTTCCACTTTTGGTTTTTACGTAAACACTGGTCCCAGGGAAATATAACCATATAAATCCTGATGCAATGGCTCAACAAGTTGCCACTACACTGTCAAGCTGGAAAACCAACCTGTTTGCTTTTCCAAATAAAAGGCACGCCTCGGCTTCTTCTCAAAACTCGCACTTTTCCACTTCGCACAGTCGGTAGTCCGAAAACTGTGGGTATCTCTTTGGTATGTCTTTCAATCTATTTGCACTATATCTGCAGTGGAGGAGTGCCGAAAGCACACGTCCGCTCACTAGACGAATTCGAATTGAACTGACCAAACGTTCGCACACTTGCCAAAACGAAAACAAATCGATTAGGCAAATCGGCTTGGCAACGTCAGAGCTTTTCTCCGACGCCGTCGTGTGCATTTTTTGTGGCTATTTCTCCCAGATTACCGGCATGCACGTATGCCCAATCTAGGCCTAATCTTCATGAAATTGTAAACATCTGTGCGAAATGACAGAAACTATCATAGTTTTTACCTATATACTAAAAATTAGCAATTGAATCCGAAATAAAACGATGAAGTTATGGATTCAATTATCATTAGAGGAGTTGTCAACAATACAATTACCAAAATGTAAAAATAGGGCCAGCACAGCCATGTTAAGGTTAGCCTTCGCACTTTGGATCCAGCTGCAGGTTTGGGACACTTTTTACCCAATCTAATCGATCTTTTCTGGTTGTTTGCCGGTTTTCATGATAATGGCTTAGCCGTGAATACACCTGGCCTCTCATAATCGGTTTTTAGTTGATTTTACGGTTCTCGCACTTTGGTCGGTCCAAACCAGTTAATAAGATCAACCTCTTCGACCAATAACTTTACATATTCCACTAAAGACAAACAAAAACAAGGCTGTTTTGCATATATTTTTCTTTTGTTCGTTTCAAAATTTCAGAAGATGAGGCTAAGTGACACCCGAATTTTTTCCTTAACTTCCAAGCTCTTAGCTTCCATCTAATTGCATATTTATGCCATCGCCATAAACTACGAATCACATAGCGCAATCGAAGGAAAATTCACAAAATTACAACCTTGACTTTTGATAGCATGAAAAGCATCTCTCTCAGAAGAGTCATGGCGTTCTAATAAAGAACATGTACATACATATAGTAATAAACAAAAAGTGTGATAATACATATATGTATATATAAGTTTTTATATACATATGTATACAATCCTATATTTCTATATTATTTATACAACAATGTGATCATAATGCGCAGTTGAAAGATGAGCTTAAAATCTGTACAAATGTGTGCATGGTAATTTTTTGGACGTCAATTGAAAGAAAATAGAAATTGCAATTGCGAAGGACGAACCTTTAACACCGTTTGTAATTTTATAATTAGAGTTCACTAACTCTTTTAATAGTATCATTAAGATACACAAATCTTAAATAAAACTAAATATTTAAATTTATGGTTTTGATGTATGAATGTATGTATATTAAAAATTAAGTTGAAGTGAATCATAAGAAGCTGATTTATTGTTTAATGACAAAACAAACTGAAAATAAATAACTAATTCTTTAGCTCTAGTTTCTAATGTGGCAAAGGAAAGAAGGTAGTGACGATGTACGTATTGTACATATGTATGTATGTATACATATGTATATGTATGTACTTCTGTTTTAATCAGCTATGGCTTTTCTCCCTTTCCAGTAACTTTTTTCCAGTTAAGTTTTTTTTAACAAACAATGTACAAAATAAAATAAATAAATACATTTCTTTTCTAAGAATAATTAGTACACTATTTCAAGGGTATAAATATGATCTGATGATCCGGTTTCGATTAGAACCTGGTATGCGTAGTTTTGAATGCCCCTCAAAAGGGTTAAAATGCTTGGGGACTAAGCACATGAGGTGTGACGTCACCGGGGCGTGCGCGCACTAAGGTCATATGTAAACAACTTTCAGTGCATTGCACTGTTTACAGATCTATAATCTAATAAATAAATTTCCATTAGATTATAATGGCTATTATGTCTAATCAGTTCTATACAATGCAATAAAACAGACGCCGGCGATCTCTGCGAACTGTGATCGCGTGAATATCAACACTTGGGTAAAATGTAAAATGCTTTATGCATCATTTATGAGTCAGAACTTACCGAAATGTAATTATAAATAAGGGAATCAATGTAGTTATACGATTTTATTGCTACTTTTACTAAACCAGCCAAAAAATCTTTTGTTTTAGCGATGACAAAACAGTTCACGCAAAATTAAACCATGCATCGATACATGTTTTATCGTACCTTTTCGATATCTTTTTGTCTTATTTTAGGCTGTAAAAATAAAAATTATGTTAATATTTGCCTGTAGTTATTTATTTAAATAAAACACATATTCCATACAATCAGACAAGTATATTTTGTTCCAACAGTGTTTTTTATTTTAATATTATGTATAATGTGTAATCATTATTTACATGCATAATCGTAATTTACATTAACGTAACTAAACATTCAACTGAAATTAGTCAAGGAATTATAAGAGTTTCCACAACATCTATACTAAATTAGATATTATCTGGATAATATTATATTAGTTTTATTAAACTTAATTAATAAAAATTGCAGTCAATCTTACAGTTTTAAAAAACATTTAACGCTACACGTATAAACAATTTTTTTTTGTGATATTTGGTTGATTCATTTTTATTACAACGCCTAACGACGCAGTCGTGACAGTCACTGAACTTTTTACACTGTACAGATTTCGCACTATAGCACCATATTTAAAATCGCGGAAGAGACTAAAGTATTAATATAATAGTGTTTAACAATTAGATTTGTTTATACGATAAGAATAATGGGGATTGACCCTTTCTTTATGGAGAAGTACCAGATTCAGGTGCTTAAGTGGTTGTTGTCTTCATTGGCCAGGATTTTTGTAGTGTCCAATTTCATAGCGGACGCCTTGTACACCTACCGTCATTGGAATCTGCAGAGGAGCACTTTGAATATGACTTGGCGTTGTGGCTATTTAGTGGCCGAAATATATATTTGCCTGCTGACAATAGCGCAACTGATTGCCTCACTGCTTATAGTGATTCAAAGGCAGAAACACGTGGCCACAGGAATCCTTTGGATAGTTGTCCATCTACGAATTGCCGCAAATTCGGAGCTTTGGAATTTGGCCGGGTACTTGGAGTTGTGCTGTGTAATTAGTGCCCTTCTCCTGATTATGCTGGATTGTCGACGCAATGCAGTTGTATCGTTCTTGATGATAACTTATTTGGACTGTAAGGATTTGGACCGTCTTCTATGGCACATCCTTTATAAATACGTCTTGAAGCTTGCTATTACCTTTCTACTGGTAAGCTGCCAGAAGAAGCTCTCTGCTGGATTGCTAATGTTCCTGTTGATTTTCCACTGCCTGGACACCCAAATCTGGGGGGATGCGTCTACGGAAGATATGCTAGGGGCTTCGTGGAACCTGCAGCGCATTCACTTCTGGCACAAGGTTTCCGTAACCGGGGGACTAATCCTAATTGCCGCTACTAACGGAAATCATCAACGCATGCTTTAACTTGTCAAACCCAGTCAAAGATCAGACAAATTCAGAACAATGTTGCACGGAACTGGCTACGAAAAAAATCCGGATTTGAAGCATCTAGCTCCACCACAAACTGGTACTTTCCTTTGTCTGCACACTTCGCCGCCGCTGCATATAGCCCTGCATGGAATGTCGGCCCTCATCCACACCCGTTTATCCAAGACGGCTTTTGATCTTTGCTTGGAACTCCTAGAGGCCGGGGTAAATGCCCAAGCCTTGGCCAGGGTCATCCAGAATGTGCTGCAAGTCAAGGAGAAAAAAATAAGAGACCGCTAAATATTACCAGACATCATAAAATTAAAACTTTCCTACAGACAAGCCGATTAGTCTTATCACGTCCGACCTGCGCAATTCAACCCTCAACTCTAGTCATGATTACCACTATGAAATCCCTTATTTGATAAGAAATATCAGTTATATTTGGCACAGACCAAGCACTGTAATAAACTATTGATAAGTGGGCCGTTAAATTTGTTGTTCCTATTTTGCAGGTGTGATTTTTTATTGAATGAGCAGGTTAACAAACTAATGGTCTAAGAGACAGATTACCAGTATTTAGAATAAATATATTGACAAAGCGGGAGGTTATCAAGTTATCTGCTTATGTATTTCTCATATGCTTTCTAGTTATTTGATCATAGACTATTGTTTCCCAATATGGCTAATAATTCTTCAAGATAATGATATGCCAATACAATTTTCGATTATCAATAAGACCCACTCAAGATTTAATTTATTTAGTTTGTAATTTTCAATAACTCATTTACTTTTTTCAACAAAGAGCACGTTCCTAGCATCATCTGTCAAGTCCTTATCGCCTCATCCATAAAGCTCGTGGGTAGCGTTCTCAGTTCGGAGAACCCTCCTCTTGACTATAAAAGGAGCTACTTACTTAATGCCGTAGGAGTAAGCCAGCAACTCATTCCAGCATATTATTGGAATAACAGTGGGCAGAATTAAGCAGGCTAGTGGCATCAGGGTATGGAAGTGTCTAAATTAATTAAATCGATTATTTTATTATAAGTTCGATTGGTAAGTATCTAACAAGAAACCTTATTATCATCCTTATTTATTTCCTTGACTATGATGCTAAGCCTATAAGTTCAATAACATTTAAACCTTTATGTTGAAGAAAAAATTAACTAATTTAAACCTAATCAAAATTATTTACTTTCGTTGAAACATTGGAATGCGCAGCTTTGAAAATATTATATATCATAACAAATGAAAATTTATAGTTTTATCTAAAAGGTATGTAAAGTAATACATACAATACAAGGTGCAATCATCATGTCGTGCTTTTCCTTATCTTTAGATCAAGGTCTTCATAAATATGCAGAATACGAAATTATGATAACTAAATTCTGCAATTATTATTTTCCGAACGCTTCGTATTGTGTGGTTCTTTATGTATTTGCCTTTAATTACAACAAATTCTCACTTTATGTTACTATTAGTCCTAAATAGTAGTTTATGTGGTTATGATTAGAAATCAAAGATACAACACATTTATTATGCTAAATGACTTTTATTTCCAGACGTTTTTGGTCCTAAGATATCAAATAACGGTTTTTAAATATGTTTAGTTTGCTTGCTTTCAAACACGATGGCGTACATATATTTATTTATATCTTATCATTTTATTCCTTACCGATTATTCTTTTTAATATTAGATCCCAACTACTTCAACAATTAAAACTTATCTTTAACGCATTTGGTGACAGTTGTAACTGAATCCTTATTGATTTTCAAGACTATTCCTTTTTATATTTGTAGTATCCTTTCATGTGCATTGCAATTTAATGGCAAAATAAAATTAAAAGACCATATTCATTTTCCCTTAAAAAACTTATTCCGATTACAGTTATATATTTGAATAAGTTAGAAAGGTCGAATGGAACAGCTTTAAACTGCATATGAGAGTGTTATTTACAAAATTAAATTAAATGATTTGAAACAATTAATTTTGTTTAGCTAATGCATCACTATTTTTCCTTTGGCTTATCCTCCACGCTTTCAGCAGGTTTTTCTTCAACCTTCTTTGACTTTTTTTGGGACTTTTCGGCCTGCTTTTGTTTTTCGGCCTCGGCTAGAGCAGCCTCCTGTTCCTGCTTTAGTTTTTCTTTTTGCGCAGCAGCCTCAGCCACTTCCTCATCATCCCAGTCGGCCATAGAGCGATCCCGCTTTAGCCACGAATGCGTCGTGTCCGGCTTAAAGGCTACGGGGAATATATGTATATAGTTTATGAAATAAACCTCGTATGGAACTGATGCTACTCACTCTGGTTAAACCATTTAATGCCGTTCTGCATGTCCTCAATTATCTCTCGGGAAGTGAACATCACCTCGTTTTGAACCGCCTGGTGGAACGTCGAGGTCTCGAAAGCGCTCGAGTAGACAGAATTGCGGTCGTGAATAAGCGCGCGTTGTGGGAACTTCGCCAGACAAGTGGCCAGCTCGAGGGCGTTGCCTAGTGCAGTGCCCGTAGGTACTATCCGGTTGACCAGGCCAATGTCGTGAGCTTCTTGGGATCCCACCGGACGACCTGTGAGAATCAGATCCAGAGCACGGGACAAACCGATCATAGCCGGCAGGCGAATAGTGCCGGCATCGAGCATTGGAACACCAAAGCGACGATTGAAAAAGCCCAGTACAGCAGACTCCTCCATGACGCGCAGGTCACACATAAGAGCCAGTTCCAGGCCGTTAGCTATACAATAGCCATTGATGCCACATACTACTGGCTTCTTGATTTGACGACGAGTAGGCCCCACGGAGCCTTCCGGACGCATAAGAATGTCAACGCTGATTTCCTCTTTCTCGTCGGTACTAATTTCCAGGATGTCAAAGCCAGAGCAGAAGGAGCCACCCACGCCGTATAGCACGGCCACAGGCGAAGTGTCATCTGCCTCGAAATTAGCAAAAGCGTCACAAAGTTGAGATGCTGTTAGAGAATCAATGGCATTGCGCTGCTGCGGTCGATTAATGCCGATTAGCGTAATGTTCTTGTCTTTCTCTACCAGGATGTTTCTAGGAGGTGCATTGTGCGCCTCTTGAGGCGCTGGATCTGAAATGGTTAAGATGTCACGGTTACTATCTATATTCTCACATTATGTCACCGGCTTTTTAGCCGACTTACCTTTGCGCAGCGCTCTTGTCGAGGAGAATGTGCGGCAGCCTGTGGTGAAACGTGCTTGCTGGCCCACCTGCTGGCCCAACAGTCTGCCCAGTTTGCGCAACATGTTCTAATGTGAAATAGCATTCAATTATTCGAAATGAAAGAGAAAACAAGCTGAATTGCTAACCGGAAAATTTAATATTCGTCAAGTTTACTAGAAACAACTAAATGGTAATTGTGTTATAGGGTTGCCACCGTTTCATGAGTTTTGTTAATATCTGGCCTTTTCATACCAGATCTAGCTATTTCAAAGCTTTATTTGGCCATGTGTTAAATTTGTGAGTAATATTACAAGTATATTTACTCTATTTTGAGAAAGCTCAAATTTAAAGAAAATAACTTTTATATGTTATGTAATTTATAAAAATGTTCATTAATGAATGTATAAAATAAAATATAGTAATTTTTATTTTCAAAACAAATGGGATATTGTCGTTTTACAACAGTTGGCAGCACTGTTTCGTGCCTGTCATTATTGTGTTATAAAAAGGCGTTAGTAATTTTTGTCAGCGTCCCTTAATGCAAAAAAAAATTTGATTAAAAAAATCAAAAATATTAAAAACAATTTTTTTATTAATTATGGGCGTGGAAATGGATACCAACGAGACGGGTGTGGAACTCACGGAGGCGGAGAACGAGCTGTATGACAGACAAATCCGTCTCTGGGGTCTAGAATCCCAAAAGCGGTATGAAAAAAAAAATGCCGGCAATTTGCCATAAGTAAATTTTCAATTACTAATTTTCAGCCTTCGCACGGCAAAGATTCTCATCGTCGGGCTATGTGGACTGGGTGCTGAAATAACAAAAAACATTATTCTGTCCGGAGTTAATTCTGTTACACTGTTGGATGATAAGCTCGTCACAGAGGAGGACTTTTGCTCGCAGTTTCTAGCCGCACGTGAGTCCTTGAACACTAACCGCGCGGAGGCCTCTTTGACTCGCGCACGTGCGCTTAATCCTATGGTGGACATCTCTGCTGACAGTGAGCCTTTAAATAAGAAGACCCTTGAGTTCTTCGCTAAGTTTGACGTGGTGGTGGTGAATGGCCAGACCAACGAGGAACTGCTGCGCATCGACACTATTTGCCGGGATCTTGGCGTCAAGTTCATAGCCACTGATGTCTGGGGCACGTTTGGATTCTACTTTGCCAGTCTCCGCAAGCACAGCTACGTCGAGTAAGTTTTTTATTTAATTCAAGTGCTGGATTATTTTAATATTGTATTGTTCCCAGGGATGTAATTAAACACAAGATCGTATCCAACTCTGATAAGAAAAAGAAATATGAAACCGTATCCATTCCAACTCAGCGCGTGATCGATTATCCCGGCTATTCTGCATGGCTTGATTTCGACATTACAGCTCCCAGTTATTCGCGCAAACTGAAACGCAATGGTCCGGGCATTTTGCTTCTGAGTGTTCTTCAAAGGTTCCGCACTACGTACCAACGAGATCCAAGCTATAAAACCCGTGAGGCGGACCTGGAACTGCTTCGCGGGATTCGCGACGAACTGTTGCCGAACTCCGCTCTAGGAGACGACGCCTTGGGGCTGATCTTTTCCCAGATTTCTCCAGCTGTGGCTATAGTTGGTGGCGTTGTGGCCCAAGAGGTCATCAAAGTAGTTACAAAAATGGAAGCACCGCATCGTAATCTCTTCGTTTTCGACCCTGAGACTTGTGCAGGGTACTTTGAGACCGTTGAAGCCAAGTAAAATGCTTCTATTAAAAATCTGAATTTCAAATAACACCAAAGTTGTAAATTTTATTTCTTTTAATGTCCCGTACTTATCAAAAAGCTTAGCTTGGGTTAATCTTATTGGGGCTTTTAACGTTTAGGGGATACTGGCCAAGTAGTCCTTGATAGAGGCGGGGTCCAGACGCTGGAATCCATTCTGATCGCAGATTCCAATCTCGATGTTGTCGGCAGTCATTTTTCCCTCGAACCCCTCTTTCAGTGTGAGAATGGCAGTGTGGACAGCGTCATCAAGCTCTAGATCTTCACTGTAACTGCAGAAGGAACAACAATTTGTAATCGTGATGTATATAACAAGAGTGACCGGTTCTAACCGCTTCTCCAGGAAGGTTTTGCCGTTGACTGCGTTCTTGCCCATAGCAGTTGCCTTCCAGGCGAAGTAGGCGCCCGAAGGATCAGATTGGTAGAGATACGGACGGCCATTGTCCCAGCCGCAGATCAGTAGAGAAACCCCAAAAGGACGAACGCCACTATTTAAGGAATTGGAAATGGTTTAGTAAATATAACTAGGAGTACATATCACACTCTTACCCAGACTGAGTGTACTCCTGCATGAGGGTGGCCACGCGCTGCACCAGCTGCGAGACTGGAATCGGCTCCTTGTATGTCAGGTAGTACGTCTGGGCGATTTTGCGGGCCTGCTTAACCAGCAAGCGGTAGTCCGGACCCATTCCGGAGTAGACCATGCCAATGTGCTTGTAGATCATCTCCACGCGGTGCACACTATGCTCCTCATAAAGCGGTGACTTGTGTTTGTTTTCTGTGGCAATAACGACGCCGTTGGAAGCTGCATTCAAAAATGGGGTTTTAATTGAACGAATAAGGAAGATTACAATGTTTCTCACCCATGATGCCCACGGAGGGAGCTCCGCCGGATACGGCAGCCAATGCATACTCCAATTGGACAAGTTTTCCCGAAGGACTGTAAAAATTCGAAATGTTGGTTATTGCCCAGTCATGGCGGCAGATTGTCTCCAAGGGGAAAGCGCCCGTTTCTTAATGGTTTTTTTTGAATTTCTCACCTGAACGTGGTCAACGAAAAGCTGTAGCGTTCGGTAGCCATATTTCCTGGGCTGTTGCAGCAGAAATTTTATGTGTTAAATAAAAAAGCCGACTTACTTTGCTTAGAAACAAAAATGACACAGCCAAAAATGACAACGCAAGTGTGGTCGAATTCGAAACCAAAAGAAAAATACCATTGTTGCGAAAAACAAATATTTGGTCACACTTGAAATAGAGCTAGATGGAACGTTTTTATGTGGGATAATGTCTTGTGCGAATTGGCACTACAAGTGATAGATCTATTACCAAATAAATAATAATAACAATTATTAAAATTTATCCCAAATACATGGTATATTTTGGAAAGCATTCTACAATCTGTTTGGTGTTTTATTACCGGCTTAACACTGGCCACACTATTCTCATCCCTAAGAAAAATAGAACGCTCCGGCGTCAAAAAAATAAGTAAAAATTCATCCCCACAGGAATATGGTTCGTGGAGCTCTTCGAGGCGGTCGCCCTATGCGCGGGGGCATCCGTCCGCCATTTAAAAAGACTTTTGTACCCCGCCATCCGTTCGATTTGACTCTTGCGGAGGTCTTCTTTCCTAAGGTTCCACTTGCCGGTACCGTTGACGATTCAGCTCTCACTGCGGTAAATCAATAAACGCACATGCGTTTCCATGTCGATTTTTATAATCGATGTTCATAATTTCCATTTCAGGCCTTGTTGAAACGTAACCAGGACTTGAGTCCCACTCCCAGCGAACAGACGGCCATTGGAAATCTGGTGACCAAGGTTCAGGCTGTTCTGGACAATCTTGTGGTGGCTCCCGGTGATCTGACTACTTGTGTAAGTTCTTCGATATATTTGCCAAGTTATATAGTCTCTCTATATTATCATTATTGAACAGCAGCTGGAGGAGGTGCGCCAGGTGGGATCCTTTAAAAAGGGCACTATTCTTACTGGAAACAATGTGGCCGACGTGGTTGTCATCCTTAAGACGTTGCCCACTAAAGAGTCTGTTGATGCTCTGGCAAAAAAGGTAGAGGCTGACCTGAAAGCCAGCATGAAGACTGAGGTGCTGACCAAAGGCGATCAGCACACCGTACAGATCCACGAGCGCGGGTTTGATATTGCTAATGTCCATGCCAAGGTGCGCATTCTGATCGCCACCTTGCCGCAGAATCTCCGCAAACTGGAGCCAGAGATTCACTTGGATCACAAGCTGATGCAGAGCCATTTAGCTGCCATCAGGCACACACGTTGGTTCGAGGAGAACGCACACCACTCGTCAATCAAAGTGTTAATTCGAATTCTTAAGGATCTCACCAGGCGTTTCGATGCCTTCTCACCATTGTCAGCCTGGATGCTCGATCTGATTGCCCATCTGGCCATAATGAACAACCCTTCGCGTCAGGCACTACCCATCAACCTGGCCTTCCGTCGTGTCTTTCAGCTGCTTTCCGCCGGACTATTCCTGCCTGGCTCAGCCGGTATTACGGATCCCACCGAACCAGGACACATTCGGGTGCATACTGCAATGACGTTAGAGCAGCAGGACGTGTGCTGCTACACATCGCAGACCCTACTCCGTGTGCTGGCCCACGGTGGCTACAAACACATTCTTGGACTGGAGGGAAATACCAGTATTGTGCGCGAAATGTCTGTCTGGAACGGCGTATGCGTTTCTCCCTTAACCGCAGTTTACGAAAAGCCAACAGACAAAAAGGAAGGCGACCTCGAGGAGGATATCGAAATGATAGAAAACGAGAACGAAGAAGACGGCAGCGACGATGGAGCCGAGTAATACAACCCAGGCTATTTATTGTATTTAATATTCCACATCTTATTTTATATTAATACTCTTGATTTAATTGATTATACTACTCCCAAGTATGGGCTCATCCTCACCAATATTCACTACTAATTCCTTACCGACTACGTCTAAATAGGCCTCCGCTGTCAAGCCACTGGGTTCACTAACTTTGATGGCAATGTCTGTCAGCTTCAGTATGTGGCCGCTTTCAAGACTCCTAGCTGCCACAATGGATTTGCCAAGTTTATTTCGACAGGGCAGCTCGCTAGGTAAAATTGTTTTGTACTGAACATCCCGGAGAGCTTCTTCCAATTCTTGACGGCCACTTAGTTTTCGCAATATTTCATTAGGTTGCAGTGTAACTGCCGATAGCTCAAAATTATTAATTTTTGTTGTAAGTGTTTTTAGTTCATGGGGCTCGAGGGAGCATCGATGGTCGGACCCCTTCTGACCCTTGTCCAGTGTGAAATGACGTTCCACTATGCGGGCTCCAAGTAAAACAGCAGCTTGACTTATGATCACCCCCAGTTCATGACCCGAATATCCAATTACAACGTTCGGATAGCGTTTCTTAAACATGGGTATTAACTGCAAATTGCAATCCTTGGAGGCAGTTGGGTACGATGAAACGCAGTGCAAAAGAGCATAGTTCTGTTTTCCAGACTCCTCCATAATTCGCACAATCCTCTCTACGGTTTCCATTGTTTGCATTCCTGTGGAGATAACCAGAGACAAGTCCAAAGAGGCCGCCTTTTTAAGTAGCAGAAAGTTGTTTGCATCTCCAGAACCAATTTTAATGAAAGGAACATTTAAGTCAACCAGAAATTCCAATGAACGCTGCTTAAAAAGAACCAAGTTTTTAGGAACCATTACAAACTTATTTGTAATTTAACTGTCATGATTTCTAATATATAGCACTTGTTGTGGTAAAACGGAACCTAATGATCCCAGGATTAAGTCTTTTTCTCTGTGTACAAAAAAGCTCCAATTTGTGATATTGGAAATCTAAACAGCAATTAAGGTAATTGACAGTTACAATAGTACCTCGTCCATGGCGGAAGCTGTGAAGTCAATATCAATTTCCTTGCTGTATTCCTGCAGTTCGAGGAACTGCTCCTTGGAAAACTCCAGGAATTCCTTGTGCTTCCCGTAAGTTCTACCCCAAGCGTGATCGCTGACATATTCCCGTTCTAAAGCTGATCTCGTAAACTTTGTTGGCAAATCAGATTTCTGAAACTTGACGCAGTGGCATCGAGCTTTCTTAGCCTCGAAAATCATCTTCTTTGCCGTCTCCAGGCAGCCCTGATGGTTTTGGCCAATTTCCGCAATTATATAAACCGCATTATCGACTTTTTTGTTTATAATATCGTTTAAGATCATTTTATAAAAATTTCAAACCTCCCAATTTAACCGTTAATTAATTGATAGTCGGGCGTAGACAGGAAATGATATCGAGTAGTCGAATAGACAATATGGCGTCTTTGGTCTGGCCATATATTATTTTTCCATCGATGTGGCAGGCCTGGTCAAGCTCTGACAATATGTCAGATTGCCATCCTGCTCGCACCCACGAAGACCGTACGACGCAGAAGAGCTAGCGGATAGGCGAGAAAGGGACAAATATGAGCAACTGGGCATGACTAACTGCCTGTTTCGTTCCTTCCTGCTGCTCGGGCAATGTGGACACACTGGAGAAATTTTCATACTAGTTAGCTGTGAAAAGTATTTAGCAGAAATTGATTTGGGAAACTACAGATTTCGAGGCTTTTTCGGCGCTACCAACCATCGTTCGCGGCAACCTCGACACCCAGCAGCAGCAGTAGTGCACCAGATCAACAGTTCAAGACGCAAACATGGGCGACGTTATAAATATCGACAGCATAATATCGCGACTTCTGGAGGTGCGTGGGGCACGGCCAGGCAAGAACGTACAGCTCTCGGAAAGCGAGATTCGGGGTCTCTGCCTGAAGTCGCGTGAGATCTTCCTCTCGCAGCCGATTCTCCTTGAACTGGAGGCCCCACTAAAAATTTGCGGCGACATTCACGGCCAGTACTATGATCTGTTGCGTTTGTTCGAATACGGTGGCTTCCCGCCGGAGTCGAACTACCTGTTCCTGGGCGACTATGTCGACCGTGGCAAGCAATCGCTGGAGACCATCTGCCTGCTGCTCGCCTACAAGATCAAATACGCAGAAAACTTCTTCCTGCTGCGTGGTAATCACGAATGCGCCAGCATCAATCGCATATATGGATTTTATGACGAGTGCAAGCGTCGCTATAGCATCAAATTGTGGAAGACTTTTACCGACTGCTTCAACTGTCTGCCGGTGGCGGCCATCGTTGATGAGAAGATATTTTGCTGCCATGGCGGCCTGAGTCCCGATCTGACCTCTATGGAGCAGATCCGTCGCATAATGCGCCCCACCGATGTGCCCGACCAGGGATTGTTGTGCGATCTGCTCTGGTCAGATCCCGATAAGGACACCATGGGATGGGGCGAAAATGACCGTGGCGTAAGCTTCACCTTCGGAGCCGAGGTGGTGGCCAAGTTTTTGCAGAAGCACGAGTTCGATCTCATCTGCCGAGCCCATCAGGTTGTTGAGGATGGGTATGAGTTCTTCGCCAAGCGCCAGCTGGTCACTCTCTTTTCGGCGCCCAACTACTGCGGCGAGTTTGACAACGCTGGAGCCATGATGTCCGTGGACGATACGTTGATGTGCTCGTTCCAGATCCTCAAGCCGGCTGACAAGCGTAAAAAGTAATATCACACACATGCAGCAGCAAGAGCAGTCTTTTTCTATATAAAAAACAAATCAATAAGAAAATCAACCAAGAAAGAAAAACAAAAACACAACAACAACCAGAAATAAAATGCTTTGAAACAACACATCAGATCATGGATGAAACAAACGTAAGTGTGGGCTGCTAGCGCAATATAATCGTTTTGTGAATCACACACTCACCCCAACCTTATCTCTGTTTTTGGTCACTTTTATCATCGGCAGCCGGGCGAGTCAAAATCAACAAGAAAATCCCTCAGCTATGCGGACTAATGCCAGCGAATGCATGGAGGAACAACGCCTCGATCAAAGGACATCCTGGGTCCCTAGCAGAAGAATAAAGTTTTTCCCCTACCCCCACCCCATTGAGATTTAATTCGCAATTACAAACACATTGACAAATACCATGATTAAAAGCCACATATTTATTTTTAATAGCCCCTCGCATATATATATTTATATGTATATCTCTACCGACCAACCATCTACCCACACAAGCACACACATTGCTACACAGCCTACAATTATGGGTTTTGTCCAAATTTTAAACACTAGGTAAACAGGTCCGTACAAGCAGAGCACCAAGCATAATATTGGATTATTAGATGTACGGAGAGTGACTGGACCTCAGTCGGTCACAAATCATATAGAAAAGAGGCCCTGTAGAGCGCTCTTTGGCCTTAAAGAGTATAAAGCAAAAATCAGAAAACAAAACAAAAATCGAAGATGGGAAATCGTTGAACAGAGGAGGAGAACGCTTGCCAAGAAGTGAAATATAAACACTAAGTTTCGACCTTGAATCAGTTTTTGTTCGTCCACATTTCAGTCCGTTCAAATGGACACCAGATGAATACCTACTTGCACCCAAATCAAACAAATTTATAATTTTCCATTCAAAGCTCTTTTCCGTCTTTCGGTTTATCATTCTACCAATAAAAACGTCCCCATCCGCGCCCCTATCCCATCATTTTTAAGATGTGTTTTTTTAAAAATTAACTATTATTAATATGTATTATCAATAATCCTTTGTATTAATAAACAAATGATATAAAACGTGTATGAATTATGAAACTGATTTCAATAAACTTTTGAAAAATCCATAATTTTCTGCATATTTTTCTTTTTTGCTTTATTTACATTTACATTTAGGAAAATACTTAACATTTGTTCTAAATGGATGCCTTCTAATGGGATGTTTTTGGTGTGAGCTTGTGAGCTGCTGTCATCTGAGATCTACTCGTTGGAGCTACTGGCCTCCACTTGGACGGATGGGCTAGGATGAGCAGCGTCCTCGATGGGAACCACTGCTTTCTCCTCAATTTGACAGTTCTCCATAGTAGTTGTAACTTCTACAACGGCTGCCAAACTTTCTCCAGGTTTCTCTGGACTAAGTTCTCCATTCTCCTGCTGTTCCACCACTTTAGTGGTTTCGTTTACGTCCACCTGCTGCAGTTCCGAGGCAGCCACCACTTCAGTTGGGGTAACGGGCCCTGGATGGCCCTGGAGTACCTCAGGATTAATACTATTGATGATGCCACGCAGACGTTGAATCTCATCGTTGGCGAGCTGCAGATCCTGCTGCAGGCGCTCGTATTTGTCGTGCTGGTGACGCACTACCCCAATGTTGTTTCGTATGTACTCCATCGGATTCTCAGGTCTCTCCTTGATCACTCGTATAAAGATCTTGGTCAGCGAGTCTAGGACGCTGCCGCGCTCCAGGTAACGCCGGATCTCGTCGCGCTTGGGATCAATAGGCTGCGACATCGTGGGAGATTTTGGGTTAGCCAATGGCGTTCAGATTTCGGACAAAAGCTCACCTTAAAGGACATCTTTGCAAAATGGAGACAGGTCGTGTGACCAAAACTAAAACTTCGAAATATACCAAAGTCAAGCCTCCTTTGCACGCGATTTTAGCCAGGGCTGCGAGATTCTATGATTTTTGAACTAGTTCGGTTCATTTAAAATATAATTTTAAATATTGTTAAGCTAGTGGTTCTTCATTTTAATTTAATTCGCATTTATTGTATTGGTATAAAAAAATCTAAAGTGTAGAAATACTTTCTGTTATAAATTTTATTTACTATTTTAATGAGTAAATTTTGTCAATGTAAAATTAGAAGAAAATTTCAAAATGAACGTTATTTTCCAGCAATAGGACAATTATTTTTCGCTTTAATTACAATTATTGTTGATTTTACATATTATAAACAAATATTTTCTACTGAAAATACCTTAACCTTTACCTTAAAGGGATTAAATAGTAGTATTGGATATTCCTTTTTAATTTCAAAAATTTGTTTTTTTTTAAATGTTTTTCATTGCATGAATTTTGATTAATTGTATTAAAAAAAAAATAAAAACAAAAACTTTAAAAATTCAGATATATTCGAAATGTTTGGTTTGAAATATTTATCTGCGCATGTCTGAGAATTGTATTCCTCACATGTACATGCACTATTTTTGTACGACTGGATACAGCAATTGTGCGAACGGTTTTTTGGATACAGTCAAAATATTCCGATATAATGATGAATACCTTTGAGAACACCTTCATCCGGGGACCCTCGCCGTCCTATTCCGATGATGCCAACTCAGAGAATGCGTTATCAGTGACTCTGCCCATCGGAGCAGCTATCCCCGATTTGGACTTTTGTCGCGACGACTCCAAGACGGACACGGGCGACTATTTCGATGAGAAATACAACAGCGACAGCTGCTCTCGCTTGCATCCCGGTCATCAAGGACGCAACACTTTCGCATTTTGGACCATTGTGGTTCTCCTTTTGGTCCTGACTGTGGGCAATCTCATCCTGACCCTTACTATTGTCGGTGTCCTGCGTCTGGGAAAAGGTGTCCAGGGAATGGAAGTGATTCCCGAAGTAGATGTAGTCAAGTTCTACGGTTCCACGGACTTGGAACGGGTGCAGACCAACTCAATTGGACAGATTCATGGTTTCTCGGATGTTCCAGTGACAATTAGCAGTGATGCAGGTGACGGGGAAGGTGGCGTCAACGTGCGGGTGTTCCGAAACGGCAATGGTGAACGCGATAGGATTGTTCTGAACAAGGAAGGCATTCTTATTCAGGCCACAAATCTATTTGAGGTCAAGGACCCCGTTGATAAGCAACCAATTTTTACCACCCATCGTCCGCAATATAACATTCCGGGTGGAGTGGAAGCCTTGCAGGCCAAGGTGGTCAGTGCCAGCGGAATAGCGAGTCCCATTGATGAGTCTCTAGTTCTCGAGAGTGATGGACGCATGGCAATCAGAGGCTCCGAGGGCGTCTACTTCGATGGAGCCAGCGTTGACATGCAATCCGAGCATCACGTCCTAATAAACTCCACGCAGGGCGCCACCATCCTGGAGGCTGGCACGGGTATCTTTCTGGACATGGACCGTATCCCCATTGTCAGTTCCGAGCTTGGACTCCGCACAGGAAGTGTCCAGTACAAGCTTTGCGTTTGCATGCCTCATGGAACACTTTTTAGGATTGCCATTCCAAGGGTGCACAACGGTCCAAAGATAACGTGCGCCCACTTTAGCGGTAAGGACGATCCATGTGAAGTCAACTAAGTACTGCCAGAAATAAAGAGAATCGTTACGACTATCGTATCTCTAAAACAAATGTTACGTAGCACTTTTTATTTCGAGGAAATGTACAGGATTTGAAATAGTATAATGTAAAAACAGATTCCTAACTTGAATTGCTATGCGAAACACGATCCTGTTCGATTGCGGGGAGGGGTGGGATGTAGTTGTGAAGGTTAGATAACTAAATAGTTCCGATTGGCCAGATATAATACATAGATGGTATTGAATTAGCTGAATGAGAATGTACAATATGAGGGGCGAGAGACAATTTCAAATCAAGTGTTGTGAATTTCATTCAGAAACTAATAACGATTAAAGGGATTAGCGCGCGGGTTAGTCTACTTCCAGGTGAGGTTCCTAAACACCCGGAGGAGGTGGTGGCGGTGGTGGAAGCGGCGGCGGATGATGCTGGTGGCGGGTCTTTGACGAGCTGGGTATCACGGCAGCCAAATTGTCCGGCACCATGCTAAGAAGCTCAGCTTCACTTAGATGCGCCAAACGTCCTTTGCTCTTCGGCTTCGCTGCTGCAAAGAGTCGTTGATAATATTCGGTCGATGATGAGAATCAATTGTCTCACCAAATGAGCTGGTGATTGCTTCCTCGGGATTGTACTCCTCGCTGTCTTCACCAGTCTTAGAACACTGCTCGGGCTTGTCCTTAATGCTAGCCAGGATTTTCGAAAGATTTGGTGGAATCGATATGCCAGCTAAAACATTCGAAGAGGACGAGGATCCCTGCAAAAAAAAAACGAGAACCGAAATGGAAGCCACGATAGAAGAGAATTCCATGTCTGTAACTTACCGAGGGCTCCACTTTGAGGAGGCCGGCAATTTCCATCTGTTGCGCGGCAATTTGTTTGTTGATTTCATTCACCTGCCGCTCAAGATCGTTTGGGATTCTTGAAGCTATTGGTACTAATTCGTCGTCGGAGCCCCCAGGAGAGTAGGGTTCATCGGCATCGTTAAGCACCGGTGGCAGGGGCGCTGGTTTTGGTAGAGCTTTAAATAGAAAGCCATTAAGTTAGTTTTTTAAAGCTTCTTTGGCTTAAACTTACTCTTTTGTAGCTTGGCAATAGGCGCCTTGATGATAGCATCAATATCGAACTCGTCGTCCTTGGAGCTGGTGGAATGGGTGCTTGCCTTGCGTTTGGGGCTACCTTGAGGCATGAACATAGCGGTGCTGCGAGATTTCTGTTAAGGAGACATTTCAACACGTTATATATCTTTCGTAGGAATGTATTTTCAAATTTCTTACCTTTGCCATTTTGCTATTTGCAGTGGGAACCGGAGAAGGCACTGATGGAGTGGTTGGCAGAGAATCTATAGGTCGCTTTGTCAAACAGCGCACGATAATCCCAAGAAGCGTGTTGGGTCTCTGGGTGTCCTCGTAGAAGGGAATTTGCTCCACGGTCTGCAGCGCTGGTGGTAACTGATCTTCGGCGCCTAATGGGAATATATAAAAGTCCCGAATCTGATCGGAGTCCACCCCCATAACTCCCAGTCGTTGACGGGAGTCGAGGTAGTCGAAAAAGAGATCAAACTTAACCGTCTCGCTGGGTGATGCGGGAAATATATTTACTATGACAACTTCCTTTGTTGGACTCTTTTTCAGCTTTTTGATGTACTCCCAGACATTTACGCGGGTAATGCGACCGATTACATCCATTTGGCTAGGCATTAGGTTACCTAGTTGGTGGCAATTACCCTGAACGGGATGCATTACCATGTCGAAATCAGTCACGTCGATCATCTTAAGAGTGCCGGTCCATAATGATTTTGTGGTCAGGCCTTGTACATAGCGAGAGTAGTTGTCCATAGGCTCGGTGGCTCTTAAACTTGGTAGCGTTGGAAGCGGTTTCGGCGAAGGTTTCGGTTTTCCCAGATTCGCCGCTTGCTCAACTGTTTTCTCAGATTCTAAAATTTGATCAATCAGGTTATAGGCACTCTGATCTGCTTTCTTTTCAACAATTTTTTTGGGCACTGGCGATTGATCGTTTTCTTCCCTCTTTTTGGGCAAGGGCGAGGGGACAACCTCATCTCGTTCCCTGCTCTGTTTCTCGCGGGACCGATGCTCACGATCTCGTCCACCTGAATCTTCCTCATTGTGGTGCCTGCGATGGCGCTTCTCGAGGTTTCGACCCCGACTATTGGAACGACTGCGACTCCGCTTTCGGTGGTGATGCTTGTGAGTTTTGTGGCGCTTCTCCTTGGATGACGAGGACTTCTCCCTGGAGGTGGAACGTTCCAGTACTGAGACTTCCGGTTCATTTACAAAAGACGTCTGTTTTGTATCAACAGTGGATGAATTGTCTTCTTCCGGCAGCTTAACGTCAACCTTAGTAGGAATCACATCTTCACCCTTGTGGGTTTTAACTACATAATTTTGGGCACATGACAACATATCCAGCTCGGATTTCTTGATCATATCTAACTGGTGTCGATTCTCCTCCTCCCGCCATTTGGCCAGTTCTTGACTGGCTAGCTCCTCAGGTGTCATTCTTACAAGCTGCTTGGGCTCCACCTGCTTGGCACAAATCTTTTCGAAGAGTGTCCGGTTTTTTCGATCCTTTATGTTAAACATAAGTGACCGATACTTGGCCTTGTACTTGGCTCCTACGTCTCGCCCAAAGGAGTTAAACATTTCCAATTCCACGTTCTTAACGAACTGATCCACCTCAAATACCGTCAGCCACTGAGTTGTGGTATTACTTGAGGTCTGCTCTACAGCCTGAGCCTCCTTAATTCGAGCTAGCAGTTGTTCTCTGAGGGACCGGCGGATGCCAATGCGAACTGGTTCTGGTTTGCCTGCGCTTCGACTAGGGGCTGCCGTCTGTGCTGCAGGTGAAGGCTTCTCTTTCTCCTTATCTTTTTTAAGCAGGGGACGCATGGAAGAGTTCACCAAGGGACTAACCTGAATTGCAGTTGGTTGGGAAGCCTTAGTTACAGCATCAAGTGGTTTTTTTGCGGGTATTTGTGTAATCGACTCGGATACGGAAGATGCCTCGGGTGCCCTCTTCAGCTGACGTTTCTAATAAAATATTTTTCGTATTGTTTTGCACTATTAAATAAACTAGACTTACCTCTGTGTCTATTGAATGAATGGTTCCCAAGGGTAGAACCTCGAAGGTGGGATTCTCTTGAAGCCATTTCTTGAACTGATGCGCTGGAGGTGCCAAGTGACCAGTGATTACTCGACCAGTTCTGCGCTCAAATACATTTATCTAAACGATATGTTAATATTGTATTAAACATAACAAATGTGTTCATTAATTGCTTACCCGTTCCACTTTTGATACCGAGTCCGCCTGTCTAAGAACATCCTCGAATAAATCCTTCTTCTTAAATTTTTTGGCTTCCAGGGAGTTGTTCAGTGGAGATTGGATGCCGGCATTGTGTGGCAACGGGCTATCAGGACCCTTGGTCGCTGTGTGTGAGTGTATTGCGTTTTGGGCATACTTTCGTATGCACTCTTCACTACAATAAACTGAATTGGAGTTTGCCGGCCGCTTGCAGACAACACATGCCGTATCCGAAATGCGGTTACCAGATGATGGACCCAATTTGATAAAGTTTAATTGCTGCTGTTGGTAAGGGGTACTACTCGTTGGAAATTTCTTTGCCGGCTTTATCATGGGAATCCGAATTGGTGAACTGGACACAGTAACACCCACCGGCAGTGTTCTTTTAGGAGCTAAAGGACTCGTCAACTGAACTAATTCCGCTGACGATGTTATTACTTTGGTTTCATTTGGCTTTTCCTCAGTTAGTGCGGAATGTTCTGCTAACCAACATTTCTGTTATCCGCGGTTGGTTCTGAAAAGTTAAATGATGAATAAGTATACAGAGGGCTTTAGTAATTTATTTTACATTACCTTTTCTTCCTGCTTTTTAACGCATTTGGGGCACTTCCAGTCAACGCCCTTGTTTTCCATTTCTGTGCCCATTGCCTTGGTCACCCCCACACATGTGCCGTGGAACCAATCTTCGCACAAATCGCAGCAAATCATAAAACGATTGTTGTGCGGCTGCCGACAAATACACCAGAGCCTAGAGTACAAATATAAATGTTTAGGAGTTTCAATGCAAATTAAAAGAAGCCGTCTAAGAAAATATTCAAAGACATTCAATAGGGTCGGTTTTTAACCTTTTAAAGATAACTTACTTATTGGGGTCGTCGTCATCCTCCTGAGATTCAGAAGCATCGGGATCATTGTTTTGACTCGTGTTAAGCTTTTTTGATCTTCTTGGCACAGTTGAACGCCTGGCTAGCGAAGGCTCTCTCGGATTGGGTCGCTTTGGTCCAATTCCCGACTGGCTGTCATTGCTCAGACTGCTACTATTAGCTAGCTGATTAATGCTTGTATCCAGTGTCGATTCACCAAAGGATAGGTTACCCAGATCCCCTGAGCTAGCTGAGGCTATATCTGAACTTGCAGGAAACTGTGCTCGGCGCTTAGCACGCGTGGTGGGTGCTTCAATTGGAGGCAGGTAAATCACCCGACCGTTGCCACGCACAACCTTTGCTGAGGTAGGCAAAGGGGTAGCCAAGCTCCTCGATGGTGTACTGCAGGCAATGGGCAATGAGGTCATCGATTGCGCGGACTCAGCAACAACTGCAGGAGGCGCCAGATTGGCTTGTGCCTAAAGAACAATATCATGAATAATAACGTTTAAAATTGAAAAAAACATGCTCAACACTTACCTGAATAGTAAGTGCTTGGGGCAATACTACAGGATGTACGGCCATAGGCAATGACGCGATGGCATCCAAGGTTCCGGGCTCTGTGCTGGCCAGCACTTGTTTCACCACCTCGGCCTCAAATTGTTTGTCCTCCTCGATAAGACCCACCACGTGCTGGAGAAAATCTGCCGTAATCTCATCCTCGTCAGCCGCCGCCATAATGTCAATATCTACCACAGATGGATTTTCTACTCCCGGCAAATCTGAAGGGACAAGGTTCTGAGTGGGGAAGGAAACTGGTGCAGGACCTAGATCCGCCGCTGTGCTCTCCAGCATTTTCACGAGTTTAGGAATATCCTCGTCCGCATTCACTGTCGGCTGGTCCACAAGCGTGGTTTTCATAAGTTCATCCTGGACAATTGAATTTATCAGATCAAGCTGCTTGTCATTCTCGGCTGCCAGCTCCGAAGAACTCTGGTGAGTTTCGATCACAATTTGGGCAGGCAACTTATGCGATTGCGCCGTATCCACGCCGATGGGCATAAATCCTTTTGAAGGTGTTGGGGCTTGCGCCGGAACTGGAACTACAATGGGCGGCAGGTGTTGGGTGTAGCTCGATTTCGGAGTGCTGGGCGACATGACGGCCCGGTGCCTAAGAGAATCAGGGGAAGATTTTATGGTTGCATTGTTGTTCTCGCCCAGCAGGCTATTGAGGTTGGTAAAGACGCCTTTTGGGCTGGCCATGTTCTTGTTAATAATAATCTCCTTGACATCCTGTGGTGAGTTTATGATCCTTCCCAAATGAACTGAAGGGACACGGCGGACATTGGGATTTGATGGTGTCGCTGGCAGTGGAGGTTTTTTGACAGGTAGCGTTTTATGTGAAGGTCGGGTCTTAAGAAACGAGGTGCTGGGAAGACCCCTGCCCAGGGCAATAACTGTGGGCGCTGCCTTCGTAGGCAACTGAATGATTTGACCAATTTGCGGTGCCTTCTGTTCCACAATTTCCTTTCGTTTCTTTAGGTCGGGGAAGTGCTGGGTTGTTGATGGCGGCATTGGCAATGGTTTTGATGGTTTGGAATGCCTGACCACCTTTTTCACCCGCTTGCGTTTGTTGCGGCCACCGCTGTGTCTCATATCGAAATCCATGTCACTGTCCCTGTCATTGTCCGATTCTTGGAAGTCGTCGCTTTCCTCGCTCATTTCCTCCGTATCATAGGACTTGTCGGCATTGTCTTCGTCAGCGGGATCTGAGCTTTGAGCGTCGTCATCGTCTTCGATGTGGTCATGCACTGGAGCAATAACCTTGATGGGAGCGCGGCTTGGTCTGGGTCTGACATTTACCATGTTGCTCGCAATAATCTCTGGTTTCTGTCTTGGCAGTGGCGAATGGATGGGCTTTCGGATTAGCTGAACCTTGGATTGCAGCTGCACCGGTTGCTGAACTTGGTGGGGCTTGACAGGCAGTCGCTGCACCTTAACCTGCAGAGGACTGAAGGGAATGGCCTGGACCCGCTTTTTGGCATTGATTAGTTTTATGCTACCCGGTGCCTGCATAATGATCTTCCTGCTTTGGGATTGCGCTTCCATATCCATCTTCTCGGCTCGCTTATGGTTCTTTAGCTGCTCTGGCGAGGTAAACGGTGTGTAGTTGTGGTCGTTACGGATAACTTCCATCAGTGCGTCTGTCTCAGCAGTCCTCTTGTATATGGAAACTCCGGCAAGCTCTGTAAAAAGAATAAAAATAAGTTTAAGGTCGAAGTGGTATATTTTCAGCTGTGGTCTCAATAATGCAGAATAATGCTCTATCATTTAAACCACACCTATAAATGCTATTTACTCAGTGCATTTTTCACAACCATATCAGCCGTGCTATCCGCATAAAACTGTTCCACCCGCAGGCCCACGATTTGAGGTCGCTCCTTTGGTCTACGTCGTTTCCGTTTTTTGATAATCTTGGGCTTTCGGCCAGGTCGCCTTCGGGTGCGCGGAGTATCAGTTTCCGTGTCAGTGGAGTCACCATTATTCTCCTCGCCGGTGTTTTGATTCTCCTCGTCTTGGGCGTCTGCATCGCTGGCATCCTCTCCATCACTTTGGCTGCCGTTGTCGCTGTCCAGTTCTGAGTCCGTGGCGGTGTCCATGAAGTTCGCTAGCTCCTCCAATCGCTCGGCTTCCTCTTGATCCATCATACTGGGCGTGGGCGAGGTGAGACGCACTACGCTGATGGTAGAGATCGATTTTTCCTCTGCAAAGAACGGAAGTCAGTTAAGGAACGAGGAAACGGAAACACAGATACTTACCCATTAGGTTTCCAATGGCACGTTCGTCGAAAGAGACTCCATTCTTGCTGTAGACCACTACTAGATTGGAGTCGGCATCGGCTGCCGCCGGCCGGGCGCTGGGCGCCTCCGTAAACACCGAACTGGACATGGCGCCACCTTCACCTGATCTTCGCTAGTGGCGCATTGATGTTGACGACTCACACAGCGTGCACTTTATTGACTCAGAACAGAACGATTCATTTGTTGTTGCAACCGCCGCGTTGTGACGCCGACATTGGATTTCGGGTGGTAACGGGTCACTGGGATTTGTTTGTCGATACGTAATACTGATGATGGTCATAAGCTGCTCACACTAGTTGGCTGCTCGGTAGTTTAGATTCGGACGCAGAATCCGACTCCTTTTTTGCTTAAAAATGCAAATTCTGCTGAATTATGAAAATAAAATTTGCAATAAAAGCCAGTTCGGGTGTGACCAGACTTGGTAATGCTGTCGATGCCTTTACTTATCGATAGTTTTTGTGCGTCGATACGTGGAACCAGTTCATAGTTCAAAACAAACTAATATTTAAAAAAATTAGCTGAAACTTAAGTAAGTTTGTAGTAATTGAAATACTTATAAGTCCACAGAGAACATTTTTTTACTTTTCTCTATGTAAACATTTATGAAAAATGTATAGTATATTATAATTATTACGTATAAATAATTATATATCAACTGATTATTTATAATTTGAGGAAGTTAATTTATTCTTAGTTTCATTTATTAACCGAATTTGCAGCTCTAAATAAAAAATTTATAATACCCTTATGCTGAATATAAATCACACGATCACCAAAATATTTACTTGGTGGTAGTTTGGATTTTAGTCAACGGTCATACTGTTGCAAGAACAATAAAAACACTGATAAAAACATAATTTACTGCCTTTGTTCGTACCCAGCTGTTTTATCAGCTTATTTTACTGGGCTTAGCAATCATTGTTGTCCAGTGCGCCAGTTAAACTTTGTACTCCCTCGCAACAACATGGCTGCTTTTCAGATGGGATCGGGCCACGCAGTGCCCATGACCCTCTTCCGGGGCAACAGGAGTCGCGCCGTAAAGGCCATCCTCCAGGAGCTACTGCCGAGTCTCAAGTTCAATTCGGGTAACTTGCTAGTGCTCCTCGAGGGCGGTAAGGATAAGAGCTTATACAACACAGACGTGGATTACGTTTTCAGGCAAGAGTCCTATTTCCAGTACTTGTTTGGAGTTAAGGAGCCGGGATGCTATGGCATTCTTACCATTGACGTGAAGACGGGTGTCCACAAGAGCATTCTGTTTGTTCCTCGCTTTCCCGATGAGTACGGCACTTGGATGGGCGATCTGCTCGGAACGCAGGACTTCAAGGACATGTACGAGGTAGATGAGGTTTTCTATGGCGACGAACTGAATGTTTATCTGGAGGGAGCGTCGCCCAAGCTGATTCTTACGTTGAGTGGCACCAACAGCGATAGTGGTCTCACCCTCCAGCCGCCAGATTTTGCCGGCAAGGAGAAGTACGTGACCGACTGCGATATACTCTACCCCATTCTGTCCGAATGTCGGGTGATCAAGTCGCCTGAGGAAATCGAGGTTCTGCGTTATGTAGCAAAGGTTTCTTCGGACGCCCACATCAAAGTAATGAAGTTTATGCGCCCCGGTAGAATGGAGTTCGAAGGCGAGTCCTTGTTCCTTCACCACGCCTACTCCGTGGGTGGCTGTCGACACGCCTCGTATACCTGCATCTGCGGAAGTGGAACGAACTCATCAATTTTACATTATGGACACGCTGGAGCACCGAACAGTCGACCTGTTCAGGACGGAGATATCTGCCTGTTCGACATGGGTGCCAACTATTGCGGCTATGCCGCAGATATCACCTGCACTTTCCCGGCCAATGGCAAGTTTACCGAGGACCAAAAGTTTATATACAACGCCGTTCTGGATGCCCGCAATGCCGTTATGGAATCGGCTAGAGATGGGGTGTCTTGGGTGGACATGCACAAGCTGGCGGGGCGGGTGCTGCTACAGCGGCTAAAGGATGGCGGCATGTTGAAGGGTGATGTGGAGGAGATGCTCGAGGCAGGTCTTTCCGGTGTGTTCCAGCCTCATGGCTTGGGCCATTTGATCGGCTTGGATGTGCATGATGTGGGCGGCTATCTGCCAGGGGAGCCAAAGCGTCCCAGCGAACCGTGGTTAAGCAAGTTGCGCTTTGCTCGCATCCTTAGGGCTGGTATGTATGTAACCATCGAACCCGGATGCTACTTTATCAATTGGCTGATGGACCAGGCCTTGGCCGATCCGGACATTGTTAAATACATCAACGTAGATATGTTTAACCGCTTCCGAGGATTTGGCGGAGTACGCATCGAGGACGATGTACTAATTACAAAAACTGGCGCTGAGAACTTTGCAATCGTTCCACGAACAGTTGCGGAAATCGAGGCAACGATGAGTTCGCCTTAAATACGAGCTGCAGCTTAGAATGGCATCATAATTGTAAGCTTGTGCATATGTAGTATACTGTATCATAATCAAATTATGGGATATTCAAAAAATAAATATCAATATCATTTTGCAAATAAACTTTAACTGATATCTAATTATTATTTTTCCCATTTCGGTCTTTGTGTCTGATCTATCTAACCAATTAAGCTCATAAAGATTTGAATATAACATTGGCTTATAATTTTTACATATACATATTTATTGTTCGCATGGAGAATATGGTGCAATGACTATCTATAAAAGATTAGCGTTATCTGCTGATACACAACTTGATTAACTTCGATTCACATCAACATCAGACACCAACGTTTACCGTTTTATGTTATTGGTCAACAGTGTTAACAAACTAAACGCGGCGAGGGGCTCTTTAAGCGTGAAACAGTCATGTCTCCAAGCGGTATCTAATTCTATTTACAAGCCGGAATTAGCAAAGAGTGCCATGAGTTTATCCTTGCCCGATCCACGGGCTACATGTACTTCTTGGCGTGCCCGTTTCGCTGCTGCTGCTTTAAGTGGTTGTGGGCATTACCATTCTGGGCAGGAGATGCTGGTTCCTCACTGTTGCTATCGCCGCTGCACTCCTGGACCGCCTCGATGACTTCGACGGCGCTGCGACGTGGGAACCAGCCGCGGATGTGACCCTTACGCTGACGTTTCTTATCGCCAGTTAGTTCCTCTTCGGAGGGCACCCGTTCGCCGAACAACCAGTGGTTGCGGAAACGGGTGACCCTAATTATATCGTCGGGTCGTAGTCGAATGCGGGGCTCATCAGAACACGGGGCAGATACACAAACCCGCCAACCCTGTGAGAAGATTGGCAGCCAGCGTCCAGTTACGGGTCTGATGCATCTGAAGGTGCGGGTACGAGCTCGCTTTTCCTCCTTTTGTGCAAGTTGTTCCCGCTGAAAAGATTACAAGTTAATCATCTTTCAGTATAAAAATAATTTTTTATTCTCACCGTCAACGTGTACTGATCGCAGCCCTTCACCACGGGCCACTCAATGCCATCGCCTCGCTTCTGGCATTCATCATTAAACACCAGTCGCAGATTTTGGCGCCAGCCCAGATCGTAGGGATAGAGGAACTCATCGTCACAGTCGGGATTTCTATATCGCCGGTATATGGCCTTCTCTACAATCCAGATTTCAATACCCGTCTGGTTGGTGACAATCGTCTTTAGCTGAATGAAGAGTAGCATACTAAGGCCGATAACGACGCCGATGGCCAAGCCCATGCCTAAGATGCACATAATGATGCTGGCCAATGTGAACTGAACGCTGGCCAGGTGCGCTAGTCCATGAGTAAGATAGTAGTAGCGGTATATGCCGCGCCAGAAGGAACAGCAAAGCACCACGGTGCCCTGCAAGCTGCCAAGAATTGAAAAGAGCAGGAAGTAGGTGAAGTATGCATGGTTGGCCCAGCCAACGCAGTGATTAATCCACGGGCAGTGGTGATCCATTTTTTTGACGCAGCGATCACCTATGTTTATAATATACACATTTGAATTAATTAATAAAACAAATTAACAATTTTGGGCAATTACAAATTTTTACAAGTTAAGTTTTTATATAGGTGAAGCTTATTTTAAAATATGTAATGATTGTAAGTCACCAAAACTATTTTTATTTTAAATTATTTTTTAATGTCGATGGTATGCAAAAAACTTATTGTTTGAATGCTGTAAGTATAAAAATTTTATTTTTTTCGCTTAGTGACTGTAACTTTTAAAGTTCAAAGCAATTGTTTAAATCAAGTTGGATAAATTATTTTTAATCGTTATGAAAGTCATAATTTAGATGGCAATTTGATGTGGGATTTTTTCGCTAATTTATGGACTTACACTTGCGACAATGATGGGAGCGTGGGGCCTTGTAGCCCTCGCATTTTTTGCAGTACTGCAGGAACTCGGCGTCCTTGGGATCCTGCCAAAAATTTAAATTCATTAAAATACAGAAAACGAGCATATTATTCGTGATTTATGCGCATTTCCCGAAAGCGCCAGGTACAACAAAACATAGCGACGCACAGCTCATTAAATGACCACCACCCATTACCCATGAGCCACCCAAATAGCCCAACTAATACGTCCCTCATGCGTCTCGACTCGCCTACAAAACATTTATGCAAATTCGAGTAATTGCATTACGGACTTTGGGCCACGTAGAATGCGTTCGCGTGCAGGGCCCGCCCGTTTGTAATGTGAGGAGTCAACGCTAATAAATTATATTTGGGTCGCGCCATGGCTGGACAAAATGAATGGTAGTTGAAAAACGTTACAGCCGGTGGTAGCTCTTGCACGACATTTTTGAATTGCCTGGTGGGCCCGGATTCTTTAAAATAAATTGCAGCGTTTAATTGGCGCGGATTATGCGATAAGCAGTCACACACGCCAAAGGGCCGGGTTGGCCCATTTGTCTGGCCTGAAACTCGGACAAGGAAACCCCGTAGAGACGCCTACAGAGCACTCGGCACCTACTCTACTGACGCTAAACAATTGCTTCCGCTTTGGAAATGACGTTGCGCAAAGGGACTGAGTCCAAACCAACCCTAGGCAAAGTACTTTGGCAGTTCGTGACGGGTCAACAGTTTTTCGGACCAATGGAAAGCATTATCAATGGGTAACAGGTGTCTCGAACGAGGTAGAGGTGGTTGACAAGTCATTGTGTTACAACAAATTCTTCTCTTCCATTCCTCTTACGTTCCTATTGGGTTTCGTGTTCTACGGTTACCTTGGGCTGCCACTGTTTTGGCATCAGTCCGGGACCTGTCAACGTGGCCATGACGTAATTAAATGTGGCCAGCGTGGAGAGGAGCAGAAACAGAGCCTGGTGGGCGAATCCAGCGAATGATTCATTTGGCGGCCACCACATCGAGTTCATATAGAGCGTCGTCAGAGTTATACATTTAATGATGCCTGAAAGCAAATAGGTACATAGATAAAATTAGAGTGGTTCATGTCTAAAAGTGTAATATACATAGAGTTGGTGCGACCTAGCCCTTATTTTCGCTTGGATGGGGGTGACTTTGGTGGCCATGCTTCGTTGCGTGCGGAGGAAATAAGGCTCATTTATTTAGTTTATTGTCGCTTTTCGAGTTGATTAGCCGGCACCACGGTCCAGTTATGAGTAATTTTGGCCATTCTGTGACTGATTCTGAATCCTTTTCGGGAGCAGCAACAAGCGACCGGCGTCTAATAAAGCCATTATGCCGGGAACAATTGTTTATCAGTTCAATATCGTGGAGGTCCGGAAGTCTTATGCCGTCTGCCTTGCCAACGGCCAAACGGTCAATTCGCACGCCATGTTTGCGAGGCTCCGTGAAATTCCCGATAGGGTCCAAGGACCCAAGTAGACCGAACAATAAAAAGGCAAACGACACAAACTAAAACGCAATTAGCGCGGCACATTAACTAAATTAAAAGTCCCCTGGTGGGTGGACAACCGATTTGGAACTCCGTTATGTGTAGTAGCAAAAGAAACACGATATGGCACAGACATAAGCGGGATGGGGCGTGGCTGTTGCGAATGCCGCCCACATAGTTACCGCAAATTACGAGAAATTCATACACTTCGAGTCCACTCTCACCCATTTGCAAACTGGATCCTTTCTAGACTGATACCATTGTGTTTCCTTGGATTAAACCATCTGATTAGCCAGGGTTCTACTTACTTAGGGCGGTAATTGGGCCCCAGTGCAGGAAACGGCGGAAGCCGGATATTTCAGCGCTCATAATTTGTATATTTTCGCGTTGGCGTCCAAAATGGTAATGAGCAAAAGGTAAACAACAAAGGTACCCCAAAAGCGATAACGATGACTAAACAAATTGCTATCGGTGTGACCGCGCATTGAAATCCCTACTATTTGAACCACTAAATTTGGAAATAGGAAATGAACTGGTTACCTTCTAGTGAATACCACAAAATCAAATTTAAACGGCTTACTAAAATATCTAATTTATGTTTGTGTAAGAGTAAATAAAAATATTATATTTTTTAAGAACATATCTGTGATATGTTATAAATACTTTTATTTTTCACAGATATATATTTCATAGTTTATACACCGTTGTTTTACTTGTTAGCCACAATCTCGAACTTAATGCCGTGCTCGTGCTTTTCCAGCTCGTTGATAAGACTCGTTCCTCGGAAGGCAGCTCCTGGTGGCAGGACACCGCCGGTTCCGGGCATTTTGTCACTTTCATTGAGGATGGTCTTAGCAGTGGAGAGCAGGGCTACACAGGTCGATCCGTACCCGGGGTTGGGACCTGTAATGCTTACGGTCAAGGTCTTCGTTGGTGGAGAGCTGTACTGATCAGTGGTCTCTGCAAGTTTCTCGGTCTTGGGCCAGCCAGTGGCTTTCATGGTCATTTTAAAGAAGGAACGCTCCATCCTGGCTTCGCTTGGGCCCTCACGGGATGCCATGCCACCGGAGAAGACGCCGGGGTACTTGAGCAGCAGCTGGCGGCCAAAGGAGAACTTGGCCATAATTCCAATGATAGAAACGAAAAATACAACAATACTGGCCGCAAACCACGAGGGATAGGTCATGTAGGCCTGCATCTGAACCGGACGTTTCTTCTCCTGCTCGTAAAGGAATCGCTGAGAGCGCATTACCACCGAGCGATCCGTTTCAGGGAAGGGTAGGATCACTTTATTGTCCACCTCGGCAGCACGAGAAAGCGGCGATCGTGCCTTCAGATCTGGATGGAACTTGGGCAGACGTTCAGGGAATAGCTTTCGGCGGATGGCTACCGACTCGCTCCGGTTGGCGATGGCGTGAATGGCACTTTCCCAAGTGCCGGTGTTGAGGGCCGCACTGCCTGTTCCCTTGGTGCCACCTTTAGCACCCATGTGGACAAAATTTTCCACCGAGTTGACCACTCCGTCGAAGTTCTTTTCTACGAAGGTGACTCCCATGTCAGCGGGAATGGAATCAAAACCACAAGCACTGATCACGTATACGCCTCGCTCCTTGGCAAGATCATTGTATCTCAACTGCATCGTTTCCATGTACTGAGGCTCTCCGCTGACGTCCACGTGGTGGGTGCCGGCCTCAATGCAGGCCTTGACCACTTTTTCTCCATAGAATCGATACGGTCCGGCCGTATTGATTACAATTCGGCAGCGCTTGGCCATCTCTATAAGTGATGCCTCGTTGTTCACGTCCGCAATTACGATGGGCGTTTGGGAAAGGTCCGTCTTGGACTTTGCACCCATTTCCTGAAGCACCGACTGCAGCTTCTCCTGGTTGCGACCGGCGATGCCCCATTGCAGGCCCTTTAGCACGCTGACTGCCTCGAAAACTGTGTACTTTCCGGTAAATCCGGAGGCTCCGAAGATGATAGCATCCAGTTTTTTGGTCGCCATTCTAGAGGTCAAAATTTGCGACTGTATTGATTTGACTAGAATGGTGTTATCAGCTACGGACTCTGAGTTAATTTGGCTGCTCTAAACTGGCGAAATGTTAATAGTGCTAATCGCAACAAATAACAGCTGTATTTATAAGCTGTATTCCAGATAGTAGCGTCGTGACTCCACAAAACAGAATCGTACAGGTGATCGATTGCAGATAGCAACAAGTGGTTCGTTTACACGGTTACTTTCAAAATAATTTAAATTTAATTAAAATAAAAATATTTAATAAGAACTAATTAGTCTAATAGTTTTGAGTACATTTGAAAATCATATGTCTATTCCTGGGAAATTAATATGTTTTTCAATATACGACGAAGGTAAAAATTTTCCTTATAATGAATTCGCCAATTCTTGAACTACTGGCTATATGCGCATTTTCGACAGTGGGAATAGATAACTATTTTATCGATTTTTTTTCTTTAGACCGATATTTTTTAGCAAAAATTTAAATATTTGAATACAGTTCAGGACTTTAGTTGTTATGTATATCAGTGTGTAATTCCTAATAGATTATACATTATACCTTGCAGTGCGTAATAAAACTCAATTGTGGAAGTTATTATTATTCTTATTATTGGTATATTTTAAAAATGCATAAGATATAAAAAATTAAATTGTTTAACTTAACAACTGACTTTTTTGGACCTGTTGAAACGAAGCTCTGCACGGATGCATTGTCTCGCAGATCCGAGATTGAGTTATTCACTGGAATGTTTTCAAACGTATACAGAGCGCGGAATCCAATAGCAACAAACCGATCATTTGAATGCAGGGTGACGCGAAAGAAGCGCCCATCAGAGCGCATTTCAAAATCCTGAAGCTTTCCACAGAATCTGCTATACTTTCGGTCTGTGCTCATAAAATTCGAAAACTCAATGAAGTCGCTGGCAGTCTGGTGGTCACAGCTGCAAGATATACATATATATACAATATTTAACACATTCAGCATTCAGCATTTAAAATAGATCTTACGTTCCAATGCCTTCAACGTCGAAATACGTGAAATGCAGTACAACCCTTTCATCACTCGCTCCATAGAAATAATAATTGCACACTACATTTTCTAGATAATAACCAGGAAAATTGGGAGAATGAAATAGGCCACTTATTCGTTCACTGCTGTTGTAAACGAAGGAACAGTCCTCTTGTTGCACACCGGACATGATGCCATAGTCTGAAGAGAATATTAAGATACTATTAAATTTATGCAAATAAATATAACGTTGATAAACGGACGGGATATCTAAAATATGTACCAGTGGAGTGCAGATATAAGTAATTTGGACTGCCACAATCACTGAAAACACTTACTGGTTAAAAAGCGGTACTCTGCCCGGAATCCGTAGTACTGAACTTTGTTGGTCATGGTTGGTGGATATTTTCCGACAAATTGAAGGTGAAACTGTGGCCCACTTGACATCAGCGGCTTTGGCAAAAACGCGCCGCACAATAGTTCCTGTGTTTCGTAACGCCCGCGCACTTCGGATACGACATGAAGCGCATCCCCAGGCTGGCATCCCGTGGAATTCTCATTCTCCGTGGGCACATTAAAATCGTGGAATCGTATCTGCACCCTTTCTGGCGGTTGCGCTTCAAATTCGTAACGGCATTGTAGGACTCTCGAGCCGCCAATTGTAACTCCGCCGAGAGCGTACTTTGCCAGCAACAGCTGATTGGAGTCGAAAGTCCCCGATTTGTTAACGCGTGAGTCGAATTTCTGCTTGCAGTGTTCTGCGAAATAAATAAAATAATTTATAATTTTTAGTAAGTTTTCGTATGTTATTTTCGAAGTTAAAGTGGCAGGCCAAATTCTTAACTCGATTTGTTAGCAAAAATATGGCCTCTAAGCGGAAGCACCATGAGGACAACAAGTTTGACACCTTTCGAAAAATCTGTGATGAAATTGCCGGCGAGTCGAGTTATCTTAAGAAGGCTGAGATACTGCAGAGATTCTTCGAAAAAGGAACCAGCGGCAAGGGTTTTGAGGGCGATACCCTGCTTTGGGTGCAGTTTCTCATCCCGGCGGCTAATCAGCGGGTTTACAATTTGCAAAACAAGGCACTGATCAAGCTATTCTCACGGGTTTTTAATGCTAGTCAACAGCAAATGCACCTCGACCTAGAGCAAGGCAAGTTATATCTTTTACTTAGCCATCTAGTGAAAATGGTAACTTAAACCCAAAACTATATACTCTATACCTGTAAAAAGTATTATTTACTTACTCTATGTTTGAATGTTTCCGTAGATGGAGACGTTTCGGAGACGCTGCGCAAGCACTTTGCTGCCTCTAAGAAACTGAAGCCCCAGGCGCAGAGCAAACTTTATCTTCAGGAGGTGGAACAGTTACTTGTAAAGCTTGTTGAGCGCACTAAAGAGGATGAACAGACCGAACTTCTAAAAGAGCTGTGCTCGAAGGCCACCGACCTAGATCTGCGTACATTTATCCGGCTAGTGAAGCACGACTTGCGGATCAATGCCCGGGCCAGTCATATTCTGGACGCCTTCGGCCCTGAGGCCTATCCCGCTTATCAGTCTTCGCGGGATTTGGTGGCTATTGTGGCGCAGTTCGCCGGCAAGGGAAATAAAAAGGCTGCACTCAGTCCGGTAAAGAAGGCGAAACAAGCAAACACCAGTGGAATTCAGGTGATGACGCCTATATCACCTATGTTGGCCAGTCCCTGCAAATCGGTGGATGAAGCCTTCAAGAAGAGTCCGGCTGGGTTGTATAGTGAAATCAAATACGACGGAGAACGAGTTCAAATCCACAAGCAGGGTAATGACTTTAAATTCTTTAGTCGAAATCTAAAGCCCGTGGTGGAGCACAAGATAAAGGCTCTAAAGGAGCACATACCACGCGCTTTTCCGGGAGCAGGAGAAATGATTCTGGATTCTGAGATCATTCTGGTGGACACTGACACGGGAGCTTTGCTGCCATTTGGATCGTTGGGCGCCCATAAGAAGCAAACTTTTGCCAATGCTGCGGTGTGCCTTTTCGTCTTTGACTGTATACTGTACGATGGAGAGGATTTGACTCAGCTGTAAGTGGTAAGATTGTTTTATTGGGAATGATATTATCTACAAATGTCCTTGGAAAGTTGTAGCTTATAACAGTTATTCCTACTTGTTCCAGGCCGTTTCGCAAGCGACGAGAAATCCTGGAGCAGAATATTCAACCTATTAAATCCCATGTGCAACTTTCGGAATCGGAATTCCTTAAAACAAAAAGAGAACTGGCGATGATGACGGCTAAGGTGCTGCATGCTAATCTGGAGGGTGTGGTGCTAAAGAGTCCAACAAGCACCTATCAGCCAGGCAAGCGAAACTGGTTAAAGGTTAAGAAGGATTACCTTTTCGATGGAAAGATGGCAGATACAGCTGATCTAGTTGTTCTGGGTGCTTGGTATGGATCTGGAAAAAAAGGCGGAGTGCTCAGCATTTTTCTTATGGGTTGTTACGATGCTATGGGTCGTTTGTGGAAGACCGTGACCAAGGTTCATTCCGGCCTGGATGATGCCACAAACGCGGAAGTGCACGACTCACTAATTAAGTTAACCGAACGAGCTGATGCCAATGCTACGCCCGAATGGCTGCTGTGCAGTAAGTCCATTGGTTCCGGATGTTCTGGCCAAAGATCCGCTAAAAATGCCAGTATGGGAGATTACAGGCGCAGAGTTCACTAAGTCCGAAGCACATACAGCGTCTGGCATCTCGATTCGATTCCCCAGGATTACCCGTCGGCGTAGCGACAAATCTGCAAAGGAAGCAAACGATCTTTCCCATTTGGAAGATCTGTTTGATGCTTCAAAGAAGAATGTGAACGTTGATCTGCTCTTGGCCAATTGTGGAAAGTTAGATAAAGATTTAAATATTGAAAAGACGCCAACAAAAGTGCTAAAACCAAGCAGCAGTCAAGCAAGTAACTCCAAGAAACTTAAAAGGTCGAAGACGGGTTCAGATGATGAAGACCCAGCTCCACCGGTGAGCAAACGGAAGGAAGCGAAAGCAGAAAAAAGGATTCCGCCTTCCCAAAAGGGTATTAGGGACTTTTTAAAGCCCAGTAAAGAGATCCAAACTGTAGTTAAAAAAGAACCGAAGGAGGAGAGAAAAACTCCTGATCCAATTAGTTCAAAAAGCAAGTTATTTGACGGTTTAATTGCTCACTTTGCAATGGGAAAAGATCCAACCAATTTAAAGGAACAATTTTCGCAGCAGGGAGGATTGTGTACCACGGATACACGACAAGCTAATCTGGTCTTTTATAATATGGACGAGACATTGGACCTCAAGAAGCTTAGGTATAGTCTAAACAAACATTAAATCATTAAGTGAAATAATCTTCCCGATTTCAGATCGCTCTACCCGCGGAACTGTCGGCACTTGAATGTTAGCTGGCTCCAAACGTCTCTCGAAACCCAGAGTCGACAGCCTTTCCCACTGTATGCCGTGATGTTAAAATCTTGAGAGGCCTGTCTAAATTGTTTTTACTCATAAATACATGCTTGATTAAACAAAATATATGTATATAATAGACAAGTATTTTATCAAACGCGGCGTACATATGCCTGCACCTAGCGGCAGTGCAAAAAGCTTTAATCAAAAGCTCTGCGTAGCGAAAACAAAACGCTCCCAATTGTTTGTCGCGTAGTTAGTTATATTCTGGACGCTTAGATCGCCGTTCGAATCGCTCATTCAAAAATGTTGTGGGAGTTCCTTGCACTCTTTGCGATCGCCTTTGCCTTGTTCTATCGCTGGGCGACCGCCAATAATGATTTCTTCAAGGATCGGGGCATACCCTTTGCGAAGCCAACACTCTATTTTGGCAATATGACCGAAATGTTTTTGAGAAAGAAAGCCATGTTTGACATAGTCTGTGATCTATATACTAAAGGCGGAAGTAGCAAGTAAGTTGATCTCATTGATTAAAATTATATTAAGTAATTATAACTTGTTTAGAACATTTGTGTATCTATTGTGTGTGCGATGACAACTGTAGGCTGTCAAGGCCAACCAATCAGTAATCTATTTATATACGAGTACACATATGATGGGTGCGGCTGCGTTTAAGTAATTATTGAATATCGAATTCTGAAATGCTCTCAAGCAAAGCGGCTTATCTATGCAACAAAGGATTATATAGATAATTCAATACCAAACTCCATGTTTGTAATTGCTTGGCTATTTCTTTAATAATTGCGAAATGCATTGTTATGTTTATCAGTTTAGTTTGCTTTAATCTTATCAAAATTACGACGGCTTTAAATGTGGTTTGTTGCGGAGGGGACTTTTTGTTCCCATATTTAGATAGCGAAAATAATTGTTAAAGTTCCAGTTAACTGCTTCGATAATAACAATTATTTAAAATTTCACCATTTGCATTGAATTTCACACTTTTCTCTTATCTATCAAGCCATTTCTAAAATTTGTGTTGCATGGCAATTGTTTATTTTGGCACTGCCAAAAACAAACAAAGATTAACAATTAGTCGGATAGGTAATGAACACATCTTACTTAGCCATAAATCACTTATTTCACATATCGTTTTCTAATCTTTTTATATGCACGAATAATTCTATTTTGATTTATCAATAAATGACTCATATAATGCTTATCGGACATTAACTATAACTCTTTTTTTTTGTAGATATTTTGGTATCTTCGAGCAGCGGCAGCCACTACTTATGGTTCGCGACCCAGACCTGATAAAGCAGATTACCATCAAGGACTTTGACCACTTTATTAACCATCGCAATGTGTTCGCCACCAGCAGCGATGATGATCCGCATGACATGAGCAACCTTTTTGGTAGCTCTTTGTTCTCCATGCGAGATGCCCGGTGGAAGGATATGCGTAGCACTCTGAGCCCGGCTTTTACAGGCAGCAAAATGCGTCAGATGTTCCAGCTGATGAATCAGGTGGCCAAGGAGGCCGTCGATTGCCTAAAACAAGATCAGAAATCTGTTCAAGAGATGGATCTGGACATGAAGGACTATTGCACACGGTTCACGAACGATGTGATTGCCTCAACGGCTTTTGGGCTGCAGGTGAATTCATTTAAGGATCGTGAGAACACTTTCTATCAGATGGGCAAAAAGCTGACCACTTTTACGTTCCTGCAAAATGTTAAGTTCATGTTGTTCTTCGCATTGAAGAGTCTGAATAAGGTTTGTTGAGAAAAGATATCAGAAGAATATACTAATATAAAGAGAAATTTTATTTTTACAGATTCTGAAAGTTGAGCTATTTGATAAAAAGAGCACTCAGTATTTCGTGCGTCTGGTGCTCGATGCCATGAAGTACCGACAGGAGCACAAAATTATTCGCCCAGACATGATTAACATGCTGATGGAGGCGCGTGGTCTGATCCAGACGGAAAAAACCAAGACGGGTCCCGTTCGCGAGTGGAGCGATCGGGATATTGTTGCCCAGTGCTTTGTGTTCTTCTTTGCCGGCTTTGAGACTTCCGCTGTTTTGATGTGCTTCACCGCTCATGAGCTGATGGAGAACCAGGATGTACAGCAAAGGCTGTACGAAGAGGTACAACAAGTTGACCAGGATCTGGAGGGCCAAGAGCTGACCTATGAGGCCATAATGGGCATGAAGTATTTGGATCAGGTCGTCTCGGAGGTTTTGCGAAAGTGGCCGGCGGCAATTGCCGTTGATCGAGAATGCAACAAGGACATAACCTATGAGGTGGATGGTCAGAAACTGGAGATTAAGAAGGGTGATGTTATCTGGCTCCCCACCTGTGGATTCCATCGGGATCCCAAGTACTTTGAGAACCCGAAGAAGTTCGACCCGGAACGCTTCAGCGAAGAAAACAAGGATTCGATTCAACCATTCACATACTACCCCTTTGGTCTGGGTCAACGAAATTGCATTGGTAAATTGCCTTTAACTTTTGCTCATTTGCTTGGTTCTTGGAACTAATATGTTTTATTCGTAGGTTCCCGCTTCGCTCTCCTTGAGGCAAAGGCTGTCATCTATTACCTCCTTAAGAACTATCGATTCGCCCCAGCCGAGAAATCCTGCATTCCCTCTAGAGCTTGCCAGTTCCGGTTTCCAATTGGCTCCCAAATCAGGATTCTGGATTAAACTCATTGAACGAAACTAATATATTCCATATGGACAAACTGTTTTGTTTAACTTGTTTAATAAACTGTTTTGTTACGAGTTTAGTTTTTTAATTAACGAAAAGAATTTTAAAGTTGCTTATGGGTCCTCTATTATTTTTTGGTATGATTTACTATTTCGCTTGTTTTTATATCAGGAAGTCTGGCTCTCGAAATTCCGATTGTGACAGTTTCGTACCTTTTGCTCTATATAAAAATATGCAAATGCTGAGCCCTGTGTAAGTAACCGAAGAAAGTTGGCGGATACACGAGAATGGGTAGAATGGGATATACGATCATATTATTGACATATATTTACATATAATGCACGCCCAAGTTTCAAAATCACTCTGCATTTAGGGTATTAAAGACATTTTCAATTTTTACTTTACACAAAATGTTACGAACAATATTCTGAAAAATATTAGCTAATTGGTTAACTTATATATAAGAATTATATATTTTGAAATATTAATTTTGTATTGGGGATAAAAAGATAAATTTCAATTAAACTTATGAAAATTTAAGACAAAACACGGATTGATATTTTTCCTTAATAGAAATCGTGAAAAGGAATATTTGTTTCATATAGGTATATACAGTTATCGAGTATTCTCTGTATTTACACTTTCCAGTTCCAAGTTTATTCAGCAACTTAAGGAAATATTCATATTGTCTGATTGCATTGCATATCATTGCATTCTTTTATAACATGTAGTTGACTATAAAATGGTATAAATAAGAAAGAGACACTTATTTGATGAAGTGAATTTACAGAGTGGATATAACTTTCGTAGCTTAAAATGCCGAGTGAAATTTCAAGTTTTTATAAGGATAAAACAATTTTTATAACCGGAGGCACAGGATTACTGGGCAAAGGTGTGCTATTAAATAAAAAACCAAAAACATTTGTTATAATATCATTGTTCTGCCTTTAAAAAAATGTTAGTGATCATTGAAAAGCTATTGCGATCGACGGAACTGAAACGTGTATATTTTCTTGTGAGACCCAAACGGGGAGAGAAAGTGGAAGTTCGATTTGAAGCATGGAAAAAGGATCAGGTTAGTGCCGGTGAAGGACTAGTTCAGTGCTACAGGACATTTGGATAATAAATCAATGAATTAGTGATATAAAGTTTAAATAAAAAGTTCGTGCTAAAAAGGCGACCTATGCATAACTATTTCACTGCAGGTCTTTGAAGTTCTGCTCAAGAGGAAGCCCCAGGCACTGCAGAATGTGTTTCCGATTTCGGGCGACTGTTGTGAGCCGGGATTGGCCATTAGCGAGGCGGATCGAAAAGTACTGATCGCTGAGGTGCAAGTGGTAATGCACGCAGCCGCATCAATAAGATTTGAGGAGCCACTAAAGCAGGCATTGAATATGAACACGTTGGCAGTCCGGATATTAGTGCAACTGGCAAAGGAAATGTGCCGCCTCGAGTCTTTCGTTCACATCTCAACGGCTTACTCCAACTGTGTGGTGCACCAAATCGAAGAACGTTTCTATCCGGAGCACCTAACCTGTCCCGCTGATAAGGTTCTCGATCTAACCGATTCCCTTAGTCCCGAGATAGTGGATAAAATGGCTCCAGCCCTCCTAGGAAAATTTCCAAACACATACATCTACACGAAAGGCTCTAGGAGAACAGGTAATCAAGGAGGAGGCTAAGGACTTGCCAGTGGGCATTTTCCGACCAGCAATAAGTAAGTCACATTGTAAAGAAGAAAGAAAAAGCTTCCATTAAGCTTTTATATATATATGGACTAGTTCTAAGAACTTCTTTCTGGACTTGCAGTTTCCTCCACCTTCAAGGAGCCAGTGCCTGGTTGGATCGATGGCTTGCAAGGACTTACTGCCATGATTTATGGCAGTGCCTATGGTATTATACGTTTATTGCTTGTTAATCTTAAAAGGACAGTCCATTTAGTTCCGGCCGACTACTGTGCTAATTTGGCCATCGCTACCGCTGTCGAGATAGCCAAACGGGATAAAAAGAGTGAGCCACCCATTTACGCTTATGCATCCAGCCAATCGAATTTAGTGAGTTTTGGCCAATTTTTGAAACAATGTTACAATAATGGATTGGAGGTACCAAATCGAAAGATGATTTGGTACCCATTCAACCATTGTACCTCATGTCCCTGGCTTTTCGAAGTAGGCCTCTATTTCTATCACTTGTTGCCCGGATTACTGATGGATATCGCCTTACGTCTGAAGGGTAAAAAGCCGATTATGATTAAAAGCTATCACAAGATCCACGAGTGCCAAAGGAGTTTGGTACCCTTTTGCAAAAAAGATTTTGTAATGAATACCAGAAATACTGACCAGCTGTGGCAGTCGTTGTCTCCAGAGGATAAAAAGGAATTTTTCTTTGATATTTCGACTATAGATTGGAATGAGTATATTACACATGTCATGGAAGGAATTCGACTCTATTTGTTCAAGGATCCCCGGACGCCAGAATCCGTTGCCGAGGGCAAGAAGATTTTATTTAAGTAAGTGCTAATTTGTATACGTTCTGATTTCTTAATATAAGGAACTTTGGACTTTTACAGGTTTTACGTATGGGATAGAATTGTTAAGATTGTATTAGCTCTTTTACTTGGTGCATTTATCTGGCTATTGTACAATATAGCATTTAACTGATATTTCGGCTTTACTAGAACTTAATATGTCGGAATACCATTAATATTTTGTGAAAAGGGTAAACTTGCAAATTCGACGTGTGTTATTTAACTTAATTTTTTTTTTTTATCTTTAAATATATACAAAAGTATAAATCAACATTAAAATATAGTTTTTTTTTTGTATCCAGACCTCACTTGAACAATCCTTGATGTAAAAAGACAAACAAAAAGACAAAGAGAAAGTCAAAGTTCTCTGATTAATAGAAAGAAAATGTAGACAAATATTCAAATGCGCAAATAGTTGCACAATTCAATTGTAATTGGAACGATTTTCACCTTTATAATTGCGTAATAACGAATTGAATTAACACGTCTGCATTTCGATTTCCCATATAAATTAGGCAGTCACAAGGCCACTAATTATCTCTAGACATTAAAGTAGAAAACTCACTGTCCAAACACTCAGCACATGGGTGCGGACCCTCGAATTTAATTACCTATCCCCATTCAGACTGTCCCACCAACTACCGGGTTTCATTCTCTTTCGCTAAGTTGGTGCACTTTACCTCGGCGCTTTGAGGCAACAGCGTTTTCCAATTAGCCAAATGGAGGGATCACAGGGCGCCACGCCACTTGACACATCAGCGCATTCGATTCCGATCCTCTGCACCATAAAAATGAAAAAAAAAAAGAAAAAACAAAACCTTAGGTTCTAATTTCATTGTAAGAAAGGCAGAGCTAATTGTTTGCTTAGCAGGTCAGCCACAATGTTCATGCTTTAATGGGCCATGTCCAAAGGGGCGTATACATTATACTGAGCTGCTCCGCGGGGGGAATCTTCACCAGCTTTGGCGGGTAAGCAAATGTTGACGGATATTAACGGATTTGTGCAAATGTGTGTTTGGTAAGACAATTGATTTTTTGCGATCAGCGTCCAGGTGTATAAATAGCGGCAAAAATCACTGAGCCCCTCTCATTCAAGCATCAGTCGGGTGTGCATCGTTCTAAACCGGTCGTCGAAATTTTGAAGAATTGTAATCGGATATCCTGTATAATATATGTGATCAGGGTCGTTTTATAAGTCCAGGAAAAATGGCAACGGAAGTGCAAACCTTTTACAAAGACAAAATAGTCTTTTAACAGGCGGTAGTGGATTCCTGGGAAAAGGTATACCGAAGATTGATTACATCTGAATTTAGAAATGCGTTCTTAAGTTGTGTTTTTAGAAATATAAAAATAAATATTTAAATAAATATAACAAACATCAAATTAAAGGAGATAGATCGGTGATTGTTTGTTGTTTTTATAATAAGTTATCCGATTTATGGATGTTATAAATCTACCAAACCAGTTTAATATGTTTTACCCAAACGTGTGAATCGCTAGAATCAGACAAAATGATTTCGTAAATCAAATAAAGTTCACGATCAAAATCAAGTTTATTGCTTTTTCAGTGACCATTGAGAAGCTGCTCCGCACCACAGAGGTGAAGCGCATCTATGTGCTGCTTCGAGCCAAGAAAGGCCAGGAAATGCAGGAGCGATGTGCCGCCTGGGAAACGGATCCGGTACGTGATCCTTTTCTCAATTTAAACTTCAGTTTGCCTTTTTGATTAAAATAGTAAATCTCATTAGTTAAATAAATCTCACTACTTCAGGTCTTCGATGGCCTGATGAAAACGAATCCGGAAGTACTGAAGCGGATAGTGCCTCTTGCCGGAGACTGCGAGGAGCCCGATCTCGGTCTGAGCATCTCCGATCGTCAGGTGTTGGTGGATCAGGTACAGATTGTATTCCACAGTGCAGCCTCTGTGCGTTTTGTAGAGCCTTTGCACATCGCTCTGGCCGTGAATACAAGGGCCACTCGTCTTATGATTCAACTGGCCAAGCAGATGCCCCATCTGGAGGCCTTTGTTCATGTGTCCACCGCGTACTCAAATTGCGTGGTGGAACACATCTTTGAGCGATTCTATCCAGAGCATTTGACCTGCCCCGCCAACAAGGTCCTGGAGTTGCACGATACCTTAAGTCCGGAGCTGTTGGATAACATGGCACCAGCATTGATGGGAAAGTATCCCAATACCTATACATATACTAAAGCTCTGGCGGAGAATGTGCTCCGTGAGGAGTCGGAAGATTTGCCAATCTGCATTTTTCGTCCTGGTGTTAGTAGGTGAATCTCTTTTCAATTTTAAGGGCTAAACTAAAACGTATGATTTCCCAGTAATTGCCAGCTATAAGGAGCCCATGTCCGGTTGGATTGACAATCTTTACGGACCAATTGCAGTTCTCTACGGAGCAGCTTTCGGTGTATTGCGCATCACACGGCTAAATTTGAAGGCCCAGGCCGGAATCGTTCCGGTTGATTACTGCGTTAATATGGTCCTGGCCTGTGCTTGGAACACTGCCCGAGAATGGAGCATCAGTTTGCCATCGGAGCCAATGATCTACGCTTTTACGCCGAACAGGGATAACCTGATAACCTGGGGCGGTTTCGAGACAAGGCGGCACGACTAAGGCAAACCTATCCGCTGAGCAAGATGATGTGGATGCCATTCCTGCACTGCACCACCATCCCTTGGGTATTCCGATTCGTGGCCTGCTTTTACCACCTGCTTCCTGGTTATGCAATTGATCTGGTTTTACGGTTACGTGGTCGCAAGCCACGGATGATCAAGATGTACGACAAAATACACAAGAATATTGACATTCTGGCTCCCTTTGTGGACACCTCCTGGAATTTTGATACAACCAACACCCGCAAGTTGTGGAAACGTTTGTCTTCCGGGGACCAAAAGCTTTATGACTTTGACATGAGCAGTGTCGACTGGGATGATTATTTTTTGAATGCCCTGGCAGGTATTCGAATTTACCTTGCCAAGGAGGATCCAGGCCAGGAGACTTTGGAGAGGGGCAAAAAGATTTACAAGAGGTTAGTAAAATATTTAGAAAAGGTTGACCTTCCTTCAAACAAGGCGATTATAAAATATCGTTTAGTATTCGAGTTAAAACACTTTAAAACACTTTTTTATACTTTTCACAGATTCAGAATTCTCCATCGGCTCTTGCAGTTTACTATATGTAGCGGAGCTGCTGCCCTTTTGTGGTCCATTTTCAAACGACTAATCAGCCTCTTCATTTAAGTCAACTAACAAACAGGCACAGGCAAAGGCTGTACGTTCTTTGTTTATAGTTTAATAAATGTTTTGGAAAAAGTGTTAAATGCTTTACTCACTGGAGGGCGCAGGTGCACAAGACGCCTCCAATTGGTGGACAAAGAGACACCATAGACTAAATTTAATGAGAACCGATGTAAGGCGCGCCATTTGAACGCGACAACAGTTGGCAATAGACTGAGCCAACCCCAAGGCCCAAAGCGATTTACATAGGCAACCACTCAGTCTCAGGCCCCGTGAATTGGCCACATCCGTTTCCGCCTCGGAATCCGGACCAAGGCAGACGGATGCTGTCGAACGTCGCCGGGCGTGGGGAGACTAGTTTTGCCGCCATTTTCCATCGATTAACTTAACTCAATTGGATAGTGGTTATTTTGGGGGGTAGGATTAAGGAAGGGAACCAATGAGACCACTAAGAAAAGTTATTAGTATTAACCTAGGACATCAATTAATCGCTTTAATATTTTATATTTTAGAACTTTGATTTTTCGTTTAACAATTTCCGAAAATATTTTTAATCTAAAAATGATGTTTCATGAGTAATTTGTAAGTCCTTTCATAGGACATTTTTGGGTCTACTCGTAGTAAAGATGTAAATTCAATAACCTTTCTTAAATAATTCAGTTTCATCATTTGGCAATATGACTTATTATAACTTATTTTTTAAAGTGCATAAAAGCAGCGAGTAAGGGAATTAAGTAGCTGAATCTAATTTTTATTTATGGGGCGCCAACTCACCAAATGAGCGTCCGGGCTTCGTCAATTCCACATCCGTCGGCAGACTGTTGGCCTTGACGGCGAAGGCCTGCTCCTGCTGGAGCTTTTCCTGCTTAACAGCCACACTGGCTGCCTCCATAACCGCCGGTGGTGGGGGCGAGGGCTCCGGCACACCCAGCTCATTTGGCACGAACTTGTACTTACCCCGGAACCCCTTGGCCGTACGATTGGAACTGGCATTAAACTCGAGTAGCAGATCAGGTCCACTGCTTACCAGTCGCCGGGTGGGACGGCTGGAGCAGAGTACATCGATCACCGAGCTCATGTGAGCGGATTCGGCGTCGAATAGGGTAAGTTTATCCAACTGGCAGCCACCGCTGGCCACTGGTGGCAGTTCCAGCTCTTCGAATAGAATCTCCACGTGGGTATCCGGACGGCCAATGAATTTGTAAGCGCACTTTATGTGTGCTGGATAGTGGGCCGGGAACTGGGGCGAGTGGAAATAGCCCTGGCCCAGATTTCCCACCTCACCGGATAAGCTGGCAAAGAAGTAGAAGTCACAGAAGCTGTGCGGCACCAAGCGTCCATCTGTTTTGAAGTTATCTAAGGAGAAAATAATAAATGAGTTATTAAATAAATAATCAGATTATTCTTTAATAAATCCAATAATCAATTTATAAAAGTGGATAAATCTGGGAAAATAATCTATTTTATATTTGTGTCATTGAAATGGGCTCACCTCGTTTAAGAAATCGATAGCTGGCGGTTAGGGTCAAGTTCCAGTTGGCCAAATCGGTGGGCGGCTGCTGGAACCGGAGGCGCAGTCCGAGCAATCGACCCGAGCTATAAATAGGCGTGGCACTGCGGTTCCGGCTATGCTGGCAAAAGGTGTCCGCCGCCAGTGTCGCGTTCTCGATGACGGGGTCCCGCAAAAAAGGAAAGACGTCTATGCTGTCCAAGCAGCTGTCACGAAATTGCATTTGATGAGGAATAGAAATGAAATATAGAGGGAGAGGGAGAGAGGAATTCCGCAGGCCGACTGCATTGGCCAGAGCAGATGCGTAATGATGTCTAAAATTTATTGGCCGATACTTTTGGGGCTGGCTCGTTGGTCAGCCAGCCTCCCTATAAATATATACACCTTGCAGCTAGCAAATGGCCATTAAGAAATAATTCCCAACGCTTCGCTGGTTCTTCACGATTTATTTTGATAAAAAGTCGAACAAAAGTTGGCGTTAAGGCTAATACGATTGTCACATCGGCACAGCTGTTTTGGGACTTCAAGTAATTCTCAACAAATTAACGATTACGAACTTAAGTAAAATGGATATAAAGATATAGCTGATATTGTATGTATTTAAATTAATTAAAGCACGAAAAGTAATAGACTATATTTTGGATAAAATCAAGCCAATTGGCTGAATATATTTGGTTATAAATTTGACATTTCTGATATATTAAAGGAATATTTATAATCCAATGAAATGATATTTGTAAAAAGATTTTTAAGGCCTTTTTGACAGGCAGATTCGAAGTAATATATAGTATTATATATATTTAATAGTCTTTCTGTATTGATATTATTTTAAGGAAAATAAAAATCTTCGAATCTTGAAAAAAAGGTGTTATGGAGATATACCTAATTTAAAGTTTATCTGAAAGGTAAAAAATGATTTATTTTTAAGAAAATTATGTAGGTTGAAGTTCCAATCAATTTTTTAATATCCACATAAGTTATTCTCCTTTTCTTTTGCGCATTCCACTGAGCATCCGACAAAAGGCCGGGTAATCAATCATGGGTGGTTCCTCCAAGGACTTGGGCTTAGCCATAGGTGCATGACTAAGAGCTTCCTTGGCTTCGTTGAGGGTCATTTTATCGCCATAGTTGGTCAGCTCTTCATAGATTCTAGGAAGTGGTTAAATGAAGTTTTATTCTGAAACCATTTGTTTCCTTAAAACCCACTTGCGTTCATCAATCTTGCCCGTGCCATGGTCATCCCATTTGCTCCAGGCCTCAAGTAGCACATCCTCGGGATCCAGTTCCTGGGTGCGACGACTCATCAGCCTTACAAATGCCTCGTAATCGAGTGGTTCCTTGGCCTCCTGCATCATCTGTTCCAGCAGCTGCTCGTTTGGTTCATTTCCCAATGCCGTATAGGTGAATCGTAGGTCTTCCTTCGAGATCAAGCCATCGCAATCCGTATCAAAAAGTGAGAAGACCTTGGGACAAACCACGGAATGAACCTCTGCCAGTCAATGCTCTTAAACTTACTTCCTTCAGCTCAGCCAGTTTGGCAATGTCCAGTTCATGGGGCGCCACATTATCATCGGCACTCATCTCCTCGGGCAGCGTATAGTGACCAGTGGACTCTGGCAGTTTCAGCGTGGGATTGAAGATCTCATTAATCACGGCCATGGCCTCCGAATCAGCTAGGTGAGAAGGTGGCTGGGGAGTCTGTGACTGCTTGCGAGCGGTACTGGCGCGACGACGACGCTGGATTGAAAATTTGATTTCTGTCATTTATAGACAGTTTTTCACTATAACTTTTTTCACTCACTCGCTCCAGATCCTCTAAAGAAACCGATGGATCCATAGACATTTTGAAAGAATTTGTGCACTACCAACTTTTTAGATTGTTCACTACTTAACTTTGAAACGGTTTAAAAAATTGCTATTAATATCATTTAAACGTTTTCGAAACTTTTTTTTAACTTACTAATTCAGAGAAAATAACACATTCATAGCACTCCAATTAATTTGATTTTTTATAGTCCTTAAGAATTTGTAAACGAAAATTTTACATATTTTTTTTAAAATTTTGAATTAATAAAAAATCATATCTATCAGTGATAGTTTCTCTGATGCTCGAAATCTTTAAAACACCGACTTCCGGCCGTTCTAATGCTTTTTCCGAACCACTCCAAACATAAACACTTTCAACCACCGACTAGGACACTCGCGAGTGCCTAGCGATTCGAACGCGTTTTTCTAGCGACTGATGCACCTTAATAATTACTCATACGTTTGGCGGAGAACTCGGTCGAAGATCCACTGAAATGTGCTTGGCCAGTGCTCTCCAATTTTATTGACAAATCGATTCCGAAATATTGTGTGCGTTATTTTTATGGCGCAAATGTGGATGCATACAATTTTGCATAAATTGACACAAATTTGCGGGATTTATATAAATAACCAGGCGTGCCGGCGGCCACGGCTTCACCAAAAAGCGGACCGCCCACATGGCCTTCGCAAGGTATTTTAATTACATTGCCGTTGCGATGGGGATTTGGCTTCTGCCCCATTCCACATTTGGCCACGGCATTTCCTCGACGGACGCCAGCCTTATCCATCGACGGATTCGATTTTGATGGCTGTCTTTGGCAGCTGTCCTCCGATTCGAGATCCAATCGGCTACAGCCTTTCCCCTGATCCCCTAACCCCCCTGAATCGATCCCGGAATTTCAGCGGAAACATTGCCACTCACCCGGGGCGCAGCTGCAACTGCTCGAGCTGAAAGGCCACCAGCTCATCGTCCATTCCACCGATGAAGATCATCAGGCAGTTGTTTTTGGCTCCAAGCGAATGGCTGGCATTAATGGCCATTTTGCCCCATTGGGTGGCATTCCGTTCGGTCAAGTGAAGGCAGGAGCAATCTGAGGACAGATGGAATCAAAAGGTCTTTATTTTTAACTAAATTTAAAATATTTCTTTAAAAAATCTTTTCTATTTTTCTTTTCTTTTCTTTTCTTTAGAAACCAAGAGTAAACAGCTTCTTCATTTCAACTTACCAAGCCAGAGATGCGATTGCTTGCTGTTGGCCACTTGCTGGTGTGGTTGACCATTTCCGGTGGCCATCAGGGCCATGGCTAATCCCAGAGCCAAAGTTGCGGCCGACATCGTCAGCGGCCAAAGTGAGACTGTGATGCCGGATCCCATTATCCTGCCGTCTACCTATGGGCTGCCGATGTCCGGTATAAAAATAGCCAGCTCCTCTTCGTATAAAACTGTGGCTCCTCTGCCTTTTTGTGTTGTCGTGCCATTAAATTTCAGTTGAGGTTTTACAGGTGCCGCCGTCATCATCAGCATCCGCTAGTTTGTTGGCACCTCGTTCCCGTCCTTTTTGACCACTGCCAAACACACGTTAATCCTGTACATTTGCCTGAAGCCATTTGGAACGGTGTCCTTTGGCCACTGTTTTTGGGTGGCGGTATTTTTAAAATGTGTGTCATGTCGTCTTTTTGTGAGCGACTGGGCGCCAGTTAACAGCTCATTTTGGCCCCCTTTGAACCAGTCAATTCATCTAGATTGTTACACTTCGGAGACTGAAACAGCGACTGAAACTCAATTAAGTTAACTGCCAATTCAGATGAAAATCACATTTGAAATATCGTTTCAGCCAGGCCAGAGGATACTTATTAAGTTTTTTTAGTTATAAATGAAATGGGGAAAGGCTGAAGGACATGTATTTGATAAATCAGTAAATAAAGAAGACCTAACTGATTTACAGCCAATTTAAAAGGTTTTTACAGGAGTTGTCCATTCTTTTTTTAAGTTTAAACATAAGAGTTGATTTTTAGAACAACACGTTTATTTAATACAACACTTACACAACTGATACTGTATATAAATTATTAAGAATAACACTACTCCAAGGTATAAGGAGCCTGTCTATTGACTCATCTTGGCCTTGAACATATCAGCCAGAAGATTGGCCTTGCTTACATTCAACTCCTCGTAGTCAAATGGTGCCATGTGTTCCTTGCAACGATCGAGCCACAGGCGGATATGTTTATACGGTCGCAGTTCGAATTCGAAGGCTTCCAACTGGGAAACAGTCACCAATAAGGTAAGATCTGCGATGGTGAAGTGATCGGCGGCGGCATATTGTCTTCCCTCCAAGATTGAGTTTAGCCAGCCCACGGCCTCCGCCAGTTTGGCGCGCTTTCCCTCGTCCAAGGGAGCTCCAATAAACATTGTAGGGAACTAAAAACGATAATGGTTTTTGGATTAAAAATGGCATCATTTACAAATTGTATTTACATAGTAGTCCGTGAGTCGCATATAGAGTGTTCCCAGGTCGAAGTGGAGACGCTGGTCAACCAAAGCTCTTACTCGTATGTCCGTGGGATACAGTTCGTCACTTTTACCATAAGCTGCCACCAAGTATGAAAGAATGGCTCGACTGCAAGGAAAGGGTATCAGATTTGGGTCACGAATAATCCAAATGAACTCACCTCTCCCACAACACCAGACCCTCATCGTTCATTGTCGGTACACAGTGCTGGGGGTTCAAGGCCACGAAATCCGGTTTCAGTTGCTCCCCCTCTAGGATATTGACGATCTTCAGTTCAAAGTCAAGGTCGAGCATCTTGGCCAGCAGGAGAATGCTGCGGCAGGGCGGACTGGGCGGCAAGTAGTACAGCACGGGCGGCGACATCTTGCCACCTCTGAGGAGCAGGCAATAAACGAATTCGGTTACAATACGCTTCGTGTCGCCCATTGGCCAGAACTGGAATGCCAAGTTGGCCACACGCAGCCCCAAAAAACTTGGCGGTCAACGAAAAATAATCAATGCATCGATTTTGTTCGTCTACATTTAAGTAATTAATGCCAATTGTTCTTTGCCTAGGTCCTTAGACTTGCAAAATATGGGTAAACAATCTTTTATAGGGCTATAAAATGAAGTTTAGGCTAAAAGTAATAGTAAAATAGTAGAAGATAACAAAAAACTTAAAATTTGATAAAAAGTTAAAAGCTGAATAAAACATGTTGTTTCGTTGTAAATAATATTAATTTTAATTATTTGATGGAAAGTTTTTTCAGTACCAATATGTTTCAGATGTTGACCACCAAACAGCCTAAAAGTATGCAGTACGTTTATTTAAAAATAATGTAAAAATTCTAAGCAGCGTGTAAAAATTAATTTTTTTAACTTAAAGAAATAATACATTTGCGCAGTTGTTAAACCAAAACAAAGTGATTAATTAAGTTTAACTTGTTGTAAAAATACTAAAGGGAACTCTAGACTTCGCAACATATTCTCCTGGGCCAATTCTATCTGGAAATGGTAATCGCTGTCCTGTGGCCCGCACTTAATTGCACTCACTTATTTATTCATTATGGAATATGCACAGAAGGCGTTGGACCGGATTGGATACACCTACTCACACAATTCTGTGCACCAGCTTGTGCTGCACCACGGCCACCGAGTCGATGTCTATGCAGTTCCCCAGTATGCCGTCGAGTGTTGCCGTGACCGAGTCCGCGTAGCCGTTTGCTGGAGCTACTGTCGGTTAAGGACTAAATATGGACTCTAGAGAGGTTTAATACTGATGCTGGTGGAGGTGGAAAATGCGTGGGATCCTTATCCGGCGATGGAATCTGACTCGGCTGTCCCCAACTTGCCGACGTCGCTGTCCACGGATGTATCCGCTGTCTGACTTTTCCAATTTTCAGAGCATGTTGTCTCGCCAGCGCTGTTGCCGCTGTCTTTGGGCGCATTTGTTTTCGTTTAGTTTTCATAACGAACGTTGCCACGGACGACAGACCGCCCGAGTGTTCACCTGTTCGATGAGGAGTAGGAGTAGGGTGTGGGTGGTTCCGAAAACTCGGCCAAAATGCTCCCATTCGTGTCTAAAATTATACGTCTGCATAATATGTCAAAGCTATGCTTTCCTCTACCTTTTTATTGATTGCCAACAGATTTTCCAATTCAGAGCACCTGATAAAGTAAGGTGGTTGGGGGCCTTTGATTGGCATCACTTGAAACTCAACGTGTTTGCATCAAACATTTTTCGACAGTCACGACTTCATCGCGTGCTTGACATTTCTTAGGCTCACACTCAAGGACATGGACACGGTACAGTGGTAATTAGCCAGGACATAAATGTTTCAGGTGACTAGGTCTCATGGCCAAGGTATCATCTACCTGTAATTTTCCTGGCAGGTAAGGTCTGGAAGTATGCTTTGTTCAAAGAATAACAAAAAGAAGGGACCTTCAGGATTCCAGGAAACTATGATATTATTGGAAAATAAGATTGCAAAATGGCCGATCACAGCGAGGCTATAAAAGAATCGATTGTGGCTTAGCCAGGATCAGTTGTTTTCCTACGTTTAAGCAAAGATGTTGTTCCTGAAAGAGTGTAGATCCCATTTGCTTGTGTTCTTGCTGCTATTGATCCGGGGATCGCTATGTCTGCCCGCACTGGATGCAGCTCCTCCGGCAGCTACGCCTAATACTGTCGAAGAGACTGAAAATCTGGTCGATGGCAGTGGCGAGCCGGCTAGTGCTCCTCAAGAGTCAGCTCCAACAATAAGCAATGAAACGATTCCTCCAACTACAGAAACTACGGAGGCAGCGGTGGTAAGTGATAGATATTTCCTTTTAATTCAAATTATTTCCAGTCCTTTAAGTTGTATTTCATTATAATATGTTTCATTCAGGATAAGTTTATCCTTACTTGTTGTGAAAAATAATAATTAAATTTTCCACAGCCTGACAATGTGGCCAGCGGAAGCAGCATTGATCCTGCCATTTACGCCGGAGGAATCCTAAGCCCCGAGCTTCTCCAGCAGTATCTAAGTCAGTATAATGCCTATGCTCCGTACGCATATCCGACTCCTGTAGCGGGAGCAGCACCTGGCATTTACCCGTATCCGGGACCCATAGTGGTGCAGACGGGTTACGAGGGTCTTCTGATACCCGCAAATGTTGTCAGTCAATCGGACACAACCACTGTGGCGGCACCTGCTCCTCAGCCGAGCTCCTCGAATCCACTGCTTGTCTTCATATCCAACCTGATACCCTCTATCCTGATGTCTTCGCTCTTCCGCATCGCTGCCGTGGTTCTCTCCACCGTTGCGATCATCCTCTTTGGTGGGGCTATCACCAGTGCGCTGTGCAGGATCACTCCGATCTGCGAAATACCCGCCAGAGCTGTGGACATTCTGCGCACAGGTGGCGCCCAGGATGTGGGTCGTATGTTGGCCGAAGAGATGACCCCGGAACGAGTGCGCCGGGCCACGGTATTCGTGCGCAACGCCATCCGGAAGTATCAGCAACTGCAGAAGCTAGTGGAGGCGTCGGAGGCGGTGACCGAGTTGACCAACTAGTGGTTGCGTAATGGATATTAGGTTTAGTGCTGGATCGTAAATTAGGTGGAATGCAAAATATATACTTTTAATGAAGCTATAAAACCGATTTCACTTTTAATTGTCACAATGGAGTTCTAAAAAAGTTTTTTGTAATACACTTTCCAGAAAACGATTGACATTGATCTGAAAAATCTTTAAGGAACTTTTGTAGATTGATAGGTCAAATGATGACCATTTATGCTATTCATTTGGGGTTAGAATTTTGTAATAATAATAATTATTCTAATCATAATCTGTTTAATAATTTAATTCCATCTTATTATATATAATTCTCCCCCTCAGAATTTTTACCAAGAAGACTATAAATCTTATATTCAGAAACGTTCCCCCGAAAAATTCAACAACTTAACATAAGAACGGATAAAACACTTTTTCTCTAATTGTTTAATATAACTTTGAGAACTTCTTAGGCAACCCTCTCTCAGTTTTTATGGCACACACTGAACAATGTAAAATATGTGGGTACTTGCATATGTAATTTCTACTTGTTCAATGCCACAGGCAGCACGTTTGTTAGCTAACCAAACTCGCGATTGTTCTAATAGTTGGCCGGTCATCGGCCCAGTCCATTCTAAGATTACAAAGGGGGGGAAAGAGAATCCAAGTGGGTTTTATATGTAAGTGAAATCATAGCGTGCATTCATTCAACTGCAGTTGTGGTGGAAATGCAATTGCCAATTGTCGTCGTGAAACGCTCATGGAATTTACACAGCTAACAGAAACACAATCTCACTTTTATGAGCCATGTCAGAGATTGGAATTTTAAGTAAAAACACAGAGAGACTGATTAATGGGCTCCATATGTCGTATTGGAGATTTGGATAATATAAAGAGATCGCTTGTATTTATACAAATTTAAAATGATATTCTTTTTCGATATGAAATTAAGCTGTATTGAGTAAATCGTAAAATAAAACATTAAAATTGATCAGTAAATTCTTCCTAATATGCCTGTCTTGCCTCGTATGGAGTTGCCTTTTAAGCAACTACCCCAGACGCGTAGGTGTTATTCTGTAAACACTTAAAATTAGCCTCACGCATTTCAAACTAAAACTAATCTTACCGCAGTGTCCCTTCCTTAGGATACCTTCCTACAATTCACAAGACATTGAAAGCGCATTTTTGGCGGCATTCACAGTACCGTTACTAGTAGGCCCGCTCTTCAAGGGACAAGAAATCCACACGATATCAGATAACTTAAATACTAGATTTTCCTTTCAATACATATTCTTCTTATCCTACCAATGTTTGACCGTCGACAATGCCTAAAAATAAATAAAGTGATAAACTACAACGGATTTGCGCTAAACTTAGAATTATCAAGTTCAAAAGTAAGGCAAACAAAATACAAAAATTGTTATTGATAAAGAATTGAACGAGAGAAAAAGCATGATTAAAACATATCTACATATATAAAAAACTTAAAACATTAAGTATTTGTTTATCAATTTACCGAGTTACTGAAGAGTGTTAATCTTTATATGACTAATCAAAAACTCAATCTCTTAAAGTACAACTCGGTGCTCATAAATATTTAATTTATTTTGTATTTTTAAAATATAACCATAAAAGCAAACGTTGGGGCTGAGGTATTATAAGCTGTTATTATAAAAATATTTAATTACTCTTTCTGGATGAACTTCTTGATCATCTCGACACCCTCCCAGTTCTCCTCCCATCCGGGTGTAACTTCCTTGGCATTCTCATACCATCTGGCGACATTTGGATACTGGCTAATGTCGAAGTCCACCACTTCAAAGGTTGAAACTGAAGCCAGGAAGTGCAATGTCAGCCACAGTAAGGCAGTCACCAGCCACATAATCCTGATCCTCCAGGAAGGTATCCAGGAATGCAAAGGCTTTGTCCACTTTCTCCATTGCCTCAGGATTGGCTGACTGCTTGTGTCGTATCTGGGGATAGATGCCCTCAATGAAACTCTGGAACAAGGTGCCCATGTCAAAGTAGAGCCTCTGATTGACCACAGCCTTTTTCTCTGGATCGCTTGGGTATAGCGAGTCATCTTGGCCATACTTCTCCACCAAGTAAATCAAAATAGCACGTGATTCCCAGATTGAGAACCCATTGTCCACCAGAGTTGGAATGGTGTGCTGGGGATTAAGCTGCACAAACTCTGGCTTCAGTTGCTCCCCGTCCATGACATTCAATAGCTTCATGTTTAATTCAACGCCCAGAGCCTTGGCTGTCATTATGACGGAACGGCAAGGAGCCGAGCAAGGATGATAGTAAAAGTCCATGGTAAAAGGTCCTACGATTCTTACCGACAACTAACCACAAAGAAATAATACCAACTGCTTTTATAGGCAGAGCTAACGGAGGCCGAAATCAAATCGATTTCCATATATAGTCATCCAGTGTCGTTCGACTTTCCCGAGCGCCAACTTTATCGCTGATAACGAGTCAGTGTAATTAGAAGTGTTTAGCTAATGGTCAGGTAATGAACAAATATATACTTTTAGGGGCATATGAGTATGCGTGCAAAAGTTACGGCCACCAATTTGATTTCACTTAAAAATGTCATTTATTCCGAGCGATACTATTACAAATTGATGGTAGGTCGTTAGGGCTGTGGGACCAAAAGGAATGTCATTCAAAGCGAAAGGTCAATGTCAAAGGGGTCAAATTACTGGTTTAAGGCTATAACGAAAGGGAAAAGTAACATTGCTTAATACTTCTTCCAAGACTTATCCATAAATAATGTGATTGAAAAAATTGGTTTACCTATAAAAGCTTTTTAATTATTCGGTTTGAAGCTTCAAAAATGAGCTAGAAATCGGTATAACTTATCTAGTGATACAAATCAAGGATCTATATATATACCTTAACATGATGGAAAAAAAGTTCATCGACACTATAGTACTCTCTGACAGAGTATAAATGTCATAAAATGGCTTGCGACTGTCGTGACTGCATTTTTTCAGGTAATCTTAGATTGGAATAATCGGTGTGACTACCTTTTAATTTATTACTTTATATGTAAAAACTGTTTGTCGAAAATGACTTAACATACTCATAGTGGAGGCTTCCCTGTCCTTGAAGAAAAAAAGTATTAATTCATTCTTATATTGCTTTGAATTGCGCTTATTAAAAGAGTAATCAACCCAAATATTTCCGGAAGATAGCTAATTGCAATTTCCGATCACCATGATATAGCCAGCAATGAAACAAAAAATGTTTATAATTTCCATGAATCCATCAATGTTTATTTACTGACCACAGTTTACTTATTTCCTGCCAACTTAGCCTCCAGGAACTTCTGGGCCTGCTTCAGACTCTGCACATTTTCCTCCCAGCCTGGAGCAACCTTCGGGGCATTCTTGTACCACCTCTCCACATTCGGGAACTTCTTAAGGTCAAATGGAATGAGTTCGAATAGGGATATGCTGGCCAGAATGACGATGTCAGCTACGGAAAATTGGCTGCCGGCCAGAAAATCTTCTCCCTCCAGGAAGGTGTTAAGGAATCCGAGAGCCTTGTTAACAGCATCCAATTCCTGCTGATCGCCCAGCTTACCAGTACGAAAATAGGGGGAGAAGTACTTGGTCAGAGCTTCGAAAAGGACACCCATATCAAAGAAGAGCCGCTGGTTGATCAGAGCCCGCTTCTGGGGATCGTTGGGATAGAGTGGGGAACCGGGCTTGCCGTACTTTTCCACCAGATAGACGACGATAGCACGGGGCTCCCAGAGCACGAATCCATTGTCCACCAAGGTGGGAACGGTCTGTTGAGGGTTGATTTTCACATACTCCGGTTTCAGTTGCTCACCCTCCAGGATGTTGACAACCTTGTTGTTCAGCTCGACCCCCACAGCCTTGGCCACCATCTCAACGGCAAGAGAGCTCGGCGAACCGGGCATGTTGTAGAAATCCATGGTGGGCATTGCGAATATACCGTCTGAAGCACTGGATTGGAAAAGTAAACTGATTTGGCCCTAGCTGCTTTCACCTCTTTTATACCTATTTAATTATCAGCTATTGCCATGATTATATTCAAATATGAGTCTGTCATTCTTAGAGCACATTTTCAACGCTTTTCGTTTTGGCCAAACACCGATTAGCTGCGTCAATGTGAGCTTGAATGAAATGAGGAAAATCGTATGGATAACGAAAACGTTGTATTTGAGGGTGATAGCCAAAATAGCTGATTGGTATTGCGCGGATTATTACTCATTTCCCTGTTACAAAAAGTGATGCCTATATACAGGCGCAATATGAATATATATGTCTTTATATATAAATGGTTTAACTTTTGTATGTGACGTCAATGCCCATTTTAGGCCTTAAAACCTTTAATAATGTTCCAATTTTAAAACTTTTATTCGACGCCATAGTTTGTCGCGGTTTGTGGGCGATAGAGGGGGCGTCGTAGAATGCTGAAATAAGCATGTGCCCCTTACGAGTAACGGGCATTAAAAGAGCTAAAGGAGACTTGTTCACATTAAAAACTCTAAACGGCTTGGATCGGGTATCTTATAGTTTAGACGCTGATTCTGATTACTGAATCTTTGTATACAAAAATAGTGTTTTGTTGCATAGTGTAACTGATGAATCATATAAATCATAGTTATTCACTTCACTTAAGTAAACATGGCGATAGAAATAACGACTAGTACAATAGTTTTTTAAAAATCTTATCAAATGCTTAAGTTCATATCTGTGTTTGGGCCCCAGCAGTATGGCTCTCAGGAAGTAAATGATATTATTCAATTATAACGGTTACTCGAATAAATACATATTGGGTTTGAAGTGGAATATAAAATGAAATCCAGAGTTTTTACAGCTAGTTGATAAACATCCCTTAATGGTTTAACAACAGGTGGGGGCTGTGAAGTTTTACGCTGCTTCATCTGCTGGAAGGCCATTCATTTATAAATTGCTAAACCAAATATGGTATACCGTACGAATTAACTACAGATCATCAGTTTTTTAACATACTTTCTCTGACAAAAGGTGGCGCTTTGTTAATTTCCACAAGCAAAATGAATCTTAAAAATCGAATCCCACACAACAAAAAATGATCAACAAAAATTTCTTAATTAAATAATTTGTTTTTATTTATAATCTATAGTAGTTTCAAAATTTACTTCTTCTCTGCCAACTTCTCCTCTAAGAACTTTTTCGCCTGCTTCAGGGTCTCCAAGTTTTCATCCCATCCAGGAGTCACCTTCTGGGCATTGTTGTACCATCTGTCCACGTTGGGGAACTTTTGCAAGTCATAGGTAAACAATGTGACGGTGGAGACGGTGGCCAAGATCACGATATCTGCCACGGTCAGTTGGTTGCCGGCAACGAAATCTTGTCCCTCCAGGAAGGTGTTGAGGAATCCAAAGGCGGAGTTAACCTTGTCCAACGCCTCCTGATCCCCAAGTTGGCCAGTGCGGAAGAGGGGGAAGAAGTATTTACCCATGGCATCGAATAGGGTACCCATGTCGAAGTAAAGCCTCTGGTTGATCAGGGCCCGCTTCTGAGGATCTTTGGGGTATAGTGGGGAATCGGACTTTCCGTACTTCTCCACCAGATAGACAGCAATGGCACGGGACTCCCAGATAGCGAATCCATTGTCCACCAGGGTGGGAATGGTGTGCTGTGGGTTGATTTTCACGAACTCTGGCTTCAGTTGGTCTCCCTCCAGAGTGTTGATGAACTTGGAGTTCAGTTCAAGACCCAAGGCCTTGGCAATCATCTGGATGGCACGGCTGGTCGGAGCCATGGGCATGTTGTACAGATCCATGTTTGGCATTGTGGCTATATGGTGTGGAGTGCTCCAGTCGGAAAAATAAACTGATTTCGCTCTCTTTGGGGACTCTGTATTTATAGCAAAATGGCAAAAATCTTATCGGCAAAGCCCCCAGATAATATGAATAGTGTTTGTCATTGTTAGAACTCACTTTTTTGGAAGTGTTGATTATTTAAGGTAGCAGCACAACCATTTGTGACTAAGTAAGAAATATATAATTAAGTAAGAAAGCTTAAGGAAATCAATACTTAATATTTTATATGACTCACAGACCTATGAAATTATTTAATAAGCAATTAAGATAATTTTTGATTTAAGGGTAATGGATGTACTCTCAACTAAAATGTTCATTATTAATGGTTTTGCTTTCTTCTAGAAAGATATAAATAAGTAGAAAATAAATAAAGAACATATAAATAAAAACAATATAATAACCAAACAAACAAACAAAAGGCTTGACAGTGGGTCATATTTTAATGACTACATAATTTCTCAAATAAAATAAAATAAAAAGCAAATTATTTCTTAACATAGTTTTCTTTATTAATAATTTAGTTAATGCTTTTTAATTTTAAAACTTAACTGTTTAAAATAAAACATAAAGATAATATTTTACACATAATTCATGGTTAATCAAACCTTATCTTTTAGTCTTAAGAAATATAACCAACCGTCATGCTTTAATTTGAACTTTGAAATTAACCATTTCAACATTATAATTTAAGTTTTTAAATCCTTTAAATGTTAGAGAAAATGATTTTTGTTTTATTACATTTCTTTATTAAAAATATTTACAACTTGTCAATTAAGTTTTCTGCCAAGAATTTTTTGGCATTTTCAATTCTTTTCAAATTTTCATCCCATCCAGGAGTAATCTTCTGGGCGTTCTTGTACCACCTCTCCACGTTCGGGAACTTTTTCAAATCAAAGTCAACCATTTCGGTTGTGGAAACGGTGGCCAAAATAACAATGTCAGCCACGGAGAGTTGATTGCCAGCCACGTAGTCCTGTCCCTCCAGGAAGGTATTCAGCAGATTAAAGGCCACATTAAGTTTCTCAAAGTTCTCGGGGGTTCCTGGCTTGCCAGTCCTCAGCAGTGGGAAGAAATATTTGGCTATAGCTTCGTAGAGAGTTCCCATGTCAAAGTACAATCGCTGGTTGATCAAAGCTTGTTTCTGGGGATCTTTTGGGTACAAGGAATCATCTTTTGCGTACTGTTCCACCAGGTAAACTACAATTGCTCTGGTCTCCCAAACGACAAAACCATTGTCCACCAAAGTGGGAATGGTGTGCTGGGGGTTAATCTTTACAAATTCCGGTTTCAGTTGCTCCCCCACAAAGGTATTGACATTAATCGAGTTGAGTTCCACTCCCACTGCCTTGGCTGTCATTATAACAGCTCGGGTGCTGGGGGAACCAGCCATATTATACAGATCCATGTTGAGAAGAGCTATAAACAAAAATCAGCGTGACGACTCTCTGGAATGGTGAAAACAAACTAATTTGGCAGTGCACGAAATTCCCTCTTATGAGCAAACTTGTTACGAAGCTATCTACCCGGCCGTTTATAATTATCTCTCTATGTAGGTATGTACTATACGACAAACATTGTGGATTTTGTTAGCTTTGGAAATAGCAAATATAAACGACTTCTATACGTATTTAAATATAAAATATTTAAGATAAATTTAAATAATATTTAAATTGTTTTTTACCATCTTTACCAATCATAACTCACTGTCCAGCCGTTTGACATCCAATGTTTCTATTGTAATAATAAATGATGGAAACTATGATTATGTATGCTTTCCAGTAGTTGAGTTGGAACAAGTTTGACAGAGAACAGCAGAGAATCTCACTTATATAGCTTTAAGAGAATCTCTTTTTACCTCTCCAATTGTTTATGTTTGTTGTTTGGGTCAAGAATATTTATATTCTTTAGAGTCAAAGATAGCTGCTACTACAGCTATATTATGTTAATATTTCGACTTCAAAAAGTCAGACATTCGGTTTTCTAAACAAACTTCTTATATACATTTATTAGGGCATCTTTACATCAAAATAAATAAACTTATATTTTATAATTTACTTGGTTGCCCTGACGGGCCGCCTGACGGGCCTCGAAAAGTGCCTTTAGTTCCAAAAGGCCACTCCAGTTCTCATCCCATCCAGGAGTCACTTTCTTGGCATTGGCGTACCACCTGGCCACATTTGAGTATTTGCTGAGGTCGAACTTAAATATGTCAAAAGTTGAGACAGTGGCCAGGATGGAAATGTCGGCCACGGTGAGGTGGTCACCAGCCACGTATTCCTGACCCTTCAAGAAAGTGTCGAGGAACCCGAAGGACGTCTCAACTTTCTTAAAGTCCTCATCAGAGCCGGGTGTTCCAGTGCGGATAAGAGGAAAATAGTATTTGACAAAGCTCTCGTATAGAGTTCCCAAATCGAAGTTCAGGCGCTGGTTTACCACGGCCTGCTTCTTGGGATCCTTGGGGAAGAGGGAGTCATCCTTGCCGTACTTCTCCACAAGGTAGACAGCGATGGCGCGGGATTCCCAGATAGAGAATCCGTTGTCCACCAATGTTGGAATAGTGTGCTGAGGATTGAGCTCCAAGAACTCAGGCTTCAAATGTTCGCGTTCCGTGGTATTCACTAGCTTCTTATTTAATTCCAATCCCAGAGCCTTGGTAACCATGATCACAGTGCGGCATCCACTTCCACGGGGCGCGTAATAGAAATCCATTTTGCTTTTATTTTGTGTTATTTGCTGGAGAGTAAAAGCAGAAGTTATTGAAGCTATAATGGTTTCCGGCTTTTATAGCAATTCGGTTGTGAAATTACGTACATATCTCGATTCTACTGATAATAATTGTTTGCTCGACGCTTCTTCAATGGGTTCTAAACTAGAAACATTCTGGTGATTAAATGTAGTTGTGAAATCAACTTCTTATATATCCTTATCTTTGCTGTTCTCGATGGCCAAAACAATTACACTATCAATAAATCTTACATATGTTCTAATGACTTTTTATCATTTTAATAATTGGAGCGTTTTTCACTCTCTGAAGAGTGTGTATTCTTGTTCAGAATCTAAAGCCTGCCAATCAAGTCAAGACTGTTTCTCTATCCGTATGAACGTTGTTATCTCAGAAAGTAAATATAAAAACTAGAAAATTGGAATTTAGACTGAAAATCTAACACCAAGTTTAGCCTTCCCACGACGCCCTATTATTCTTGTTAGTGCTTTGCTTTACTTTTTTTTTAATCAGAAACATATTTCAGAAGTTATTTCTGGATTACGGTAATAGAGCCTTAATCATATGTAAAAATGTTTATTTTATGGCAGTCTTATTAGCCTTTCTTCTTAAAGCAGTTCCCTAACGACCTTGCCTACTACAACAACATGAAGAATGCGAAATCTCTTTTCTATCGAAAAGATAACGACTGAAAAACCCAGTAAAACAGCTTATTTTTTGGCAAATGTTTATGTTTATTTTTCAGGCGGTGGGCTGATTGTGTTTCTGATAAGTAACAGATAGCATTAGCCATATGCACGTTTGTAGAAGAAATAATGTGTTTTCAAAACATATATAGTTTTAAGTTTTTAGGAACTTTTATTAGACCTCTAGTTATAAATACAATAAATTATAAAAACATTATTACTTTGATGTTGCCTTTTGGGCCTCGTACATTGCCTTCATTTGCAGCAAACCCGCCCAGTTCTCATCCCAACCGGGAGTAATTTTCTTGGCATTGGCATACCACTTGGCCACATTTGGATACTTGCTGATTTCAAAGTCCACTACTTCAAAAGTGGACACGCTGGACAGGATTGCAATATCAGCCACGGTGAACTGGTTGCCAGCCACGTAGTCTTGGCCCTCCAGAAAAGTGTTCAGGAAATCGAAGGCAGCTTCGATCTTCTTGTAATTCTCTTCAGTTCCAAGCTGCCCAGTTCGGATGAAGGGGTAATAGTATTTGATAAAGGAATCGTGCAGGGTTCCCATGTCAAAGTAGAGTCTCTGGTTGATCACAGCACGTGTTTGGGGATCCTTGGGGTAGAGGGAGTCTTCCTTGCCATACTTCTCTACCAGATAGATGGCGATGGCGCGGGATTCCCAAAGGGAGAATCCATTATCCACCAAAGTGGGAATGGTGTGCTGGGGATTGAGCTTGATGAACTCCGGCTTCAGATGGTTCTCCCTCCGTAAGGCGCAGCTGCTTCTTGTTGAGCTCCACACCCACGGCCTTGGCCACCATGATAACGGTGCGGCATCCACTGCCGCGAGGTGAGTAGTAAAAATCCATTTCCGAAAGAGCGATTACTGTGTGCTATTCGCTGAAGAGAAAAAGCAGAACTGACTGTGACCAGCAATGGGTCTCTCTTATTTAGCACAATGGTTGCTAAATTTCATATCTCTCTGGAAATGATTAAAATTGATTGGGGCGATGTTCTCAAATGTAATTTGGAAACTGCTTGTCATCGTATTTTATTAAACGTATGCACACTTGTTGGATTTCAAATCTAAAACAAATCAGTGATTCTAAAAATAAATAGCAGAGGTGCAATTACCTCTTATCATGGGTTAGTGATTGCTAATTTTGGCATATGGTTGAATGGTTTAAATTCTGATTTTATTAAATAAATCCATTATTTATGTTTTAGAATTACAAAATCTTATGTATTTAATATTAAAGATATATATCCCCTGGACATCTATTTGGCTTCATTACTTTTTCTCATCGACCACCCTCTTCACATCCTGAGCACCCTGCCAGTTCTCCTCCCAGCCAGGAGTAATCTTCTTGACATTCTCATACCACTTGGCCACATTTGGATATTTGCTGATGTCGAACTCCAGAGCATCGAAAGTGGAGACACTGGCGAGGATGCCAATGTCGGCAACGGTGTACTGGTCACCTGCTACATACTCCTGTCCCTCCAGGAAAGTGTTCAGAAAATCAAAGGTTTCTTGGATCTTCTTGAAGTCTTCTTCACTGCCGTTCTCTCCAGTGATAAACACCTTGTAATAATAGTTGGCCAACGAGGGATACATGGAGCCCATGTCGAAGTAAAGTCGTTGGTTGATCACAGCCTGTTTCTGAGGATCCTTCGGGAACAGAGAATCATCCTTGGCGTACTGTTCGATCAGATAAACGGCAACGGCACGCGACTCCCAGATGGTAAATCCATTGTCCACCAGAGTGGGGATCGTGTGCTGGGGATTGATCTTGATGAAATCCGGGTTAAGTTGTTCCTTCTTCAGAGTGTTCAGAAGCTTCTTGTTCAGATCCAGATTGAGGGCCTTGGCAACCATGAGTACAGTGCGACAAGCGCTGACCAGAGGCAGGTAGTAAAGATCCATGTTTGAGGGACTGCGATCAGTTCGTGCTGCCCGATCGAGAGGAAAAAGAGAACTGTTTGGAACCCCGCGAATTTTTAACTATAAAGCTTCTTCCATACATATGTACGTAGCGACAAAAACACTGTTTATGTATGTACATACGTTTTCTTTGCTTGATTGCTTCTATTCGTAGTAGTGAAAAGTGCATGGGTATGTGTAGAACAAAATTATATCAATTTCTTCGGGCTTGTGTTCCGTTTAAAATCTGCTTTTAGAACTACTGGAGGTATGTACATATATACTTATATATATGTACCTCCCAATAAACATTTGTTTGTATAAAATCTGCTTCTGCTAAAGCTCGCAATTTGAGAAGGTTATAAACAACTCTCTTCGAAATATTAGCTGAAGGTCTTCTTTGGATTGAAAGAGAAGAATTTATTGCAAATTCTATCATGTTTGTAAACATTTCTTATTAACCTTTATAATATTTTGTGAGTTTAAAAAGTCAGTAATTATTTTTAACACTAACGAATGCCCTGCAAATATAAACAGCCTAAAAGCATTTGCGGTTCTGATTCCAATTTGTAATCAGTCAGATAAAAATTTAAGCAATTAAAAACCGATTATGCATTCCATTGAAAGCCAACAAAAGCCAACTATTTCTAGTTTATAAAAAACTACAATTTTTAACAGATTTACTTTACAATTATATTTGTTATTTGAATTCAACAGTTACATAAATACAATAAATTATTTTAGTATCAATTACTTTGCAGCCGCCTGACGGGCCTCAAAGAATGTCTTCATCGCCTGCAGACCAGCCCAGTTCTCGTCCCATCCGGGAGTCACCTTCTTGGCATTGGCGTACCATTTGGTCACATTGGAGAACTTGCTGAAGTCATACTCAACGATTTCGAAAGTAGAAACAGTGGCCAGGATGGCAATGTCAGCTACCGTAAGCTGGTCTCCAGCAACATAGTCATGACCCTCGAGGAATGTGTCGAGGAAGCCGAAAGAAGTTTCGATTTTCTTGAGGGCCTCGTCTGTTCCGGGCTTTCCAGTGTGGAAATAGGGGTAGTAATACTTGACGAAAGAATCGTAGAGAGTACCCATGTCAAAGTACAGACGCTGGTTGACCACAGCCTGCTTCTTAGGATCCTTGGGGAAGAGGGAGTCATCCTTGCCGTACTTCTCCACCAGGTAGACGGCGATGGCGCGGGACTCCCAAATGGAGAAACCATTGTCCACCAGGGTGGGAATGGTGTGCTGGGGATTAAGCTTCACGAACTCTGGCTTCAGCTGCTCGCCCTCCATGGTGTTCAGTAGCTTCTTGTTCAGCTCGAGTCCAAGAGCCTTGGCCACCATGATGACCGTGCGGCACCCACCGCTACCCGGCATGTAGTAGAAGTCCATATTAGAAAATGGCAACGAGTTGTTAACTTCTGGAATGAAGAACGAAAACTGAAAAACGGCAGTAAAAACAATTCCTTTTATAGGGAAATTTTTTTTACTTGAATATCAAAAAGCTTGTGAAATTATCTCTAACGATTTGTTTATGCTTGCTTGGCTCGGTCTTTGTTTGTCTTGCTTTTGAAAAAAATGCCCGTCACGATTAGAACAAACTTTTTCATATTTCGGGCAAGCACTTGTTATTTTTGGTGAAAAGACACGTATGTCGTGTCAAATAATGACTAATAGGGAGCACTGAAGAAGAGCTAATGATAATGTTAGGTGCATTATAATTATATATGTACGAAAGTCAAAGCTTTATAAAACATTTATGATTAGTTAATTATCGTAAAGGAAGTGAAGCGATTTTAGAGGATAAACTAGTGTGAGTCACAAAATAAGTGAGTGATAGAGTGCAGTAGGACAATATGAATTAAATAAAAACATAGATAACTTTAAATGTGTAATGAACGTAAATAATTGTGAAATTATAAATTAAATAAATTTCTTATGTTAATGTTTAAGCTTAATAGTTAAAGAAACTAAAAGGAGCTAAGACTAGGTATACCTCTTTAGGTAGAAATACCTCTGACAAGGGTGTGAAAAAGAAAATGGGTTGGAATAATAGATGTTACCCAAAGAGGTCTGGTCATTTAAGGAACACTATGTAAGTTATTATAACATTTACAATTAAAGTTGGCAAATAGGAATTGCGATTTATATAAGCTAGAATTAATTCTCTATGCCAGTAAAATACGTGTACATATTTCCAAAAATCATCTGTTAAAATCATGCCCATTGCCATTGCCATAATTTAAAATAATATACCGCTTTTATTATTTTTTACATAATATATTTAATAAATTTACATAGATTAGTGGAAATTACTTTGCAGCCGCAACCCGGGATTCGAAGAAAGCCTTCATCTGCTGTAAACCCTCCCAGTTCTCGTCCCATCCGGGAGTGACTTTCTTGGCATTGGCGTACCACCTGACCACATTGGAATACTTGCTGAAGTCAAACTCAACGACATCAAAAGTGGAGACGTTGGCCAGGATGGCAATATCGGCCACGGTGAGGTTGTCTCCAGCCACGTACTCGTGTCCCTCCAGGAAGGTGTCAAGGAATCCAAAGGCTGTTTCGATTCTCTTCAAGTCTTCGTCAGTTCCGGGCTTTCCAGTTCGGAAGAGTGGGTAGTAGTACTTTGAGAAAGCATCGGTCAGAGTTCCCAAGTCAAACTGGAGACGCTGGTTGACAACGGCCTGCTTCTTGGGATCCTTGGGGAAAAGGGAGTCATCCTTGCCGTACTTCTCCACAAGGTAGACGGCGATGGCGCGGGACTCCCAGATGGAGAATCCATTGTCCACCAGGGTGGGAATGGTGTGCTGAGGATTGAGTTTCACGAACTCTGGCTTTCAACTGCTCGCCTTCTAGGGTGTTGACCAGCTTCTTGTTCAGCTCCAAGCCAAGAGCCTTGGCCACCATGATGACCGTGCGGCATCCACCGCTACCTGGCATATAGTAGAAATCCATGCTGGAAATGTATTGTTTACCTTTGGAGTGGAGAACGACAACTGACTGAAACCGGCAATGTCAGGTACTTATATAGCCAAATGATTGGGTAATCTTTTATTGTGCCTCGTTATTTTTTTTTCATATTTTGGGTGCTTGTTAGTAGACAGTTCTGGTTTTAGATTTCGAGATTTTTAAATTGATCATTAGGTGAGTTTCTAACAATATAGAAAACTTCTTGGGATAACGCAATACCTGTAAAATGTATAAATGTGTTTTATTTTTTATAATATGTTTCATAAAAAACGAACTCTGAAGCCAAGTAAGTGTTAGCATTGGAAAAAAAAACCATCTTTGGATTAATATTAGTTAGTGAAAGCAGGAACACATAAGCGTATTTATTACTGAGGGGTGCTAACAGGTGATAATGACAATTTTAGGTGCATTCTCGTTGAGATTGATCTATTCGATATATTTTTATGATAAGATTATGATAACATTAATGGAAAGAAGGGTTATGAGTCATTTGATATGTACATATTTAGGGAGTAGGGTTGCTTTTTTAAGTAAAATTTTTTTGGTCTTAGTTTAGATACATCATAAACTTGAAAATAGGCCTGAAATGTTTTAATGCATTAGGGGTGTTCAAAGTAAGGTGACTCTTCAAATTGCCTGAATTTGAAATTTTTCGATTATCATTTTTTGTTTTGTTATATTGTAATTCTAACAAGTTATATTGGGTGCTGAGTTTTTAAAATGGATAATTAAAAACACAATAAAGATAACATCATAAGCGATTTGAAAAAAATTAGCTTTGACTCCCATTTGAAATGATTCATTATGCATTATATTTATTAATAATATAGAAATTGTTCCTATCAAATAAAATATATATGTATGTACATATTTTATACCTATGTATACCTTTTCATATATTTTCCTTAATATTTATTGCAGCTTTGCATGTATGTACATATGTACATACATATGTATGTATGTACATTTGAATGGACGGTTTAGTTTCTGTTGGTTATCTTTACCGTTAATTGAAGAGATAATGTGAATGACGAAAGTGTGGACACACTGATGTTCAATTTATTAGGATTTTATGTATTAACTGTTTTGAAAAGTTTTGAATTTAAAAACAGTTGAAGAAAATGATTTAAGTTTGTATTAAGCAAAGATATATATGATTTTTCTTTTTTCTTTCAGTATACATTGGAATATATCCAAACAGTTATCTGTGATTTCCAAAGCCGAGATCAGTGGAAGACTGAAGCAATGATCAGCGCAGCTGTACACAAACTGAGAATTGCCGGCAAACGGAATTAAGAAAGTATTTATCGAGTATATGTATGTACATATACGTGTGTACATCTATGGCAGACCGGCAGAAATAAAAAATAAGAGGCTCATGGAGACTCTTAGCCCCATCAATTCTCTTTGGCGATACCGAATCTCTTAGTTCCGGCTCTTTTGGTAGTTTTGTTTTTCTAGTGGGATTTCTTGTTTGTTTGTTTGTGACGCATACGTGGCCAATGCCGTCTAACTGGTTCTCTTGATCTGCAGCGGCAAACACTGTGACCTTTCTCTACATTTTACGCCAACTTTGTTTCGGCCTTTTTTGTGAATTAACCCAACCAGTTATTGGCGAACTTATTGTGATGTTTATGATCTCGTGTTTCCCATGATTCAGTGGTTTTCGGCATTATGTTCAAATGAGTAACTTTCGGAAGTCTGGGGGCTTGGGGTTTTTTGATTTCACAAGTTCCGTGGATTGTTCTGGACGTTAAGAGAGCAATTCGAATGTTTCAAAGTGTATCGCCCACGAAAATGCTCTTTCCATTTTTTGCCTACTTGTTATTGCGAATTTTCGCCTGGTCATGCTGATAGTTGGTATTATGAATTGTGAAACTGATAAATTGTTTTTTCTATTGGTAATATACACCCCCAGCAAACTAAAACAGGAATGTTCGAGTGCATTGCTCCGATTGTATAGAAATACTTCCAAGGAACACAAGGTTAATTCGGTTTTATTTTCCTTCTCATGTAATACCTCCATAACAATTATTTCTAACTGTCCAAGGCCGTCGTCGTCCAATCGATATTACTGCTGCCCTCATCAAGATAATTACATGAAAAATGTATACCAGTAATTTGGAATTTGCATGTCCCTTTGAGGCTTGAATTACTTATTTATCTATTGACTTTAACTAGGCATTACCCATATTTATTTTTTATTTATTAAGTGTGAGTCAAATTTATTTAAATATCTTAATAAATGGCTATATTTTTGTGGTCTCATTAGTTCGCAAGCCTTTGCGAATTGTTTATGTACTTTTCACTTGGGAATACTCGTTAACTGTGGCTGTGTGTTTGCCTGATATCAATGTTTGCCGGCCGGCTTCAGTTGTTATCTGGTTTTGCTTTTTGATTTTTACTTATTTTTTTAATATTTTTTTTACTTTAAAAAAAAAGTATTTTTAGCCGCACAGATGTTCATTAGAAATGCAAAAATGTGTACCCAAGCAAATTGAGTGCATTAAATGTGAGCGGGAATTGACGGCAATGTCAGTTAGTCGAAGTGTTTGTACACTAAAATGACAATTTATTGCAATTATTATTATAGAATTTATAGAATTAACTTGAAAAAGAGTGCTTTAAGTTCGTAAAAGATAATCTTGGCAGTAAATTTCCATAAGTTTGTTAGCAAAGTTCAACCTGATAATCATTATCTTAGCCAAGCAAAACTTTTACAAAATTATAATACCTTTTGTAGGAGAATAATTAAAAAAATCTGTTCTAAACAGACCAAGTTGGCGTTCCACTAGAGGATCATTAGAAAGTGGCAGCTTTCTTTTTGGGGATTGTTGCAGAGGAACGACAGGGAGGGGGGCAAATGCAACCTCCATCGAGCCACTCATACACATATTCCTATTAATCACGCTTGCTAACGTCACATTTTTGCCTGATATGATATTAGTGGGTATGTGTAGGCAAGTCAGAAAATAAAAGACAAAAAAAAACCCATACACGAAAACCACTAGCGGTTATTGCTCTCTCTCTCTCTCTAGTAGTCATCCTAGCCCCCGCCGCACCCGTTGCCCGATGTCGTCTCTTTAAGGCGTCAAACAACAACTCTTGTTTGCCGGCATTATGGCGACCGCCATCGCTTGCTATAAAAAGCCTGCCGCTCTCCGAATTCCGTTCAGTACAACTTCTCATTTGGTACAGTGTACATCGCGAGATTCTCAACAAAAAAAACTGTAAGTTTTCTGCTCTCTATAACTGTTTGTGACTGTGTTTGTGCCAGAACTAAAAAACAAAGGGATATAAGAAACAATATGTTCAAGGAATATCTATGGAAATTTACCAAAAAGCTCAAACATTTGAAAAGAACAATCGCCAGTTATGACATCATGGCCTGAGAATCTGTTGGCCAAGTGAATAAATGTAATGACGGCCCAATTAAAGTCCGCTTTTGTCTGAACTCGTAATTATAGAGCGCGTCTAATTACCGCATATCTTTTTTTGATCTATTCTGTTCGCCTTTTGCATGGCATATAAAAAGTGTATAATTGAACAAAAAACATGTCTTAAAGGGAAAAAATAAATTGGAATTACTATGCCTGACGAAGTTTAGTTATGTAAATGAGAAAAAGAATTAGCATTCTCTTTTAAGTTTGTTTTTTATTTGCAATTAAAAATGGAGGACTATTTTTAAAATTGTTTTTCTTAATTTGTTGGATATTTCATAATTTATAAATTAATAAAAGTAAACATTAAACTAATCTGTTTTAACCTTTTTACACTTTTAGTATCATGGCTGATTTCTACTACCTGCCCGGCTCCTCCCCATGCCGCTCCGTCATCATGACCGCCAAGGCCGTGGGCGTTGAGCTGAACAAGAAGCTGCTCAACCTGCAGGCCGGTGAGCACCTGAAGCCAGAGTTCCTGAAGATCAACCCCCAGCACACCATTCCCACTCTGGTGGACAATGGTTTTGCGCTGTGGGAGTCGCGTGCCATCCAGGTTTACCTGGTTGAGAAGTACGGCAAGACCGATTCTCTGTACCCCAAGTGCCCCAAGAAGCGCGCCGTGATCAACCAGCGCCTGTACTTCGACATGGGAACCCTGTACCAGAGCTTCGCCAACTACTACTACCCACAGGTGTTCGCCAAGGCTCCCGCTGATCCCGAGGCCTTCAAGAAGATCGAGGCTGCCTTCGAGTTCCTGAACACCTTCCTGGAGGGACAGGAGTACGCCGCCGGTGACTCCCTCACCGTGGCTGATATTGCCCTGGTGGCCTCCGTCTCCACCTTTGAGGTGGCCGGATTCGACATTAGCAAGTACGCTAATGTCAACAAGTGGTACGAGAACGCCAAGAAGGTCACCCCCGGATGGGAGGACAACTGGGCCGGTTGCCTGGAGTTCAAGAAGTACTTCGAATAAGCCTGATATTCACTTTTTTTATATACCCGTACATTTGATGTAGTATTTATATTCACGTTCACAAAAAACAATTCCAAATTCGCCTGTCTCCAGAGACAATAAATAAGTGTTCGCTTTTTTGAATGCACAAAAAATACAAAAGTGTTTTTTATAGGATGTTCTATACTATATGGTTGATGTGGGCATCGGCAATTGGATAAGTGTGCTCTGTGGCGCGTTTTTCTCTCTTTCGATGCCAAAGGCTGATTTGAAAGAGCAATTTCTCTGAATGTATCTCTTTGGATGCCGAAAAGCAATAAAAGCTCGGTGGCTTGCCGGCTGTTCGTCAGTGTGAATTGGTGAAGGGAGACCGCCGGGAGCCGCAAATAGTGCAATAGTTCTCTCTTGCATAAAAATGTAATAAATTGCCTTGATTTTATTTATTAGTTAAATAAAATAAGAGACTGCGCATATATAAAGTGTTGTTCCCCTGTATATTAGATTCCTAGTGCATGCTTCTAAATTTGCTTTTCTATTTTGAAATTTACTTTTAAATCTTAAATTTAATATATTACAGTTATTTGATCACCTCAATATTAGTACAAAACAATGTAAGAATAATCTTATCAAGCCAATAACATGCCACAGAAAACGTGAGAATATTTGCCAATTCAATGCTGATAACAGGCTTAGAACTTATAAACAAAACTCGGTTGGCAACAATACAATAGTAAACTTTGTTTATTCCCTGAAAAATACCTTTCGTATTTTTAAATTCTTAGAAAAGTATATTTTTTAAGCTCTGTTAAATAAATTGCAGCTTTCTGTAATCTAAATCCTTTTACAAGCTAATACTTTAAACAAAAAAAAATTGAAAATTTTTCTAGAAATATCTATGGTTTTAATTTCATTATGTACCTTCCGAAGAATAACTGCAAATCACCCTATTAATCTTTGAAGAAAACCTACTTTTCCGAGAACAACAGCAAATCACTCTAGTAGGCGCGGAAGGGATCTTTCAGTATAAAAGACCGATTTTACAGAAATAATAATTCAGTTCCATTTTGCAGTTTGTTGAACAATCATGTTGGACTTTTACTATATGCTCTACTCGTCACCCTGCCGGTCAATCCTGATGACTGCTCAGGCCTTGGGATTGGAGCTGAACAAGAAGCAGGTGGACCTGGATGCTGGTGATCATCTGAAGCCGGAATTCATCAAGATCAACCCTCAGCATACTATTCCAACTCTGGTGGATGGTGATTTTGCCATCTGGGAATCGAGGGCTATCCTGCTTTATTTGGTGGAGAAATACGACAAGGATGGCTCTCTGTATCCCAAGGATCTCAAGGAGAGGGCCGTGATCAATCAACGCCTGTTCTTCGATCTGGGAACTTTGTACCAAAGCTACGTCTATTACTACTATCCCCAGTTGTTCGAGGATGTGAAGAAACCAGCTGATCCTGAGAATCTCAAGAAGATCGATGCAGCTTTTGCTAGTTTCAACACTCTTCTGGAAGGCCAGCAGTATGCCGCCCTCAACAGATTGACCTTGGCTGACTTTGCCCTTTTGGCCACCGTTTCGACTTTTGAAATATCGGAATATGACTTTGGGAAATATCCGAATGTGGTGAGGTGGTACGATAATGCCAAGAAGGTGATTCCCGGTTGGGAGGAGAACTGGGAAGGCTGCGAGTACTACAAGAAATTGTATCTGGGTGGCATTTTGAACAAACAATGATTTGCTAGTTTTTAAAAATTTATGGCAGCGAATTTAACGCTCTGCTTGAATAAAGAGTGTCCATATCTGTTATTATTCTAAGAGTATTTTTGTGGAAGAGTCGTTGACTTTTCAAATATGATAAGACTTGGGGGTCTTTTTCTCTCTTGTGAAATTCACAGCACATCAAACATTTTCCTATGCGATAGATAAGGTAAGTTTACGTGATGTTTTTGCTATATTATAAGGTGCTGAGATTTCGCTGATAGTGAAAAACAATTAAAGGCAAAGGTAATTGAAAGCAACAGCTGAACATATTTTAGATTTACGTAAAAAATAATTTAACTGCAATACGCTAAGAGTGAAAACCTAATTAAAGCAAAGTATAAACTACCAAATTTCGATTATTTCTTTGCTCTTATACTTCCAGAATTCTCTCTTGTTCTGGAACCCTCTCTCTTATGACCAGTGGTTCGTATCAACCACAAAACCAAATATTTGTCAATTATCACCTGAACTTAATTGATCCATCAGCCCACATTTTACGTGTGGTTATCTTCAGGTTTTTTACTTATGTGTATAAAACTCGGCTAAACCGCAGAGAATTCCTCAGTGCTTTGTCGTGCGTCGACTCCAGCAGAAGAGCTGAGCCTTTTTTGCTTATCTCGTAAGTTCAGCCACCGGAAAATAAAGTTTGTTTGTATTATTTTTGGCAAATTTATTATGGAGATTGCGTCACTGAAATCACTAAAGTCCCCTCCATCTAAAGAAAGTGATTAGCCAGCCATTCTGTTTTATATTCATCTACTGTGACACCTTCTGTTCTTGATGAATTGCTGTTTTTTTTGTAGAGATTCCTCAACCGCAAAATGGACTTATACTACAGACCCGGATCTGCCCCCTGTCGCTCTGTTCTGATGACAGCCAAGGCCTTGGGTGTGGAGTTCGATAAGGAGACGATTATCAACACTCGTGCCGGGGAGCAATTCAAGCCGGAATATCTGAAGATCAACCCCCAGCACACTATACCCACTCTGCATGACAATGGATTTGCTTTGTGGGAGTCGCGTGCCATCATGGTTTATCTGGTGGAGAAGTACGGCAAGGACGACAAGCTCTTTCCCAAGGATGTCCAGAAGCAGGCGTTGATCAACCAGCGCTTTTACTTTGATATGGGCACCCTCTATAAGAGCTTCTCGGAGTACTATTACCCTCAGATTTTCTTAAAGAAGCCTGCCAATGAGGAGAGCTACAAGAAGATCGAAGTTGCCTTTGAGTTTCTGAATACCTTCTTGGAGGGACAGACCTACACCGCAGGAGAGGATTACAGTCTCGCTGATATCGCCTTCTTGGCCACCGTCTCCACTTTTGATGTGGCTGGCTTTGATTTTAAGCGATATTCTAACGTGGCCCGATGGTACGAACAGGCCAAGAAACTCACTCCCGGTTGGGAGGATAACTGGGCTGGATGCCAGGAGTTCCGTAAATACTTTGATAACTAATTTTTAGTGTTCCTACCTATAGTTATACTACTGTACTTATAAAGTGTTCTAAAAACAAATTCAATAAATATAAAAAATACTCTAAAGTTCAGAATTTGTAATGAGTCGGAAGGAGTAGAAAGATTAGAGGCTACTTGACCTTTAATCACCTAGTAAATATATCAAAAACAACAAAGATCATTACATTTCATCAGTTTAGTAAAGACACAAATGTCATAAATTTTAAACTTACTCGAACATTGAAAAATTGTTTCCATTTACACAATTTTCACTTAGAAACTAAGCCAAGAACAAGGATTTCAATACTAAGGATTAGATATAGGTACAGCTACTGGTAACGGAATCAGTGTTTCTGAAACCCATGATCATGGAGTACAATCGCCAGCCATGTCCCATCCGGATTGTGGAGGATTGCGGATGCGCCTTCATGATGGGCACCATCGGAGGATCGCTGTTCGAGTTCCTCAAGGGTTTCCGTAACGCTCCGTCTGGGATGTGGCGTAGCCTTTACGGTGGTTTTGATTCGGTGAAGATGAGGACTCCGGGCATTGCTGGAAGCTTTGCCATTTGGGGAGCTACTTTCAGCACGGTGGACTGTGTCCTCGTCTCCTATCGCCAGAGGGAAGATTCTTGGAATTCCATTCTAAGTGGCGCAGCAACCGGCGGGATTTTGGCAGCGCGTAATGGAATTCGAGCAATGGCCAATAGTGCTCTTGTAGGATGCCTGGTTTTGGCCATGATTGAGGGAGCAGGTGCAGCTGTGGCTACCATTAATGCATCCGATGGTGGTACAGGGACAGCCCCCAATACGCAGCGAGCCCAATGGGAAGCTATAATGGAGGCTGTAAATCCAGAAATGGACCCATCTTCAAAAGATTTCGTCGTGGCAGAACTCGACCGTGTGCTGGACAAATTTCGATCATATAGGACCCGAGTGGTTCAGCAGGGACTCCCACCAAGTGCCAAGCCAATTATAAATAGTCAGGAAAGGAAGCCTTTTGAGAAGCCATTACCCTCACTGTTAGATCTCGTCAAACTGGACAAGATTTTTTGACATCTATGTTTATTCAAACTTTCATGGTAGCTCATCAAAATTAAGCGTATCTGCTTATTCTCTCTGTTTATATGTTAGTAATACCCAATCAGTCATTTATTCATTCAATAAAAAACCATAGCATGGTTTTTGGCAGCTGAGTTAGGCGTGCGATAGCTAGCAATTTACAGCATACACACAGGCATAAAGATAAATTCGGTTTCTTTCCGTTTTCAGTTTTTTTGGATTCTACAAATTACTCCAATATTTCGCAAGCATGGCTTTTTTAAGAAAATCCAAGACCGCCTAACTGCGAAACGAAGCCTTAGATGGAAAGCAAGACTTTGATGGGTTGCAGTTCCGATTAAATCAGAGAGAGTTCTCACCAATCGAATGGATTGCAATCCTTTCTCAATCCATGGGATCCGTATATGAACAGGGTAGCCTATATAATATTTTCTATCAATCAATCTTTTCAATTAATTCTGAATGAAAACAAATACAAACTATTTAGATTTATTCTTACCAGAGTTTTACATAATCCCCTCTAAATGTTTATCAAAATTCTCCTTAGAACACCAATCCGAAGATATCAAGTTAGTTTAGTATTGGATAAGTACACAGGAATTTACATTATTTCATATCACTTATTAAATACCCTTTTGAATAATAATATTTATAATAATTGCCAAGAAATAATTCAACTTTCCACTTTTAAAAAATCGTTTCGAATGTTTTATTATAATTAAAGAAAATCATAAATTAATACAAAATTAAAAATTAAACTAGCTGATGAGACAGAATAGAGAGCTTAGAGATTCGGAAGGTTGTTACCAAGAAAAGTATCAAATGTCATGCAGCAATTTAGCCAGAAAACTGTTTGATTTTTAAGGACAATCGGAAAGTAGATAGTTTAGACATCGATCATCGTTCACCGTTGCCGTTTTAGAAAATATCATTTTTGGTTTTTAGTTGGAGAGACGCTGGTCCTTCCGCCAGCCCTCGTCCTCATCATCGTCCTCATCCGCTTAGATGCGCAGATTGGGATTTGTGTAGCGCACATACTTCAGCAGGGCATCGTTCTCCTCGCAGACGAAGCTCTTCTTGTGATGGCAGGCCACATCGTGCCAGTTGACACCATCATTGTAAAACTGATTCAGCAGGGCAACGCAGCTTTCGAAGCTACCATTCTGCTTGTATTCACGGTTATCAGGCTGGGGCAGGCCAATTCCACCGGTGGGCGACCAATCACCCTGGGAACGCTCGGTTGTGGGTGCCAGCTTCTGCAGGGTGGCGGTCCAGAACCATCCGTTGATGTTCGTGGGCTGCAGGTCGGGACGGTCGCAGCCCTTGAAGTCGCACAAGCGGCCGCTGGTCCAGATGTATTTCACCTGGAATGAGCAGAAGAGAGTTTTGATTAGTATACAATGTTGAGATAAGGGGAAGGTCTACATACTCCCAATTCTGACCAAGTTATACAAATATCAAATGTTCGATTTATTCCAACAACTGTTTCCTAAAGTTCATTAACCCCTCTAGATACTACATAAAATATATAGATTTCCCCAATCAATGGCACCTACGCATGAAAATGCAGCGTTGGCATCGAAAAAAGGTGGTAGAAATTCCAGCTAGTAACTCTTATGGGCCTGTCACGCCCAAACAACTATTATTATCGCTGAAAGCGAACCCATTCCGATTCCCATACCCATTCCTGTCCAAGTCCGCGCCCTTTTGGAGCTGGCGCACCTCGATACTGTCAACATTTCAAGTGAGCAGCAGCAGCAGCAGTAGCAGCAGCAAAAGCAAAAGCCGCTCGCAGCCGCAGCTTAGCGCTCATCAGTCACTTTCACCTGATGGGCCATAAAAATTGTTTTGTAAAAGGGGGCACACAATGGCCCAGACGACTCGGTTAGGCAGTCTGCCCTTTTGGAAAACTCCAATGAGCGTGCAGAGTCGAAACAAATTTATGGACATTGATTTCGGTTTTGTCGCTGGCGGTTTCAGCATTTCATTTGGAAGGGGCGTTAAGATTGCTTTGTAATTGTTGAAAAACTCGAACAATAAATGCAGTTTGTCCCATGGCGGAAGCCCGAATGGATTGTGCTCAAATGCACCTGTCGGCCTCTGACGTTTTTAGGGCCTACTAAAAATCTGGCTGATAAGGAAGTGGAAAAAACCACTCATCAGATAGGTACTTTTCAAGAGGGAAAAGTAATGCATTTTCAACAGAAATCTAGCAAAAAGTGTTAAAGTGTCTAAGTGCTTTGTGTCTATTCTAAATCTAGGTCGTTACCAGCAATCTTCAAAATAAAGAAATATGAAAATATATTTAGTAATTATTTCCATAAAGGGTTAAAAACAAATCTATTGATCAACCGGAAAAGGTATAAAAACTTTAAAAACTTATCCCACGAATATATATTCCATGTTTTTCCATCATTGTTTTGCATTTAATTTCCTCTTCGATTATACGCAAAATGTACTATCCGTTTGCGTGCTGGAAGTTTGCTAATTTGTTAAGTAATTTTGCTGAGTAGCTTTTCCGGCCAGGCTTTCCCATCACACACATGAACTTTCGATTTCAATTTGTCCATCACGACTATCACATGCCACAAAATAAAAATCAAGCAGAGACGAGCGATGAGAAATGAGTCGGAAGATGGCAGATGAGATGCGATGAGCCTGAATGACCACAACTCTAAACTTGACACTTGTTCATCTGAAGAGTGTTGCATAATAATACAAAGACGACTCCATTCGTGTGCGAAATTACAGAGGCAGCAACTGGGAAAGTTTTTTTTTTTTTTCTGTATATATTTATGCTTTGTATTTGGTTTTTTTCGTTCAGTTTTTATGTGTAATGTCACATTGAACTTTGTAGAGCGATGTTAATGTCAAAGATTTCGCCATTAGTTTTGTGTGCCGCAGCGACAGCAGCAGCATCCTCAAAATTAAGGTCAGTTTTTTGTTCGAGCTGCCAAATAAAAAGCGCTAAACAGTTCACACGCGGCTAAACGGACGTTATTTAACTTACCAAACAAATTAAAAAAGGTGACATAATGTCATGCAAAACAGGTGAAAAAACACCAAAGATAAAAACTGATAAATGCACATATAATAAATTATTGGCAAGCCTTTTGTGGCTATCTCCCACCTCAACCTTAAGGTGTAAAAGTCCACTTTTATCGATGGCATTTATGTTGAAAAACACAAATGTTTGATTATACATTTTTGATACCTTTCGCCGAAAAAGATTTATAAATACCAAATGAGTTGCATGTTTCTGTTTTATGTCGATCATTTGTTTGATTTAACAAAGCTCAAATGTTGACCAAACAGGTGCAGCAAAGGTAAGGTAATTTATTTACTTTGCTTTGTGATTTTGTTGCCGGGCGGCGCCTTATGTAATGATCATTTTGGGGTGGGGATAATCGATTGATTTACTTTACTTTACTTTTTGTAAACAGGTTGTAGCTGACCAGATTCAACAATTATGAAATCTGATAACTGTAATTTATACTACATTAGGACCTGGTTTTTATGTTATACGTTAAGATTTTTATCTTTAAGTTTGTTTCCTAAGTCTTTTGTCTTCTGTTCTAAAAACTTTATTACAGCTCCTGGGATTTGGTTTACTTTAAACGCTATTAAGCTCTTTACATAATTAGTATAATAAATTATAAATATTCTTTCAATTTAATCCAATAAATTATCTCTACATCGAAAATATATATTAAAACTTGTACTTACATTCTCGCGCACCACGAACTGCTTGATCCACTCATTCTCCAGGCTGGTCTCCAGGGAAACGGAGTCCATGCAGCGCCTGCGGCAATAGTTCCTGGCCGACAGCCAATCCTCCTCCACACCCTTCAGTTGAGGATCGCGCCACGAGAAGAAGTAACTGAGGGTTAGGGAAAAAAAAACAAACCTAATAAAGAAATCTATTTTTGCAGAGCCCAAATCCTCTGGACTCACCCCTTGCCATCGGGAGTCTTCTCATGGATGACACGCTGGGCACAGAGCTGGGGATTTGGTGGTTCCAGACGTCCGTTCTGGAACTGAGCAGATCCCAGGCTGAGCACGCTCAACACACACAAACCGGCGATAATGAAAGCTTTCATTTTTGTTTGCTTAACAGTCTTTGCACTGAGACACTGGCACTTTCTGCGGGTTCGATTTTCTTTTTGGGCTCGCGACGATCTTCTTTCTACCGACCGATCGGCTGGCACTGATCAACTGGAATGTCAAAAACATTGGGGAACCCCGCCTTATATACGAACAGAAAGCAGCAACCATCCACTCAGTTCGCTGAGAGAGGCAGACCCAAACAAGAGAGACTGAGTGCCGGGGTTTTTTTTTTTTTTTGTTTGGTTTTAGTACTACACTCTGAAAAGGTTTATTCAATTTATAATTTGGTTTTTGGGTTATTTAGACGATTTTTTATAAATTATTTCTTATATTTTTTATACAATTTTTCCTTACCTTGACTTTTCTTTTAAGTTTATGGGTAACACTATTGAGGAGCAGCGAAACGAAGAAGGAAGTGAACTTTAGGAAGTCGAAATTTGAATACCCTTAGAGGAAATCAGTTTTTGGCTTTTTGCCTAATAACAAACAACAAACAATTTAAGAAATTTAATATATTTTAAGTTTTAATTAAAGAAAAAAGCCTTAAAAATTTGTTCATAAAATGTAAATGTAAATTTAAATGTCAAGACTTATGTATGATTATTTAGCTAGTACATATTTAGTAAGCTTAAAAGGAATTTTTGAGTAGGGCACATGGGGAATGGACTCTTTGACTTTGCCTGTTTAGCATGCAATCTCGAATGTTAAGTGGCAAAAATGGTGCAGAAAAGGGGCGATCTGTGGGCGATGGGTGGTGCCTCTTCAGCTTGCTCATCATTTTGCACCACTTTGGCTTTAATGGCCTTTGAATGGATTGGCCTAACTCCCATCTAATTAGCTACACAAACACGCCGCGACTTGGGCCAAAATCTTTTTTGGCACGAAAATTTCGATTTTTTTTTTCGGTTGTGTGCGTGCGTCTCCTGTCTCTTTGCATAAATAAATGCATTTTTCGCTATTGTTTGCTTTGTTTTCGGAAATGTGTGTATTTGCCAGTGCTTTTGTGGTTTCGTATATTGCATAACCTAAGCCGAATTGTTGACCAACTATTTACATCGATTGAAAGTTACATATATTTATTTTTCAAGGTAAGTTTAGAGTTCTATGATTTACATGGAATCCTTAGTATTTTTATAACTATGTAATAGTTTGGGAATTTACCAGTTTCCATAAACATTACGTAATGCAGCCATAAATAGCCAGAAGAAATAACCAAACACACTTGTTATTGCATAAGCATAAGAAATGATGCCGAGCCCATCTGCATTATTTTCTCCACAGCTTGGGACCCAGATCAAGGTCAGCCGCGATGAGTACGAAAATTTCACCAGTTGAAAGTGAAGTTTAAGCCCGTCAGCCAGTAAACCCGAATCCCCAACAACTCAAACCCAAACCCAAACCCAATTCACGCATTTCAACATGATCGCCTCGATAAGTTTTGTCTCCTCTTCTCTTTTTTTTTTTTTTAACATCTCCACCTCACGTGCAGCCAAGCATGTCGACCCTACAAAACTACAACAAAAACACTTCAAAATATCTGTTGGAAAAAATAAAGGTTTCTGGTGCTGTTAAATCTTACTTTATGGCAATCGGTTAAACGGCAAAAGTTACACGAAGGCAGGTGCCGCACATTACCTGACACATGTATCTCGTGGGACACTTTACGCGGATTATGCTGAAAGACAAGTCAAGCCGCGCCCATTTCTCATGAATTTCAATTATTTTTTTGCAAACTATTTAAGAGAAATGACTTTCCAACATTACAATATTCGATTGAATGTAAAAATCCAAATTATACGATACGATTATACGATTATATCGTATAAAAACTATATTGTTAAGGAAATTAGTAGCTGTCAAGTAATTCACACTTTTGCAATTACAAACAGTCTGGGAAACTCCCAATTTTTTACATTGAGAAATTCCAGATATTACATTTCAAATTTAAAGTGTTCAACGTGCAATGCTTAGTGACAAAGACCAATAAAAATTATAAAAAATTAGGCAATCCATTTACATGGTCAACACGTATTTATTTTAACCAAGTTTTTTTTTGGGCCAACATAATTTATTTAATTTGTTCGAGCTCTTTTCTGCGTTACATGATTTCCCGTGGGCAGTGCAATATCTCAAAAAATTATCATCATCATTTAACGATAATTTTTGGGGAACAATTTATGTGATAAGGAACTGGGAACTGAGCCCAACTGTCAAGAGTCGGCAAAGCCTATTCGAAAATTACCGCATCGCACATACCCACATATTTACGCAATGAGTTCCCATACCCTCCCATCCCAGAGAGGATCGGGATCGGGGAAGGGGTTAACTTATGGGTTATGGTACTCGGACTGAGATGAGACTGGGGAATGGGCCTGGCCAATTTGTCGATGAGTTGGGTAAATAATAAAGGAGAAAGTGCCGCTGTCAGTTGGACTAAAAGTTTTGTATTGTTTTTTTGAAAATATTTTTGCACAAGTTACATATTGTTTAATTATTTGCACAAAAAGAGAGTGAGTTCAGGTGCAGTCGTTCCAATTTCATCAAGTGTCGATAATTTATGCAAATATGTTCACTAATAGTTATGCAAACGGAAATTTAAGCCGTATTTACTCATTTGGATTTCCCTTTGGGCCCCCCCAATGTCAATTTTGGACTGCCCAAAAATTTAAAAACGAAATTATTCAGCTTAGCAACGGCAATTATTCAACTTATTTAATATTGATGTCAGCTGCATATCACAATAAAAACATTTTACAATTAAAGTTTGCTTTATGCTCCAACCGTGATTTGATTTCAAATATTGGCATTCCACTGGATCAAAGTCAACACTATTTTATATTGGCTCCATGTTCATTTCGCAAACACTCTCAAGATCTAGGTGAACATATTGACCTAGAGACCTTGTATATAGGATAGTTTCTAGAATAACCAGGAAGTATATAAGGGCCACGTACTCGACTATCAGATATTTTATAAACTTTAAGTTTTTGTATGCGCGACCTTTATTTACTTCTTTTCGTTTGCAAAACTTTAAGTTTTTTTGGGGAACTTTATTTTCTGCACTTGAATAGGAAACTTCAACAGCGTCAACAGAATATTAAAGTTAAAACAAAAATAATAATTAACCATATTTTCCTCACATATTTTAGCTTGAAGGCCAAGGCTCCAAACTTCAATGTTTTTTTTTTTTTTGTTTTGTTTTGGCGGATGACCAAGCTGTTGGCGCCACACAGTCCACATGGTTGGCGGTTTCTTGCATGCTAATGACCAGCGGAAAAATTTTAATTACAAAGTGCAACAAACGTCTATTTCAGCAACACGCATAAAGTGCTGCTCCTTAAACTTTGGAAATAGGTGTTGAAACACCCAATTCCAGAAGCATTTTCGAATGGGTGATTTTGCATGTCGTTTTCGGTTAACTTTTTGCAAGGTGTCTGTCTTTTGGCGAACGTGGTGACATGTAAGCCCATAGGTGTACATTAATTGCATTTCAAATAGGTTTCCGATGGCCTTGGGGTCCGTGGCAAGCCGGCACGTGATCCTTTTTTTCGCTGAAATGGGGAAATTTATGAGACGCTCACTTCGCTGAAAACCATTTACGCACTACCTTATCGACTATTTTAAATATTAAACAAAGCTAAACATCTATGAAAAATAGACATTTCATCGTCTGGTTTTTTTTAATTTATTAAGTACTTAATCTAAAGAGTGAGAGTTTTAAAGTATATAAAATTAAAATAGATTTTTTCTCAAATTAAATTTAACAAGCAAAAAAGAAAATTTATTTTTAAAATTTTAACCGAAGCTTAACGGCATTAAATTTAAATGTTTTTTGGCAGAGTGGCAACACCGGCTATTGCCACTTTATGCGATATTTGTATCGGAACTATCGATAACTAGCAGCTTTATGGATTTTAACAGCATCATTAGTTGGTTACACTTTTTCAGCCTGCCGTGTTTTTGCTTGCTAATTTCGCGTTTTATTTTTTCGATTATTTCGTCACAATCAAGTGTGCGTTTGCCGATTAACCGAAAAAGTTATACAATTGAGTAATTTTTCGTGATATACGGGATATTTATCCGCCATGGGCCGTCGCTGCTGCGTGGACACATGTCCATCGACGTCGCGTCTGCTGGAGCACCACGGCGTGACCTATCACTCCTTCCCATTGGACCCCATTATCCGGGCCATTTGGATCAAGAATTCGCGCATCAGTCTAGACCGCCAGATCACGAAAAGTGTTTTGGTCTGTTCACGTCACTTCCGACGCCTCGATTTCAACACGATCCGAAATGGAAAGTATTTGCTCAAGCCGCGCGTCTTCCCCACCGTATTTCCGTGGGGCAAGATGGACTCCGCTGAGATAGAGGCAGATCACCGGGCACTTCAGCACGCCAACGTGGAGGGAGCGACAGGAGCCCCAGGATCTGCTCAGTCATCAGCAAACGAAGATCTGATCAAAGCCACGGTGGACAAAATAGTGTCCAAAATATTATCGGAAACTGCAGAACGCAAGGCTATCGAAGAGGCTAAGGCAGTCAAAACGAAAGAAGAGGCAAAGGCACCTCCTGAAAGCAGCGAAAATGTTACCAAGGCAGCTGCGGTAGAAGCCCCAGCTACTTCGGGACCCCCAGCAGTTGAAGCTACTACCCCGATTGGAGGATCTGCATCCAATTCAAACTCACCACTTCCCGGCACTCCACCCAAATACAGCAACCCACACAACCTGACTATCGGTGCGCGCTTGGAAGCTCTTAGCGTGGAGGGCAACTGGTTACCAGCCCGTATCGTCGAAGTAAACGAAACCGAGCAGACGCTCCTTGTGCGTTTTGAGCGCAATCACAAGCTGAAAGTGTCGCCATCAACAAGTGGTAGCTTCCAGGAGTGGATGGCGATCAAGTCAGATCGGTTGAGGCAGCGCCTCAGCAATCGAGTTTTACCCGTTTTCGAGCTGGAAGAAAAGTGCATGGCCCGCTGGTCGGGGCCGCGCAAATTCCCGGGCACTATCCGCAAGCTACTAGGTAACGACACCTATGAGGTACTCTTTGACGATGGTTACACCAAGAACGTGCGAGCCGTGCACATGAATAAGATGCCCAAGCAACTGCCTGCTGTTCAGGCAACTGATGATGGTACGCCCAAGGTGCCTACTCCAGTCGGTACCCCAGTGAGCGCTGTCCCTCAGGCTCCGAAGAGGGTCAGCACAGGCAGCGTAAGTGGAGCCAGTGGTTCCTCCAGCAAGAAAAGCAAGAGCGCGCCACAGCGCAGGGATTGGCCTCTGTTGGACATGGCGACCTTGGATATAGGTAAGCTCCTTTTAACCTGCAATCTAAAAACATTTACCCACTGCTCGCTTTCTATATTCAACAGCATCCCTAGGCCTTCCAGATATTCCGCACGACGGGGAATGGACTTGCCACTGGGTAAATGATCAGCCAATCGGAACCGAGGGCTTTCTAATTGTGGGCGAGCATCAGAAGCCTACTGTTATTGTGCAGGACTGGCGCCTACCACCTGGATGGATTAAGCACATGTACCAGCGCTCCAATGTGCTGGGCAAATGGGATGTCATTCTGGTCTCACCCAGCGGCAAACGGTTCCGCTCCAAGTCCGACCTCAAGTCGTTCCTTGAGTCACAGGATCTTGTCTACAACCCGGATGTATATGATTTTAGCATTCACCGACGACGAGCTAAGGATATTAATGCTTATGTCTATACGCACGACTACAATCCGCAACCACCGCCGAAACCCAGATCCATGGATGTGTCTATGGACTCCACGCTAGACCAAAGTAACACATCACAGCCATCCTTACCATCCACACCGATGTCGGTTAAAGAAAGCAAATACATGGAAGCGCCGGTGGCTACGCTGATGCCACCAGCAGAACTAATGTCTCCGCAAGCTCAGCTCAACGATGAGGCAAAGGCCAAGACAAACCCAGAACTCCTGGAAGCCATAGATGGAGGTCCCACTCAGGTTTTGGCAGGTGATCCTCCTTTGGTGGAAAACGGCTTCGGTGAGTATAAAGTGAAAGACCTTTCCTTCAATATTTAGTTCAGTAATTAAAACTTTCATTCATTTTTGGTGTTTTAGCTTTCATAGGAGGTTTAAAAGTCCAAATACAGGATAATCTTTATGTATGCCCTCGAGAAGATTGCGGCAAAACATACCGCAAAGAGGACTTTTTGCTTATCCACATTCGTCATTATCACAAGGAATTTGCCGAGTAAGTGCCTTGAATACAAACGAATTAAGAAATGTAACTTACTTTAACTTCGTAGATACGTAAGCCATTGCCCTAAGATGCAGGAGCTGGCGGTTAAGCGTACACATCCCTCATCCATCGAACAGGGTGATGCGGTGCCCAAGAATCAAATACCAAACCAGCAATTCTTTGCCAAGATGCACCAACAGGATATACAGCAGTCGCGCTCATTTAAGCGTCAGGCGCCCTCAAATTCGCTGCCATCTCCTGTAGCTCCGGGAACTCCGTCTACCATATCGCCTGCTAAGACTCTGTTGTCTCCCAAAATTGAGCCTCCAGGCACGTTGATGCCAGCAGTTGAGCCCGGCAATCCAGAAAATGTTAAGCTAGAGGCTGGAGCGCAGCCCCCTGTGAACCCCACATTAAACCGCTCATGCAAGCGTGCACGCTACTCACCGACCAAGCGCCCATCTGGCTCGAGAAAGAGCAACAGGCAGCGGTCTCAACGACGCGCTAATTTGACAGACAGCCCAGCAGGTCATTCCTTGAACGAACCAGACGCTGAGGAGACGCGGCAATCCTTCAATACACCAACTCCGGATGTACGTAGCGATTCTAAGAAACGACGTGTTGGAGCTGCACCAACTCCCATCAGCTCCATTGATTCGCCAGCTACGGCAGATTCCGTATCCACTCCGTCATCCAACGACCAGGCGGATATTAATGCAGCTCTGGCACCACCGCCAGCAGATACCGTAAATAAAGCACCACAATACATCAAGGAAAACGGTGAGCTTATACGAATTGTCCGAATGCGGCAAGAGGAGATCATTAACTGCATATGTGAGTACGGCGAAGAGGACGGTCTGATGATCCAATGCGAGTTGTGTTTGTGCTGGCAGCACGGGGCATGCAACGGGATAGTTAAGGAGTCGGATGTGCCGGACAAGTATGTTTGCTACATATGTCGTAATCCGCATAGAGGGCGGGACTCAATGAGATTTAAGCATGACCAGGACTGGCTGTTCGAAGGGAAGTTACCTGCAGCCGCGTATCACACCGCAAATCCAGTGGCCTCCAAGCAAACCGACTTTTTAAAGCGCTCACATACGCTTACTGGCAATTTGTTAGACGCCAAGCGATCGATGCACTCTTTGTTAGTGAAGATCAACATCGCACGTAACCGCTGTCACCCGAAACTATATTTGTGGGCTAAGAAATGGGACGAGGACAAAGTGGATGCTTCTGCCTTGACGCCAGTGAAGCGTTCGAAGACTGAGTATCCTGACCTTCCTAACGTTCCGCAACCAGAGGCCGCCATCGATCCAGAGGAGTGTCAATACCGCTTACTGGAGCATGTAAAGGTCCAGCAATCATTGGTTCTTAATAGACTCGATGACATCGAGGCTGAAATTGGTGGTTAGTTTTTTCAAGTTTACGTATCATATATGAAAATATATTTTTATCTAATTTTTAGAACTTGAGAGGGAGGACAACATGGACGATTTAAAAGATGAGGAAACCCATGAAGCGCTGGCTACGTTCATCAAAGAGCTTGAGACAATGAAACGCCTCGCCAAGCTTAACCAAGTGGCCAATCTAAAACAGCGCCAGAAAGAATCCACCACTAATCCGTAATATTAATTATTGAAACGCTTAGAAAGTGATGAAAATTAATTCATTTCCATTTATTGCAAGTCAAAGAATTATAATGAATGATGTTTTAAAATTTAAATAGTATGGAAACAGAAATAGTTTTTTAATTGCTATAATCATAACTTTATCATTTGTTTTCCGAGTTGCGGAATTTTCCTTATAATTATATAGATGTTTAATAAGATCAGTTTAATCCAAAATATTACTGCACTGCAAAAAGTTAAAGAGTGTAATGGGATTTGATTTTCAGATGAGGAGTATTAGTTCCCAGTCGATCAATGTACAAATACAGAAAATTCTTAATTTCATGCCTCATTAACAATTTAACCTATTTGTTGGAGAATCTAAGTCGACGCTATGTTACTAAGAACGGGACGTTGTCGCAGGCATGTATCGCTGGAGTTATCTGTGCAGAATATCTCTGTTCATCTTGCTGTCAGCGGGACATGAAAATGTTTCAGACACGCCACAGATAAGCACAACGTTGGCAACCACGACGGCAATACCTTACCGTTCCCGATATCCATATGTCGTCTCGATTGGTGTAAGCATAAAAGGATACTACAAGCACCTCTGTGTGGGAGTGATTATTGCGGATGCATTTGTGCTAACCGCTGCCCACTGTATTAAAACGAAGCAACATCAAAAATCAAAAATGTTTGTTGCCGCTGGCGACGATTTGCTTAAGAGTCGGCTGCAGTCACAATTTGCCGTGGTTGCGAAATTGAGCCATCCCCATTTTAAAATACTTAAAGGAAACGATATCGCCCTGTTGATGGTGACTCCGAAATTTCCGCTGGACGATATCCGATTCCAAAGCATTAAGTTATTAAGCAGGTCGCAAACGAGTAAGGACGACAATCTTTCTCTGCTTGGGTGGGGACGAGTTACTGTCGGCAGCAAGATGAACAAGCTCCAGGAGATGCCCTACGAGGTGATGGAAAATGATGTGTGTAAGAAGAAACACCGATTCGTGTTCCTTACCAGGACGGAATTTTGTGCAACGCACTTAAAAGGACCTAGGGGCGCCTGTGACGTAAGTAAAAACTTATGCCAGGATGTCTTCGACTTTTTTTGAGCAAGTTTACTGAAAGTAAAATCTTAGATAAAAGATAATCTGTGCCATATAAATTATATTCTTGACAATAACTTTTTTTTTTCCAGGGAGACTCGGGGGGCCCTTTGATGAATTTGGCAGAACATACGCTTTATGGCTTACTCTCATATGGCAGAAAAGCCTGCGTACCACTGCAGCCCTATGCTTTTACTAGAGTTAGTGAATATTTAAATTGGATTGAAGAATCAATGAATCATCTGAGTAGGAGACATAATGTTCTAAAGGTTAATCGAAGGACAAGGAAGGACACGACTAAATTTGGATAGATTTGTACTAAATAGCAAAACCAAACAACTTTGTGAATTTTATTTGTATTTAAATTATTTTAAGGCAACACAGAGTCTTAAACGAAAACCTTGACCTTTAAATTGGCTGAAATAGATTGAATTTTGAAGAAACCATCCGAAGGATATATATTCATGAAGACATAAGTTTAAAATGTGCGCAAAATGTCGCTTTTACGCGTCAAAATATCGATAGTATTGGTATTTTTCAAAATATATTTTGGATCACTTTTAATTGACAAATGAACCAAAAATATATAAAATTTACTCTGCCACCTATAAATTTAAATATTTTTAGTATACATTAAGTAAATCTACATTGGTGGGAATTCACTGTTAATCGATCCGATGTCTATCGACACTATCCACCAAGGTGCCGATATGAGTTTTATGTCCTATAGATGGCGCGGTTTTTCCATCCCTAGACAGCGTTTATCAAAGAAAAACAAAACAGAACGCAAGCAACAATTGCGTATAAATAAATCAAATTTCCAGCCGCATAATTATTCTGTAAGTGAACGTTACTGTATAAACCCGACCAATTGAAATGTGGTCGCAGCTTATTAAATTATTTCGCATACACAGAAACTGTGAAATGGCGAATTCGCCGGCACCGGCCCGTGATTGTGAGGAGGCACTGACTCGGCTTAGAAACTTTGGATATTCGTTTGATGGATGTAAGTTAATTGCTGGCTGATATTCCCATAATTCACTTTTACTGATCTCTTGCAGCCGGCATCTTGCGCAAAGTGGATCCTGCTACTGGAGAGCCCGGAAATGAACCCTTCTCCTATAACGTCAGCGACGATGCCGCAGAAAACGAAAAGCACTACCAAAATCTGGCTAACGTAAATATCGAAATTAAACCATTACAACAAATCAGAAAACATAAAAAAATTATATAAATACTTTTCCCATCACCCTTAGCAAATCCCGGAAATTGTGTACGCTCTGCTGGAAAAAAATGGCCTCAGTCGCACCTATATTCCCTTTGACAAGGCACCAGAGCGCTCATCGTTCGTCTTCACCCAACCCGCGAAGCTTTCGCAGTCCAAGAAATTGCTAGTTCTCATCCATGGTAGTGGACTCGTTAAGGCGGGACAGTGGGCCAGAAGGTATATATCATGCTTAAATTTAATAATTAAATAATTTCACAGGATTAGTTACCGATCCTTTAAACACGTTTAAACGGCTAAAGATCAAATTAAAGGGCTTAAATACTTAGGTAGTTTAGAACAAACAAAATATAACTTTTAAGGGTTATCATAAAGCTTTTGGGTTATCAAATTCTTGTTCAAGGTCTGTGGGGAAAACTGTGATGTTTCCCCTGGATATAATTATAACTACAAAGAATAATAAAACTCTAGGGGCTTTCGAGAATTTCAAAAAAAATGTTTATAAATAATAATTTAATAATTAAGTTTAATATTTAAAAAAATAATCATTTTCATTTATAGTTTGATCATTAACAACTCACTGGACCACGGCTCTCAGCTGCCATATTTGCGAGAGGCGCAGAACCTTGGATACGATGTCCTTATAACGAATGCTAATGATTGTTCGCGATTCTACAATGGAAAGGAGAATCCAATCAAGGGTGTGGAAACTTCTGTGGAGCACATGAAATATGTCTGGAAAAATATTGTATTGCCCTCCAAACCGGAGAGTGTAGCCATTGTGGCCCACAGCTACGGTGGTTGTCTCACACTAGATCTGGTAAGTAATATAATATATAAATTAAAATAAATTTTCATACATAATTTTATTCACTTCATAAGGTTGAGCGATTTACGGATTTCTTTAAAGAATCTGTTTTTGCAATTGCTTTCACTGATGCTGTGATGGGAAGTCCCCAAGCAAAGAACAGGGATTACCTGTGCGATGTGACTTGCGATTGGGTTGCTAGCAATTCACCCTTGGACACGCCCGTCTCCGAGTCAAAGAACAGTATTCGAAGGATTTCTGCTGGACACAACAAGCACGAGTGGACCTCTTACACGGCTATAGATTCCATATTTAAGTTCATTGAGAAGAAGTATGAGCAACGGAAGAATAAGAAGTGACAGGCTTGAAGCCACTCGTTAAAGAATTTTTGTATGTCCCATTTTTACTTCAAATCTTGAAGATGTGAATATAAATTATATTTTTACCGCTTGCACACGCATCTGACACTGATCCCTTTTCTCTAAGGACAAACACAAACTATCGATTTGCAATGCATAAATCAAGCGAGTGGACGATGTCCAAATGTGTCACAAACACTTACATCAGGGCAATTTAATTTGATTTTCGGCACTTTGGCACATTCCGTGTGAGTTAATCATATTGATGGCTGATGTATTGCCTTCGATAAAACAAAAGTCTCCCGCTTGGCCCATCAGCTTGGTAAAAAAAGCCAGCGTCCGAGACCAAAACAAATTCCCTCAACGACGGACGGATAAGGAAGGGCTGTTAGCTTGGCAACTGCATCATATTCCTTGGGGTTGCCTCTACAATCCTCTTTCCTGGTTCCTGGGCTAGTTACCCCTGTCTGGAGATTTGCTTTGGTCCGTATCGCCTAACTAAATGCTTCATAAAAAAATGAGTTGCTTTGCTTTTTGCCTCTCTTCATAGTGAATGAACAGTAAGGAATTCATGGTATAGTTTTTGCGGTAAATAGTTAGAAAATCTTAGGAGGTATGTATAAATGATATTTTATTACTACAAAAATGGTTGGATGGAGTTGTTATTTCGTAAAACTATTAATTCTTTCTTTTTTTGTACTTCTTAAGTGAAAATTCCAAAAATTTGTTAGAATTCTGAAGTATTGTACCTATAAAAATAGGAAGGGAATCTTATAAAATCTTATTTCATTGCCAAAAGTTAGTATAGACTGGAAGATTGCCATCTGATTAATTATGTGAGAACAATCATAATCCCCTTTGTGCAACTTTAAAGACTTTGGCTCACCTTCACCCGTACAGTTTTCATTTGTGGCAGGCTCACAAAAGTGCAACCAGGGTATAAGTAAAAGAGATGGAGAAAGGAACAAAGAAAGAGATGGAGACGTTTGTCTTTAGCCTTAAAACGAACTTAATACCCACAAAGTGAACCAGGACCCAAACTCAAATAGCGGGAAAGACCGAGAACGATGAAAGAGGGTGGATAGAAGGTGGGACTGAGTCCTGGCAACCCTACAACTTCGCCAAGTCCCTCCAACTCGTCCCATCTCGGATGTAGTTGTGGATGTGGATCCCCTAACCACTACCGTATACATTATCGCTGTCATGGCCGCAGTCATGGCTTCTGCTCCACCTTAGACATTTTTATATGTATTCAACATCCTTGTCGTGCTCGTCCTATGGCAGCTTGCTATCTACACTTTGACTCCACGGACCCTACACACACAGCCGACAAGGATGGCATCATGTGTCTTAGAGCGAGAAGGCCGAGGTTCGTGGCGCCGTCGCCAGCAAAAAGCTTTGCACGAGTTCAGGAATGGGTCATGCGCCTGGAGCCCATATCTAACATATATAAGTCAGAGATATACCCACGGATAATACATACAGACATACATAAGGCAATGGCAGTAAATAAGCAGAAGCTGCCTATGTAATCGCATCGGTTAAGTAAATAAAAACAAATGTGTTCGCCTTGGTGATACTTTACTTTAAAGTCGAACCCAATTTGCACAAATAAAATAACCCAAAACCCCATTCCCCTAACATCCCACTAAACAATGTCTAGCAATTACTTAAAATAATCCTTTTGCATGTGGTTATTTGATCAAATCTTAAACGCCCAGCCATCCCTTACATTTCGGCCAAGATGGCCAAGGACCTGAACTCCGTAATCTCAAACCCTTTAACTATTGGATTTCTTGTGCATCAATTGCCCGAAATAAAGTTGCTTAAGATTTTCATTTTAGATTGCATCAAAATTTATTTCGCAGTATGTTTCTTGTGGGATTTTCTTTGTCCTTAAATCGTGAGATATTACTTGTTTTTTATACTATCTTTGAACTTCGTATAGCTGTCATTAAATTGTTAATGTTAATCTTAAAATTCTTCTGTTGTAAGTTATCTTTATGAAACTGATTCGATTCATATAGATCTCTGATTACTTCTTCTTAAAGATTAAAGCATGCATATATAAATTTTGTTATCTTATAAGTTTGAAATAAAATGAACATGAAAACATTCCTCATTGTTTCTCGAAGCAAAGACAAGTATATATTGTCATTAATATAATTCCCCCTGGTTCTAAATCAAGTTACTCTACTCAATTCCGATCAACAAAACTAATGAATATCTTCATAAATCAAAACTCAAAATTTTCGCTTTTTTTGCGATATTTTATAAAAAAAATTGTACGCATGCAATTTCCGTTATAAGGAAATATTATTGTACGTTACTTTATTGCTTGAAAAGTTCAAGCGATGTCATTCAAAAAGCCATAAATAATAATGTTTTCCAATAAATGTTCACATGTGAGTGGGCACACCAGGCGAGTGAGTTGGTGGCTGTGGGTGTGGGTTAAGGCATTCAGGACGAGCACACACACATGCCAGGATCCCAATCCCATTCGATGGCTCATAGGAATGACCGTCCGTCGTTAAACCTCGGGTTCACTTCTCTCAGGATTCCAATTTTTTTGCAGGCCAACTGTTAAGTCCGTTTCATAACTTACAAGGTCATTTCATTGCACGCAACCATTAAGAATTTTTTCCATTTTTTCAGCAAAGATATTCTGGCTTTTTTACTTGTATAATTTAATACTCGTGTGTGACGAATTTTTATGGCTGACAAATGATTGATGCGATTCTGCCACTTCCTGTAAATATCATTAAAAGTGCCCTCTTCAAGCCAAAGGGCCCCAAACAGCTTACTCCCAGTGGGAAGTTTAAAGTTTCGTCTTCTTGTTAAGGACAACAATTGTGTCTGGCCATTGTGAAATGGGAAAGTGCTGAAATGCAGGTTTAACGCAGAAATAATACCAAATAAGATTAGATAGCATTGTGTCTTCAAGCAATGTCCTTTTCGTGGTGAGCCATTGGTGGGCGGAGGCCCAAAAAGAAAAACAAATAAGGTTACAAATTGCAGCATTTGCACCCCTTTAGCGAGACGAGCTCTAAAGGGCAGTGGTACCATGACTATTTTCTAACTTTTGAATTTTTAATTTACATGGATCATTCCTGAAACTTTCTAAATGTCCAAGTTATTAAAAGAATACTTTTGAACACTCTAATCTTACAACAAACTTCTTAAGAGCTTAATTTTTATGATATTTATTCATTTTTTCAACTAAATAAAGCAACAAGAAACTAATGTTTATTGTGACTTACTTTTAAGAAAAACATTTTATTAATTTTATAATAAAGTTTAACAACTACTTTCGAAATATCGGTAATTAAATTAATTATTAATCTGTTCAATTACATATACGTACATTTTAACTTTTCGGAAACCTATTGTTCCACTGTGCTTTAGAGGCTTTGAAAAAATTGTAAAATCCAAACTCTTCCGCCGCCCCGAGAAAACACAAATCACGAGGAAATGCAATAACAAAGGGCCGCCGAGTGTTGAAGTTATTTGCGGTTTATGTCCTTGTTGTTGCTCCTTTTATTCATGTCGCTGAGGCGACAAAAAGGACCTTAAAGCCAATAAAACGATTTTTTCCGTCTCTATCTATGAATTGTAAATGCCTTGCCGAAAAAGGACAATTGAAGTGGCCGCGTCCGCTGACAGCTTCGCCTGGCTCTCAGCTCCTTTCCCTTCACGATTTAAGATAATAGTATCATCAACACCACTTCAGGACACCCCAAACCCAATTTTCAAATGCGTACACGGAGGGCAGGATTTGTCTGGGGTTTCAGGGTCTAAGGACTCAGTTGGGCGTAGGCGTTGCTTGGGTCCTGTCCAATGGCTTCGGGATTTGGGTTCGGGCTTCGATGATAACAACTTTGGCGGCTAATTTGCATCCAGCCAGGGGAAGTGGGCTTAAAAGAAAACTTTAAGTTATTCTCTCCATCCAGTGACAGATTTTTCACGCACATTTAAAAAACATTTAAAAAACCATTAAATGTTTTTTCTTTTACATATTTTTCACTTTTTTTTATTTGTCTGCATCACACCCCTCATTTTTTGGGAATTCCTCCTTTTTTATTTGTTTTCTGGGCTTTTCACAATGTTTCATTGTTGTTTTTCTGTTGTGGTGGTCCCAGTTGTTGCCTCGGCGGTGCTCTCTAATCTTTGCGCCATTTATTTACACTTGATTAACACGCGACTGACATTTGTTTGACTTTCGCTTCTCTCTGCTGAAATTAAAATGCGAAACCCGCTTTGCACAAAAAAAATGAAAACAAATGGGGGATTAACGAACTTTTGAATGCTCTTCTTATTTTATCTTATTAATGGATTTGATCAAATTATAAGAAATTTTTATAAATATTCGGTATACGACTACTTACATACTACAATACTGAATATAAAAATTTTCTTTTTAACTTATTAAAATGTATTTTTCTCGAATTTATTGGCTTGCAGAACTCCTTTAATAAGTACAATACCCTATTCTATAAAGTTAAATATAAAATGAAGAACCCTGTGTGACACATTTTCCTGTGGGCTTGCCTTTTTGGCTTCTTATGCATATATATTTTCTGTTGTACAAAAATTATTCATTTGTGGAAAATTGTGACGTTGGTCGGTGGTCCATGGCCGCAGGCCAAACTGATTAATAAACCAAACGTCAAATGCGCACAATGGCCACGCATCAACGGAGTCAAAGTTTGAGCCGGGGCAAGAGCCACCACTGCGTGGCATCCGGAGTACAAATGGGATGAGGATGAGGAGGACCATTTACCAGGACCACAGCAGAACCACAGCTGTCAACTGTGTGTCACACACAAATGTGGCCGAAAAGGACGACTCAGATATTCATAAAATGAGAAGGAACTTCGCCTTACAAGTGCAACTAGGCCTCCGAGTCGCATTGTTCTCGACTTGACTTTTTACGGATCTCGATCCCGGCGACTCGCATTCCTTCTGGGTTCTGTTCGAGGGCGTTGGCAGTGTCATTGTCATCTGCCGGGTCACAGTTGGTTGCTATTTGGCCAGCAAATTATTTACATATTACAAAAAAAAACCCTAACAATGAAATTTTGATTTTCTTTGTGAGGCATTTTAGGGGAAATGGAAAAATATGGCTGGAAGTTCAAGGTCAATGCTTGTTGAGAGAATATTTGCTTAAAGGCGGAAAATATTTCAGATCTTAATTTCTAGACCTTAGTGTTTTTATTAAATATTTTCCTTAAATATAGTTTCTATTAAATTTCCTGCATATACCATTAATATTTGATAGCGCAGACCCCAACATTCTGCGAAAGTCCCTGGGGCAATGAAATCTAGTTCTGATTTATAAACATGAAGATTTATACCATTACGCCCACATACTCAAGGCGGCTATAAAAATGATAAAAAACTTTGATTTTGACTTGGGAGGAAATCTCCACTAATGGGGGCACATTTAATGGTTTTGTTTATGGAGTGTTTAGTGATTTTTTATGCCGAAACAATACAGAACTTTATGAGGAGGCTTAGCCACATGTCCTTAGGGCTAGTTTACTGGTCAAACAATTCGAAGCCATGACGAATTGGCAACTTCCGTGGTATATGATGAGGCAAGGCAATTGAAGGATCATTTATCATTTTTATGGCTACTTCTTTGCGAGGGTAACATACAGTCTTAAAGAGTACCAAACCAAATATTATTCAATATTCTCAGCCCTTTTTTGCCCCAAAGAATATTTGCTAAAAATATTGCTCAATTTTCAAATTCAATTTGTCAATCATAAATTTCACGCTCTCTTAAAATAAATTTGCAGGCAATTGAAAAATTTCAAGTGGCTGTGTCAAACAAGGTTTTCCTTTCAATGTGTTGAAACATTTTTGGTTTTTTCGCAACAATTTATGGGCAAACTTTTCGGGGTTTGGTCTGTCAGACTTAAGCATCGGCCTCTGCTCTGACACATGACTTGAATGTCAATGGGCAAAGGACACACACCCCCAATAAGCTGAAAAAATAAGAATAAAATAAGGGGAGGGTCCAAAGCCGAGAGTCCTGCATCCCAGACAATGTCGCGTTAAATTTGCACAAGTTGACGAAAATTTTGCTATTTTGTGGGCTGCAAATTCTAAACTTCTGTTTCGTTTATTTTAGTTTGCCAAAGGGGGTTACCCTACCGCCTCCCCCATACTCTCTATTCACCACATAAATAACAAAATTTAAGGACAAAATATCAATATCCACTTTGCGAGACGCCAACTGCATGCGAATGAGTTTATTTTTAGCTGCGGAAAAGTGTGTCTAGTTCTGAATTGGACACCGCCTGAGCCAACATTTCGCATTGCAAATGAAATTCTGTTTCTATTTCTTATTCTATTTCTTTTTTGTTTTCCATTTTTTTTTTTGGTTCTTTGTTATTTTTGCATAATCTAAATTCACTCCTGAGGACAACATGTTGCAAAGAAGTTGCCATGTTGCTAAATTCGACGCTGAATGCAAAAATGTCGCAGCTGAATTTCAATGAATCGTCAGGGAAAGTTTTTGAAGCTCAAGATCTTAGGAATAATTTAAATAGTTAATATTAAAATTATTCTAAGTTTTAAAATATATTTTAAGTAGTTATAATTTATAATCTTATAAACATGATCATTTTTTATAAGAATCTTTTACATCCTTGTGACTTTTTGCTGATGTCGACATAGGAGGACCGAGGACCATAAAATTTGAATGCCTTTTATTTCTGAAATTTGCTGGCTGGCTAGCTGGCTGGCCAGGTCCATAAGCCAAATTTAATTTGTTCTCATATGACATTTACGGTCATATTCAAATAACTTCCTTTGCCATACTTCACTGGCTTTGATGTCCTTTTGAACAGGGGTTGAAGCTTGTTGGAAAATGGAAAAGGTTTCGCTAGATTAATTTGGGGTCATGCATATAATATCATTTTTTATGGTGGGAGTGTGGATATGGAATGGTGGTTCTTTCAAACCGCAATCAAGTGGTATAAAGAAGGTTTTTCATATGAGAAAATTATTTATGGCTGAAAATCTCTTCAATGTGTCTCGAAGTTTTAAACCCCAAACGATGCTAGGGAACATGATTTAATTTATTGCCATCTTTCTGGGAACATGTGTTCTTACAAAGTTTTCCTAATTAGGGGTAATAGATCTTAATAACTATGTGAGATTTTTGTGATAGGCCTGTCGGAAACTTATGTTCTAAAAGTTAAATGAAAAATTTTGATAACTAATTAATTAAGCTTAAACTTTTCTCTCTTAATCACATGAAAATATGATGTTCAGGCTCTCTTTTTACAATATTATGCTCTTTCGGGTAGGGATTTTTCTTTAATACGAAAAGGATTTTGGGTTCGTTTTTATGGAGGTCTAAAGACTCCTTTTTCTTCGGGCTCATCCTTAGGATATTAAAAAATCGCTTTGCAAATCCATCCACTGGTTTATTTTTTTCGGTACCTTGGACTTCATGACTTGGATTTTGGTTTATGGATTTTATATTAATAATCCTCAAAAGCCAGTTCTCAGATTTTATTTCTTTTATATTGGAGTTGGGTTGTTCTCTTCTACTTAAGTCGTGAACGTTATAAAAGTTCCTCTGGTGATCATTCTGATGTGGTCCCTCGAATAATATATCCCTATTTCGTGCTGGACATGTCTGAAGTGCATTTCGGTTTTCTATCAGTCTGTAGTTATAACTCAAACTCATACTACAAAGTAGCAGGACGATCTCAAAATGACGATGCGTTGACATTTTCACTGCCGAAAGTGAACTGTTTCTTAGGTCGATCGAAATATTTATATATTATGTTCATGAAACCTTAAACTTGGAACCGGCTAAGCATATTTGTAAAATAACAGCTGCCCACGTTTAAATAATGTCTTAAAATACTTATTTTTAATTCAATATTTACAGCTATATCTACAGAGAAGAAATTTTTTCGACGTAGGTTGACTGGCATTTTTTCACACTCTTCTTGGACCCAGACTGGACCCCAAAACCACGTAGATGCCATTTGTGTTGAAGAAGCTGTCCTTCCTCTCTCAATATTTCCCCCTGGGGGATCCCATTCCCATTCCCAGTGAATCACTGTAAGTGACACGCGTGCCCCTCCACACAATCACCCGCCGCGAATTTGTGAATTTCGTTACCTCATGAAACCGAAACTGACATGAATTCGAAAAGCGTTTCGGGGCGAACATTAACACATTTATTTTTCCATTCCAGAGGTTGTCCCCTGTCGCCTTCCCGTCAAGTGTGGGCTGAATAATTTTTTAAGTGACTTCTTTTATTTGCATTTAGAAGCGTTTAAAAAAAGTCATCTGGGATTTGTGGGTGCGTTTATGTGAATACATTAACCAATTTCGGGATGTTCGGGGAGTTCTAATGGTGGTGGGATGGTTATGGGATATATAGAATGCTTTTTTTTATAGAAAATAACTACTTTTTAAGGTACTACTTAACTTGTTGAGGGCATTATATTGCTTACATGTTAGGTTTTAAGTAGTAGTCCAGTCCAGAAATTCTAATTTTCTTTATTCAGATGGAAAACCGTAAGCCTATTTGAGTACTAGCCTGCTCCCATTCTTTAAGTTCTTTAGCCCTATTCTTCTATCGACTTCGCTTTCCACCTTATTTAATCAGCAGATCCATAAAAACTATTCGACTGCGCCATTTCAGACAGAAGGAAACGAAGAAGTCTTTTTCCATTACCCACTTAGGTGAAATTGTTTCGTGTGCATTGAACATGATTTATTATGACACATAAACAACAGCTTAACTTCCGGGTAACTTACACATATGTCCGTACAAAAAATGAAGAAAAATTGCAAAATGCCTGAGATATTGACTAAAAGCCCTGGCAATGGAAGCAGCCGCAACAGGAGCCACATCAATGGCACTTACCTTTTCCGCTTAAACACCCCACAACCGGGACATAATGGTGACCTCCCCCTGGTCACATTTCGGAATCACCAAACCCCGCTCCCTTCCAATGCATTTGAAACAGGTTTGTCCCAGGGTTTCCTGCCCGTCCTCTTTCTTTTTTTTTTTTTATTAGCCAGCAACTTGTTCCTTGGTCGTAACGCTGTTTTTTATGCAATAGAATGGCCCTGGGTGAATGCTCACCCGTGCGTCCAGTGGTCATCATTTTTCTTGCCCCACTCCCAGCGGTCACCGCCCATCGGTGTCCTTACAATGAGTAGTTCCATGTACTAGAGTCCTCCATTTCTGCTGGCCCTTTTGCCAGGCGAAAGGGAAATTTATTGTTTTCGCCAGCAGTTTGAGTCAAATGTCCCGAGTGCCTCAGCCTCTTTAGGTGCACTGGAACAAAGGCCAAAAAGCTGGGGCGAGCCGGGGTGTCACTTTTGACATTTAAGATGCCGCACAATGGCCTCTCCATGGCGGCTCTAATTTATACGCATCGCCTGCATGTGACACCACCAAAAGCCAACAAGTTTGAGGGCGCATTTGTCGTCCCCGAAAGTTTTGCCATTTTTTCGCTCTCTCCATATATCCATATCCATTTGCAATTCCAATGATTTTTATGGCCATGAGAATTTGTTGCCTCCCCCTTGGATTGTCCAGCAAAAATAGCTGGAAAAAACTGTTGCATTGACAAATCTAATAAACAAATGACAGCCAGACAACCGGACAACCTATGTGCAATTCATCGGCGCACGCACTCTTTGTGGTGACAAGGAAGTTAGAAAGAATTTTGTTAGATTGATTTTGTTAAATGGATGGAACTGGACACCATATGGAATGATTAGTAAAGTCACTTTGTTTAGCAATAAAAAAAGCAAAAATGCTTTAACCATCTTGACTGATTTGTTTTATAAAAGTTCGTACATCACATCGCACCAGCAAACATTTATTTTTTTTACTTTAGATTTTCCCCTTCTTCACCTATTAAGCTGCATAAATTCCACATATGTTTATGGCCGTATAAACGTTTATGGGATCAATTATCCAGTCAAGTGTTCGCTTTTCACGCTTTTTCCCTTCTCATAAGGAAGTCAATTTCCCTTGCCTCGCCTTGGTATCATCTTCTTATGGCTTTTTATGACGATGCCTGGCTGGTGGGGCAGGTTTCTTGGTTAATTGCTTGCTGCACATTGTTCAATTGTTCTGTGGTTCATATGCATCTCTCTCACCGACACTCACTTTGCCTAATTGGGTCGCTCATTATTAAAAGGGTTTTGGGGAAGGGACTTTGGGGAGTGTCAGTCGAGTTCAGTCTTTGGCAGCATCGTGCAACGCTCCAGTTTCTGGGTTTACCCTGTTTCTGGTTTGGATATGTATCTTTTATGATAAGGTTTGTAAAGAAAGTAAAGACAATATACGTAATATATGTATAATATTTATGTGATAATCAGATTAAACAGAAGGGGATCTGTAATTTTTGATTTTTGAATGTGTTTTAATTCGTATCGTAAGTATATTTCAAAAGTCTTCTTCTCAATATCCACTTTACCATCAGTTCGCTTAGCTAAGGCTGACAAGAAAAGACAACCATTTGACAGCTCCTTCTATGACGCTTAACTGCTTGAGGTTTTTTGGTTAAATGCAGCCCCCAACCCATTTCCACCATAAGCCATTAGGGCTAAGTGATTTGTTGTTGTTCCCAGGCTGCGCTTAGCACCTTGCAAATTGCCATCGGAAAAGTAGAAGGAATGGGTTGTGTCTCCTTGCCAGGGAACAAACTAATTGTGCGGAAGCGCAGGACATTTTCCTCCGCCTGAAAGAAGAAGAAGACTGCTCCAGTTTTGGTCCTTTGGGTGTTTTATGAGTACATATACCCACATTGTCAGATGTGTTGCTTGCCAAATGCCCAAGTTTGAGACTCGAGAAGCCAAAGTGTCAAAGTTTATGAAAATTCTGTGCATTTTGCTTTGTGGTTGTGGTTGAAAGTTTACACAAAGTAAGCAAACTTTGCCCACTCAGATACCAAGTTTTCATTGAAAACTTCCATGCCTGCCAAGAGTGAGTGTGCCAGATGGATATTAGACATTGCATATATTGTATGGACATATCTGGTCATTGTTAGCAGTCTGACACGCGTGACACTCGTCTGATGAGAGGGAAATCAGAACCCTCAGTGTCAGGAAAGTGTGACTCTGATCCGAACACGAACTTGGTAGTTGATGGTTGATAACCGAAGGGTTGTCCCATGTCATGGTCATATGACTATGAAGTTTACTTCGAAAGAGGGCATTAGTTGGATTTCGTTAGCTCTTTCAAAGTATCTTCTTAGAAGTAGACTTCTTAGAAGCAATTTATGATCGTTAAATTCTCATATTTCTAATTGTTGTCGAACTGTAAAATTAATGTTATTATACCATAATTCCAACTCCCATTTGGTTTACTTATTAGCTAATCAAAGGCCTCACCTACTTACCCTGATATTTGGCTGAGGTCGCTTCACCCACCATAAAACTAATTGCCAGTTGTGACCTTAACTAGCGGTTCATGTTCAGCCACAACCACCACCACCACCGCATCCTCAAAGTTCAAAATGTAAATTGGAAATCTTTTTCAGTTATTCCCTCGACAAGTTTTCCTAATCGTATGCAAAAGTAAGAATTAATCAATGATTTACAAGAACAATACGTATGCACATGTCGCAGAGTGGGCAAAATGCCTTGGGCCAGGGCGTTCCGGAGTCACTCCCAATGGAAAGCCAGGGCCCAGAAACCAAACTGAACCGTAACCAATCTGAATGTGAATCACAACACCCGCTTGTTAGAGGTTGCCCAAGCTGGGCCACCCACTGCCCAAGGGCCTTGGTGCTTTTTTTTCTGTTCTACTCCGGCAGAGACGACAGGTCAATGGGAGGGCAGGGATTCGGGGTCCAGTGCAATGAGCAAGAACACAAATAAGGCGTCGGCACTGATCCTTGTCAACCACCGAACAACAATAATTTCAGAGAACTGGCTAGCCAGGGATCCCGACAACCCATGCAGACATCCCAATAACCCAGACCGCTAAGGCTGCTAATAATTCAATTAGTTGCAAACTCTGGTGGTTGCATGCCACAATCCGCACAGAAGTTTCTCTGCAGCTTGCAACGGAGTCGAGTTCGGTTCAATAATCAAAATGCCGCCGGCCAAATATCGCAGCAGTGCATAAATTTGCCAAGGCAGCAGCAGAAAGTGTAAATGTGCCAGGGAATGGTCGTTGGGTTGGTTAGTTTGGATATTTTTGGACCTGGTGGTTCCGAGGTGGTTGTGCCTGGCATGGGGTCCTCCGATTTGGGACAATGTGTAGTGTGTGTGTGTGCTTTATATAATTGCTCTCGGCTTATTGTGCAATAAATACAATGGACCACAGAGGACAACCAAATGTGCGAATTAAATGAATCCATAAACAGATCGGAAAGAGTTGCTTTTAAATGCTATCGAAGAGGTTGTGTACGAGTTCATAAAAGAATATTGATATAAGGCATGAAAAATTGTGGGTTTTTGAAGATTAAAGTACTAGCATTAAGTTTATAGCTTACCCTCACAGATATTAGTGGAAACTTTACTGAGATAATTCGTCACTTTCCTTATATCAATTCTATAATAATGAAGTTGGATAACTCTCAGAGCTTTCTAACTAAAAATCTTTGCTAACCCATGACTAATGTCAAAAACCAATACATTATAAAGTCAACCGATTTCCAATCTATCATCTAATCCACAACACAAACATCTTCCAAAGATAAATCCAGCCAACCTTTTGGTAAACAGTTTACCCGCCACTAAACAACACAGCAAATCCTCAAGTTAAAAGCGAGTAATTGTGATATAAATAAAAGTGGAGAAGAGCCAAGGAGAATCAACATATCAAGATACAAGGCGAAGGATGTTGCTGCTTGTACGACATGAAGGAGGAGGCGTGGCATGAAGGAGGAGCAGCCACAGAGTTGGCACATGTAAATTGTGAAATTGTAAATAATCGTAAATAACGCAAATATCGCCTCAGACCATTTTGGCCAAGGCGGCGACAAAAGGTAAGCCCAAGTCTTGGTGTGATTCGAGGTGGATCGCTTGGAAAGCTGCCTGGCTGGCTG